GAAACACTTTGAATTTTACCTCATTTCACCTAGTAAAAAAAGTTTACAATAAAATTTTTACAATGTTTCTACTTCGATTGTAAAATTGACAATACTGATAAAGAGAGAACCTATATTCGGGATAAGAATGAGATTTCCAATTGGTCTCGTAGCGGAATAACATATTTTGCGACAAGTTTGGGAATTTCGAATCTGCTTCTGAAGAATACCCCGAAGAATTTCTATTTCTATAAATTGAAAATCAATTTCTACGTTTTCGTGGAAATTTCAAATTGGTCTTTGCAAAATGTCAATTAATTTTCCGAAAATCGTATCTCCGACTTCGATCTTTTTGATGAAAAAAAACTATCATTTCTCCTCTCTCTCGAGCACCGGAGGGTACTTCGATTCCCTCGAGGTACCATCGATTCGATTCGCGTTTGGCGCGAATCAGCCTGACGGATTACGTGAGCTATCTTCTCGCGCTTCTGAATAGCCGAGGCTGAACTCGTGATTTTTTTTTATCATCGCATCGGGATGACCGTATTTGCACATCAATCAGACGGAAGTTCCGCAGAGACTCGTTTCGCTCGTAATCGCCGTTCGAAGCATCGCGAAAGACGAGCTCTCTCGGCGTTACGAATGGCCGAATATTTGCGATATTTTTCCTTCCTTTCGGTAGAAAATCCTTTGGCGAAAGGACGACCGAGAGCACCGATCGAGACACGACTCGACCGTGAGTCAAGTTCCGCCGATCGTCGTCGCGGATTTTACGACGTTACGACCGGCGCTAAATTTACGTGAACGACGGCCGAAAATAGAGTCGTTGACGTCAAGGATGCCGAAGATGCGCGCGCGCGCGCGATCATGATCGCGAGACATACGTAGACATAATAACGATCGTATTCGGCTTTGGATTATGCGCGTGTCGCGCACGTACGAAGGGAGCTAAAACAAGAGCGGCACGTCGTTAAGACGAAGAAGCGATCGTCCTTCAGGTCCAACTTTTTTGCGACACGCGTTGATCTCGATTTGATTTCGCGTCCGAGAAGAGGACGACGCCGATAAGGCCCGACGACGATCAGTTTTGACACAATTTCCGCGATTGTGATCGCGCGACGAAGAAGCGGACGCGCGGAATAAGGCGTAAAAGTGAGAGATTCTTCTTCCAAGTTTTGATTAACGTTCGAATGACTAAATTCGTCACCGGAAGTGGCCTGTTGAAGAACTCGAGAAAAAGAGAGAGAGAGAGAGAGAGAGAGAAGGGTAAAAGGAATAGCGCGTTACGTTTTATCTAATTATCTGATTAACTGCTAACATATCTGCTTTTTATACCCGTCTGATCACCCGTCAAGCACTTTATCGACGTTCGTGACTCGGACGATAAACGTACGGGACAAATATTTGGAATAGAGTCGGGCGATGTTAACGCACTATCGAACAACTCTCGGCATTCCTCTGCGCTTGCCATTTTTCACATTCCGACGTTCTCGGAGTCCCTCTTTGAGTCCCATACAGAAAAGAAAATAGTCTTAAATCGAGAACAGATATTCTCATATAGAAGGGAGAATATTGCAATCTTCTTTGAAGATTTTTAACCCCGATTTGAATTTGCATCGATGCGACTATTTGCACTCAATGCGAAATTAAAAAGCTTCTGAGAATAATATAATATTCTTGCCTATATATGAGAATATCTGTCGTTGATTTGAGACATTCTTTCCTTTTCTCTAGAAATTCCTTTTCTCTAGAAATTCTCAGGGGAGATGGGTGTGTTTGAAATAAACGTACTTTTACGGAATCAAATAGCGAGCCTTTATACCCACTATTATAAATTTAATAGAATGAAAAAATGAGGATGGAAAAATATTCAAAATTTATTATTCGCTTTTATTATTTGCATTTCTTATATATAGTATTCGAGTAATGTAAACGCTCAAAATGCTTCATGTTTTTGTGCCACTCCAATGGAAAACTTCTCGTCACTTTGCAATTCGGCCGGCTGAAATTCCCGCCAGGATATCGCCAGTTGGCAGAGTGAACGTTCGCGCGCGTGTGATCATTGTCAGCCGTTAGCCAATAATTATAGATAAACCGAACGACACACGGTGACTCACATCGCTCACAGACGGCTGGCGCAAATGAGTTTGCTCTCCTTTCCGACCGACGGCGACGACGACGAGTGCTCGCGCGGAGTGCCGGCTCCTCTCTTCGCTCGAGCTCGCTCGCTGGCAAGCCAAACCGCGCGCTATTTCGCAATGAATTTCACCGGGGATGGCAATCGGTGGCTCGTCTCTTCGCGGATATCTCGCGATTTATTTTTCACTACTTTCGGAGAATGCTAATATATACCGTTCTCTAAGTCGAGAATCGTGAGAATCGACTCTTGTCGGGAATAAATCAATAATTGTTGGCCTATTATTCCGAATGACGTATTGACTGACATGAAACGGCTACCTGAATCGTTGTCGTTTTATCGCAATGAATAAATATTCCAGCTCGCAATCCGAGTCTATTTCCTTCGCTTACATTGTGGACGTTGTCAAGTTAAAATTGCACGGCGCATCGAAGAATGATCGACGAATCTTTGATAGATCGGAAACGTATTTGCGCGAGATATATTAAATCGCCGAGATTTTACGATAAAATGGCTCGATATCGTGTCATATCGTTACGATTTTGATGAATTTCTTTTCCCGACTCTCGCGCAGATTGCGCGCGAAAACAATCCCGATAATAATTCAGTTACGATACATTAATTAATTCTCACTCGGTCGATCTGGCGATAACGTCGAAGAGCCGGTAATTACCTCTCCGAGAGTTTTTCTTCGTGCACTCGTGCAGGAAAAAATATCTTTCCTGGCTTTGGAAAAGTGGAAAAGGGTAAATTTCGCATTAATGTAAATTTGTTCCCAATTCTCGCCGATTGCGGGCGAGGATAATCCCGATGATAATTCGGTTGCGATGTGTATTAATTAATTCCCGCTCAGTCGATTTAATTCCAATAATAATATTAAAGAATCATTAAAGAATTATTAAAGAATCAATAATCGTCGTTACGAGAGTTTTTCGCACAATCGACGGGGAGGAGGGGGGAGGGAAGAAAAATATATATTTCCAGACTTTGGGAAAGCTAAAAAGATAAATGTGTGACCTTTGTAAATGTAAATTCGCCGATTGTGCATGATGATAATAATTTCGGTAATAATTCAGCCGCGATATATTAACTTTAACTCAGTCCATCTAGTTCTGATAATAACGTTAGAAAATCAACAGTCATCGTAATTGCGAAGGGGGTCTTTCCGTTCGATCGGCAGAGGGGAAATCTTATTTTCGGGCTGCGCAAAATTGAAAAAAATACACTCACGTGCATATCAAGCTTCGAGCTTGTGCACGGCACACAGAGAAGGTGCATCGAGATACTTGCTTTCTTCCGACCGTAAAGCTTACAGCAGCCGGGAACGAGCTTCGAACCGGTTCCGAGGTGTTTGTGTTTCTCTCACATCCGCGACACACATACATATATACACACACGTGCACCCGCGCCCGTATGTATCTGTAAGGCCACGTGCACATCCGCGTATGTCTCTCATGAGAGACATACTCTGTGTGTCAGAGACGAATAGATATTTGGGAAAGAAGTAGAGACACGGCGAAAGAGGCGCGCACGCACACGCACGCAGATGTGCACGCTGCTTAAAAGAAAGCACCTCGACTTGTTAACCGGCCGCAAGAAGAAGGACGCCGGTTTTCCTCGCGATTTACGACCCACCGTAAAGTTCATTACGACTGCAGCTCGCGACCGAAGGGATCCTCCATGCATAATTCAACGGGCGCGTCGCCGTGACCGCCCGAAAAGGGCGCCGCGCGTTTTCGTGTCGGATCGACTGTCGGAAAATCGTCGTCGATGAGCCGAACGATATCAACCTGCCGGGCAAATCGGGCCTTTCACATACACCACACCATACACACACACACATACAAACACGTTTCATCTTCAATTTTTAATATCTCCGTTAATTAACCGATAAACGAGGCACAATCAAAATAAGTAAATTAATTTCGAGTAACTCGCGTAAATTCAGAAAAGTACCTGCCGCGTACACAAACGCGTTCAATTAAATTAATTACGACCGGGACACCCCGCTAATGCAAAATTGGCCGAGTAATTATCAAGGATAAGCGGAAATATCCACGGATCCAATGAAACGGTCAATAGATAGATTATACCGTTTGTCGTTTCATTCGAGCGTGACATTCACGCTCCTTGTTAGAAGACGCGGACTCTGACCCGCGCAAGACAGACTTGTTCGGAGCACTTTAAGCGAATTGAGACAATCAGGTATCAGGAATACAGACTTACACAATACTGAAGCTAATCTCCCTCTCTATTCATACATCGTATATGACAAAACTTAAAATATAGCTAGGACACAATTTCGAATTATCCAGACACTTGTGAAACCTGACATCTCTGCACAGGGAAAAAGATTTCTTTGGATATAGTATGCGTGTTTGTTTAACTTGAATTTCTTTAATATTGTTATATATATAAACATATATAATTTGATATAAATATAATTTTGTTTGAATAAAAATGACTCACTAGACCATGTTGTTTGATAGTAAAAAAAAAAACAATATTATTCAGAGGAAATATTTCGTTTTCAATAAGAGATTAATTTTATCCTACAGGATGTTTCAAAATTCTCGCCAGGTGTACGAGAAAATGTTTGAAATCAAAGGAAGCAACTTTTTCCTCCATCAAAATTGTGAACAATAGTATGTTCGAGCAGCGAGCGATCGAAAAAAAAAATATATATATAAAGTTTCTCGTGAGTTAAGCTTCGTGCGGACAAATGGATAGCAAAGTTATCTTCGATAGGAGAAGACAGACCCGTGAAATCGGCGTCACGGTGTGCGGAATCGGACTGTACGCGATGCGGCCCTGTCACGTGCTGCACGCACCGCCGAGACGACACGCGTCGTGACGCGCGCGCGGCGCGCGTCCGTACGGCCGCGAGCGGATATAGACGAGGATCCGAGCGGAGCGCGGCGCAGTCGGTTTTCTTCCAGCGCTGTGCGCGCGTGTAACACACCGATATTTCTCTCTCTCCCGCCGCGCGCGTATATCACGACACAGTCGCGTGTCCGTGAATGTGAAAGCGCCGAATGATCACGAAAATCGTCCTTGACGTGCGTGCGTGCCCTTTCTCCGCCTCCCCCTTTCCCTCTCTTTTATATTCTCTCCCCTCGCCGTCGCACTTCGACGCGCGACGTACATCGGCGTGTTTGAGGAACGATAAGAACCCGTGAGAGCAGAGAGCGACGGATTCTTTGACCCAGTTGGAATTTTAATCGCGCGTTAATTAGGCGCGCGCGATTGCCGAGCGGCGCTATTAATTGCAGTACGGAATCGCGACGAGGACGTCAAGGAGCAAGACGGAGGAGGCGCTCCCTCGGACAGCGGCGATCGCTCGGTTAACGCCGTCGGCCCCTTCCGGTTAACCGAATTTTCCGACCTGTGCCGTGGGTAAGGAGCGTGCAAGTTATGGCGATTAAATCAGCTAATTGAGGGCGAGTCGTGATGCAACGTCGATCGATCGCCGGCCGGCCGGTCGATCCGATCGACGCCGCAGAGGACGCCCTGGGTGTTTAATGAGCGACGCTCGCAACATAAACGGCGGATATTAATGAGTGCATTCGTGCGTGCCGCTCGGCAAATTGCGAATTTACCGGGAGCATCTGCCGGAGGAGTTGCCGTTATGACGTGTATCGATCCAGATTTGTCCGTTTGTAGCGTAGAATTCGTATGAAAGAAAGCAAAGAAATCGACAACGCGGGCGAAACGCCGCTCCGTACGATGAGGAAAAGGTTTCTTCAAATTCTCGAATAAATTTTATCGCATCGAAACAAATTTCATCATCGGCGTGCTCCGGAGAAACTTACGTTTCGATTGATAAGTTACGATTGTTAGACTCTGTTTGAAAATATCTGTTTGAAACGAAAGATAATTTTCTTACAAAGAAATTACCCGTTTCGCTTTACATATTTATCGTAACCGAATAATATTTTATTTGGTCGGAAGATATTATTTCAAATAGTAGCGTTCTATTATTATCAAGAAACAAATTTTAGTCGAATAAATAGAAATACTGAAGAAACCTTCTTCTCTGTGTGTCGAGGAAACGTCACCATCGGCGGAATGTCGCGATGACTAAATAATCGCGCAGTGATATCGATCCGCGCGTGTGTACACTTTACCGGCGTCATCGAACGGTGGAAAAACGAGCCGGCCGCTTTTCGCGAGTGTCAGCACGTTCCTACGAGGGAAAGCTGTGATATATAAGCGCGTCCGCTCGGCGATCTCGTGTTTCTGCATGCGATTCGTTCGTACAATCCTACGAGACCGGATCACCGTCATCATTTGCGTGTGTGTGTGTGTGTGTCTTTTTCGCTCGAGCACTCGTTTCCTTTCTTTCTCTCTCTTTCTCTGTGTTCGTCCGCTTGTCTCTCACCTGTGTAGTCTCACACTGAGAAAAAGAACTTTAAAGTTTATTTGTGAAATATAAGGTTTGTTTCGTGGAAATAAATGTTTATTTAAATAGGGTGAAATAAAATTTTATTCTTAGCAAATAAACCAAGAAATCTCGCTTTCCTAATTAATTGAAAGAAAAGGTCTGTGTTTCTCCTCGAATTATCGCGACTCGTTCATACATGAGATCTCCACCACGCAGTAAATAATTTTGTGTGTGTTAACCAGGATCCTGATTAAAATTGTTGAATTATAAATACAGCACATCTCTGTGTGTGAAGTTAACTAATTATCATTATATTGCTTCAATATTTCGCATTGAATTTATATTCGACTGTATTGATATAACGATTGTAAGAATTAAAACAACACGTTTTATATTTAAACGCTTCATATTTAAACATATATTTCACATAAAATTAATATAATTTTAAATTATAAACTGTAAAAAAATAAAATTGCGCGTTAATTGCGACGTATGGATATTAATTTTACTGAATAAATATGTGTGTGTTCTGTACATATTATTGGTGGTGTTTTATATGTTAAAACGTGCGGACGAGTTATGTTAATTTTCTCCTGTAACAGTCGTTGTCTGTTAAATAAACATGTTTCACGTTTTATAAATATCAAATCGAATTGTTGGTTTCTTATATTCTCTGTGTTTGTAGCAAATAACTACTTTCAAAAGACCCAAAAAAAAATAACAGCTATCTTTCTACAAATATCAAATCAAGTTGTCATTTTTTTCTATTTCTTCTGTCTGTGGGAGTTACCTTCATAAAATGTATAAAATAACATTTCGTTCGAGTTACCTTTGACATTAGAAACATGTTTAACCTGTAAAAATAAATTCACGCATGCAGAAAATTCACTGTCAGATATTGCGAAATTGTAATTCACTTTGTATTAATTGCAAACGTAATATTTGCGTCATTGTCATATTCGTATTATATTAAATTAACGTTAAAATTAGAGTTGACGTTTGGAACAAATGAAATGCGTCGAATTTCACGTGAAATTGTTTACTGTGTAATCCTAACACTGCAACCGCGTTTATCGTTTCGCGAAAATTCGTAAACTTAGACTCGATTACGTGAAAAAATTCTCGACTTCCTCGTTTCTATTAATTAAAAAAAATTTCTATTCTCTCTCTCTATCTCTTTCTCTCATCCATCCGTCCATCTCACCAGTACAGTCCCACGTGCGGACCACCATAAATGTTTCATCGAATCGCCGAGAGACTTGTCTTCGCGCCGGTGCCCCGTCGTTGGAAAAGAAAGTTGGTGCTCGTGATTACATGAGCGCGTCACGCGGCGGCGGAGGACCCGCGTTGTACCCGCGTGAGTTGCACATTCATTATACCTAACATGCATAATTCCGATGACTTGCCGCGAGCCCGCGATTATTCGCGGTCGTTTGGGGGCGACCGTGAGGAAGCCGGCGATAAAACTGCAAGCGACGAGGCTTGTTCCGGTGACTTCGATTCCCTGTCCTTGCGGAAAGACATTACTCGCGTCACACTGTATGGTATACAAATATTTCCTGCCCCCTTCCGAAAAAACTCTTAATGAAAGATTTACTTGTATCATATGGAAGACTGAAGAAAGGGGAGAGGTCACTATTTATAGATGATTCAATGATAAACTTTACAACTTACGAATTTACTTTATTTAATGACAGACTCGACCGTGCGTCGATTTTCCCCGAGCGATGTTTTTCCGTACTGAGAAAAAGAATTTCTCCAGATTTAACCAATTTTATCGCATCCAAATTTCATCATCGGCCCCGAAGAAATTAATGTTTCGATCAATAAGTACGATCGTTGGGGACTTCTCAACGAGTATGTATCTTTATGTTAAATAAAACAATTAGTTTGAAGGGAAAGACAATTTTCTTCTAAAGAAATTATCTCAATTTGCATATCGCAACGAAATAATATTTTTATTTCACGAGACGTTATCAACGGGAATGCAAGCGTGTATCTCTCATTCACGCGTTCGAAGGCGTTAAAGTGCATTCAGTCGCGCGGAGCACATCGTTCCGCCGAGCGAGCGGCGCGCCGTAAATCCGTGGTAATTCGCGAAAGAGCCGTGGCTCGTTAGAGCGCGCCGCCGCCCCGAGAGAGTAGATTTCCACGTCGCCCTTAATCGGAATTTATTAACCGCGGCTGCAAGTGCTGCGCGCTCGCTCGCTCGCGAGCGGAATAGCACCGGATTGAATGACGCGCGCTCGCCGTCGCTTATTATGCACCTTAATGTCGCATGACGGGAAATTCTTATGTAAGGAGGAAGACGGTAACAATCAGCCGTGGAAGCGAGGAAGGAGCGCCGGGTTTATTTATAGAATCGTCGTTTATACGAATCTCGCGCGCGCGAACGGGCCTCCGTCGTTCGATAGCCCGATAATATTTACGTAACACCGAGAAAGAGTGAGAGAAAAGTCTTATACGACGCGTCTTACACGAGAGCGAGACAACCGTCGATTGAGAAAAATTCATCGCGGTATTATTAGATCGTGACGTACGCAATGTAACCAAGTCTTAATATACGTACCGGATAAAAAGTGTGGTTCGGTTTTTGCGACTATGATCGTAGAGTGAAATAATTATAGTCGGAAGATCCATTTTTGTCTCACGAGCACTGTTGGATGATGTTATTGATGATAATAGTTACATACATAGGAAAAGAAAAAGAAGGCGCCAGAGATTCGAGTAAATAATTACTCCGATACTCTTTGGCGAATTTTTACTCGCATTCATTTGTTGCCGTCGTTGCGACGCGAGCAATCAAATTTAGTTGGCACGATCAAATAATTTGGCTCTATCCACGTATGCAGCAAATACGAAATTAATATTCTTGACAAATCTTCCTGCTGTCCAAGCAAATTGTTTTTTTGCCGTTACTATGTTAAACAATTTGCTGTTCTAGCGAGATTACTTTCTCTGCATACTCGGCAAACGCGACCACTGCTGATCGCTGCTTTTATCTCTCAATATTCGCGGGATAAAGGGAGGGAGGTTTGACGGACATCGTAAATTTGAGATGCTGTGACCGCGAATCCGTGCTGTGCCCGCGCGGGGATAGACACGGTCGCACGGAAGAACGCTCTGGAAGATGCTCGTCCGGGCGTCGTAAACGCGCGCATCACGAGCTCCCGTTTATGTTAATTGACATTAATCTGCGCGGAACAAAGTTTACGGGCGCGCGTCTCGAGCCGCCGGCGAATTAATTGGATTACGTCCCGTGCAAGTTGCCGGCAATTTATTAGATCTATTCACGTGACGATGCATCATCAACACCACCATCGTCATTGTCATCGCCGCCGCGTCGTCGATTGCTCCTCAATAACCTCAGGCTTTCAGGCGCTTCGTTTCGTCACGTACTTTCCCGCCTATTGCCCGTCCCGAAGAAAATTATCTTTTGCTTCGAATGTTTTATTTCAGATAAAGATACGTATTCGTTGAAAAGTCTTCAACAATCGCATTTATTAATCGAGACATTAGTTTCATCGGGGCCGGTTGTTTGGATGCGATGAAATTGATTAAATTTGAAGAAATCTTTCTCTCAATGCACCCTCCAGATTTCTCGGAGTAAAATCTCGCTGAAAACGGGTGAAAATTCCGCTGGAAGCGGAAATACCGCCGCTCCGCACCGTAAGAATGATTGTTTCACTCAAGCTCAAAATGGACTCCGCTATGACTGAATGTTTCGATCGATCAGAGCGAGTCTATTCCATTCTTCCGATGGTTTAGTAAATCAGAATCGCTCTTTAGTTTCGAGCGAAAATATCGACACACTCGACAATTCGGAACGGAGATTTCGGTCTATACGAGGGAAAATTCGCTGGAATTCCAGTGACTCTCGGCTCTACTTTTCGAGTGTAATTTCACTCGGAAAAATTTCGAGAGCAATACCCCACTCGGGAAAGGAAAGGGGAGAACTTGTAAACAATGCGCGAGATTAACAGCGCAATCCTACGCGGATGTGATGATATAACTTGAAAGCTCTATATGACGTGTTAATTATATGAAAAAAAAATACTTGGTACGTGTAATTATAATACACACGTATACACACTGCGTAATGAAATAATTACACTCGGGAAATCCATTTTTACAGTAAGTTGCTATAAGTGGCGCTCCTATAATGTTATTAATAATAACCTTATTCACACAGTGTCACTAGAACAGGAATAAAAAATAGTTGCCGCTGAGAACGATTATAATTTGCAGTGAGATTAACTTTTCTTTCTCCCAGAATATCTGAGGATATTGGAAAGAGTCGGTCTCTATTTTTAAATTCACAAAGTCTACCAGCCTTTGCTTTTTATTTGCAAAAAATAGAGAAATTAAGGGATTAATTAACCGAACTATCTGACTTTTGTAATTGTTAGAAGTCGGCGAGTAGAGATGTTGCTGAATCGGCACGCCGATTTTTACTGAAGGTAGAAGTTTTTACTAGCAGCGAAATTTTTACTAGAAGCAAAATTTTTACTAGCAAAATTAATTAATTATCATTAGGTGTACCCATAAATAATCAGATATTTCACAATGAAACACATTTGGAAGCGTATAAACAAAGTTTTTAAATCTTTTCTGATGATACGATAAGTTGAATGCTTGTTTAATTACTTTTTATTATTTTTAAATTGCTTCTCTAATGACACGGTAAATTTAACACATTGCGTACGGGTGACGAGAAATCTCGTTTTTAGTAAGCCGAACGTTGTGGCCGGGCGACGAGATATCTCGTTTTCAGGTTTCTTCGACTTAATCAGTGACTTAAGGAATTAAAAATAGATTTTCTTGTTACGTTACCAGGGTAACGAAGTCTCGCGCATTCTCGAAACAAATGGTTAGCGAATAAATGTGTATATAATTGTCGTGTTGAGCGAGTAGAGTGCCGTATGCAATGTGTTAATATTCATGATATAAAAAGTTTAATACTTTCCCTGCAACTAAGCATATTAAGAAAGTATTGTTTATACACTACGCGGTTCTCAAATACACAAACTAATAAGAGACTTGTAAATGCTTGATTACTCTCAAATATTTACTCGTTCTCTCTCTCTCTCTCTCTCTGTATATGTTGCTCTTTGTTAGTCTTACCGTAACGCGTATTACCGCATATTTATCCGCAAATTTGATATTTGCACAAATACTCAGGTTAACGACGGTTAGATCAACACGTAGTGTTCGCGAATAACGGAACGCTAAATCGGGCGCGCCTCATTAAGGATTAATCATCGAACAATTAACGGCGCATTAACGGGCGCGAGGACGACGTAATTGGCTCGCGTCGCGTTGATATTCCGGCGATTAACTTTCCGCTCCGGATCCGCAACCGCAACGCGCGCCGCCCTAGTGGCGTAGCACAAGTGATTACACCACTACCAATGCGATTTCCACGACGCTTTAACTTGACTGTCACATTGTTTTAAAATTCTCGATTATATTATCGTTTATATTTTTTGCCGAGTAATGCCCGGAACGGAATTAAAAGCGTACATTTCGTAAAAAAAAAAAGAGCTTCTTCAGGTCACGGTTTCCTTTTTATCTGAATCACTTTGTATTATTTATTGTATTAATTATTTATTTGCATTTTTCCGCGTAGTCATTCTATTCAGAATTTAGACCGCGCAATAAATATTTCATGCCTCTTATCGCAGCGCATTGCGATTTAAGCGGCACATAAGTAGTCTTGGTGCTTAGCTAAGCGCTGTCGCGATCCCCCTCCTTAGAGAACTACCCTTTGCACGATCGAGACCGCAATCACGTGTTTCGCGACACTTTATCGCAACGATACCGCCAGGCAAACCTGATACTTCCCCCATGAATGCAGTCGATCGACCGCGATTTACAAATTTGGGAGCGATAAGAGTTCATCTGGTTCATATCTTTCTCTCTCTCTCTCTCTCTCTCTATTGAAGCTCAACATTTGTTGACCACCATTCCTCCATGTTTCTCGTACTTTATCATAATAAATAGAGAGAGAGAGAGAGAGACAAACGCATTCATCTGTCGCATCGTCTTTTGATCACCACACGCACCTTTCCCGACTACGACGATCGTCGAAAACGCGCGTTTTTCCGCGTTTCCCTCCGCCGCTTGTCATCGTACAGCTTCGATACGACGACACTCGCGATGAATTACCCGATCCGGTTGGCATAGCGAGCGCATCTCCAGGCAGGAAGAGAAACAAATGAGGACCCGAATTACCTTAACCGTAACGTTCCGCGCGAAACGCCGAAAGTCGACGCCGATAATCGCCGACAACAGGTGTGATTCCATCACGGTGCCTCGGCGAAACGCTCGACGAACTTTTTTTTTTCCTTCTTTTTCTTTCATTTCGCATTCAAGATATCCCGCTCCTATCAGTCCGTCGAATGCCCGATCGACGGTATTTTCCTCACTCGCATCGTCGAGCGCCGGCACTTTTACGCGGCTCGATTGAGTCACAGTCGTTTAAGTTCGAAGGCTGACACCTCAAGATCGTCGCGCTTCGGTTTCTGCTCGATCTGACCTGATTCTTTTTTCTGTTTCTCTCTCTCGCTCTCTCTCGCGCCCCGTCTGGCTGCCGGCTGCCCTGTTATGGCTGCAGTATCCGTGAAAATACAGTGAACGGCGTACTCCCTGCCGGCGACTGCAAGATCTGCAAGGATACCAAGGACGAGCCGAAGGACTCCGAGGGCACGTTTCTGCTGTGCGCGCTGAAACCGCGCAAGCGCAAGGAACGTCGCGAGTCCTGCTGCCAGGAACGCAAGCTAATAAGGTACCGTTGAATTTTAATTCCGTTGAATTATTATTTTTCGGATTATTTTTTTCCTTCTCCTTTCAAAAACTTCCTCCAAGACCGAGCGAAATTTGAGAATAGGCGAAAGGTTTGAAACGGACTTTACCTTTAGTCGTGCAAAAATGTGCACGCGAATTGCTTTTCTTCGTAGTAGTAAAATAATATTTGTCTTCTTGCGCAAAGATGATAGAAACAACCTTTTTTTAAACGGGGGAATTTTATAGTAACGATTATATTATATTTATAGAATTTCGTAGCCGAGAAACATTTCGATTTAATCCAGATAACGTCCAATAAGACGTCCTAAGACGATGTAAAAACTTTTCACAATAAGACATCTAAAGGACATCTCTGAAATATCTTTTAGACATACATAATATTGTTTAAGAATTTATTACCGTTTCACACGTGCTTTTTATCGTAGGAACTGAAACTGTTATTACTAGTTCGCTATTAAAAAAATATACTACGTTCTCTCAGCAAGAGATAAATTCCGCTGACTCTATTCCCGCATTATGTGTCTGTCTTTTTGCACTATTGGAAAATATACGAAATTGAAAAGAATTTAAAAACGATAAAAAATGTCAAACGGTAAATGCAAATTCTCCTTCGATTCGACGCAACGAAGGACGTGCGATAACGTTAAAAATGCCTGTCTGTTTAACTTTTTCAATTGCGAGGATACGAAGTAATCGTTTTCGCTAACATTGCACTTTAGTTTAGTTGGATCTAAAGACGGAGCTGTAAATGGAATGCGACGACTGCGCTTTTCAGGAGCAGCAGCGAGGAACGTGTTCTTGACAGTCCCACCGACGTCGCGGATACGATCAGACGTGTCAGCAGTCACGAAGATTTCAACAGCCAGGAACACTTGCACATCTTATCGCAACTTAGCCAAGACATGGGCCACGGCGTGGTGAGTGCGCGATCGAAATTGACTCGTAAAGTAGCGACATTTCTTCCTGTAATTGCCGAACGATTTTCGTATCGCAAACACTTGTCCGGCAAAGCTACTTTTCATCCAGCTAAAGGCCTAAGATCCAGTTGAAGCTTCCAATAATTCTCTTGCATTAAAGTTGTTGATTCAATCTCGTCTTAATCTCGCGCTCAAAATTAACATTCATTACTTAGATAATTAAATAAAGTTATAACGTGATATTGATGTGATGTGATGTGACTTTTTCAATAAATATACTTATGTAACCTTAATATTGTCACTGAAAATCCGGCACGGACCAATCACTCCAACTGACGCTTCGTGATTTTTCGCGAATCAGAATTATCGCGCAACAAAGTGTCTGCACAATTTTTCGCACTAGCGAAGAGCTACTTCTTCACTTGAAAAATATTTAAATGCGTCTTAAGCGTGAAAAAATAACTACCATCGCGCGAAAGAGGAGCGCAATTGCTGATCTCGATCCTGGGGGGGATCTTTGTGCGCAGAGATGCGGCGGTCTACCGCTGCATGAGAGAACCAACGTTTCGCCGGTCTCGAAGAAATCGTCGTCGGTGCCGTCACCCTGCGAAGTGGTCGTGGCGACTGAGAAATATGACTGCGACGCCGAGAGATTGCGGAGCAGCGAGCGCTTCAGCAGAAGCGTCACTCCGAGGGGCAGAAGACAGGCGCGCAAAAGGAGGGTGCACAGAGTCCCGGATGCGGACGCGAGTTCCAGCAAGGTAGAGCCTGAAGTTTGCCGAATCTTACATTATATATGAAACGATAAGAGCTCTCCATTTTCTTCTTTTATCGTGAAAAATTTATCGTGAAATACAGCTGTTAAATTGACAAATCCTTTGGCTTCCGGGTTGGCTCTGCGTCTTCCGTGGCTTTGTTTCCTACGTTGTGGACTACTTTTTATCACATTGGCGCATTTTATGCGTTTCTATCGGGCTGTGTAAAGATGATTTCTTCCTCTCGCCAGGAAAACGAAGAGGAGTCGGAGAACATGTATATCTCCAACATGTCACCAAGTCCCAACAGCCACAATGGCTCGCCGGCTCAGAGCTTCTTGGAGATGTTGAGCAGTGGACCGAGCAGATCACCGTCACCAGCTCGTCCACCCACTGTCGATCACGAAGACATGAATAATCCCAGTCTGACTAACTGGGGCTTCCAACATTTGGAAGGAAATGTGAGTATCCGAATCACTTGAAACAAATTTTATACGAATATCAGGAAATTGTACGGAAAATCCAAAGTTATTTTAATCTAAGAATTTAAAATTATGATATTATTCCCGTCGAACTCTGTTTTTCCTTGGAATCGGCACCAAAATGGCCCAAATACACCCGAAATCGTGAAACGGAAGCATTGAAATATTGACTTCATTCAAAACATAAAATTGTCAATCAACGTCTCGCGTCTCTTCCGAACGAACGTGTTAACATCACATGCTGATCGAATTCCTCAGGATGAGGCCGTGGACGCAAGAGTGGAGGCTATGCTCTCGCCTAGGAACTCGCTGCTGCTTCCCAGGAGGTTTTACTCCGAGGAGGAGATGCAGCCGAGTACGCCCAGCCCGTCGGACTTGGGGCTGAAGAATCTGGCGAAGCACATCAACGGCCTGAAGAAGAAGATCAAGAAGTACGAGGACGAGTTCGAGGAGAACTTCGGCTATCGGCCGAGCCACTCCGACAAGATGAGCAATCGTGACATCAAGCGATTGTGCACGGAGCTGAATAAATTGCGGAAGGAGCACAAGATGCTGAAGGAGGATCCGATAGGCGCCCTATTAGCGTTCGGCAACAACCGTCAGGTGAACGCCGCCGATACCGCCGGCAGCCCCGTCAACAACAACAACGGTCACGAGAAGTCTAGGGCGTCGTCGATGGAGGAGATGGTGAAGGAAGTCGAGAAGAAGCTCAACGAGAAGCGGATCAAGTATAATCGACCCGACAACATGGAGGAGCTCAGCTACGAACAATTGGTGGACGAGAAGACGGCCGTGCAGAAGGCGCTGCTTCACATCGAGAGCGCATTCGGCAGGCCGGTCTCTAAGGAGGATCGGGCGGTCGTGCGACCGTTGTACGACCGCTACAGAACCCTGAAGAGGCTGCTCATCAGAGCGGGCGCGGTAAGGACACCGTAGATTACCGTCAATTAAAAAATCATGGAAAAGGCGTGTAATTTACAACGTTACAACGGGCTGTTATAATAACGTACCTCACGTTGTACGTATCGTGTGCAGAGCAAAAACAAGGACAGCGTCTCGGAACTAGCTACGATTTTGGAGCACGAAACGATGGATTTCACGTCGTCGAGCTTGCCGGGAAATCCGACGGACGTCGATAGGAGAGCCAGCGAGCCGGATATGTCTCACCGAGGTATTTTAGACTGCATCGATCCTGCGGATCAATTGCCAACTGATAGCGACAGCCAGCACAGCAGCAGCGAGGGCAGTCGCGGCACCGGTGAAAGTTTGCATGCTCTTCCCCAGTAAGTTCACGATCGTTTGTCCCGACTTATGAACTTTTTATTTAACTCTTATTCTTCGAGGATTCTATCAGCGTAGATACTTTCTGACACTACCATACGGAGTATTATTATTAGCATTATCTCTTGCTCTATTTTCTTATATTTTCTTTTCATAACTTACTATAAATTAGTTTTATTATATTATTTTTACCGTATAATTTTTGCACACCAATGTAATCATTTTATATATTCAGCGTACCAAAAAGGATTGCTTCCCGTGCTGATAGATATTTATTGAGCCTTCTTATACCGAACACCTGTCCTTTTTCAGAGAAGAACTACTGGCACAGCAACGGGCTACTCGCGAGGAGAAGAAACGACTTCGTAGGGCGTTGAAGGAGCTGGAGGCTCAGTTCGAGGCTCGAGCAGGCCGTCGAATGCAACGGGAGGACCGGGGTCCTCAGGTCACCACCGTCTACGAGTCCTACAAGCAAGCGAAGGCGAAGCTCAGACTGATCGACGCTCTCATTGCCAAGAAAGCCTGACGCAGTATTTAATGCGCACGTAACGCAACGTGACGAGGTAGGCTCGTAACGACGAGCCGTTGGAAACTCCTGGAAGCTTGAAGCTGAGCTCCTGCCGAGCTTCGATTGTCCGTACAACGGAACACGTCTGTTGTATACCGCGAACGCGAGCGATACATCCACACACACACTATGCTACGATTCCTGTATCGCACAGTCACGACTGGGAGGTGGTCTGAATAGAAACAGAGCCTACCCGAGAAGTGCAGAATGATGGTGTACGCAATGGAGGAGAGAATCTATCGTCCAGAATCAAAAGATTTCGAAAGCAGAGATAACGCGTAAGGATGACACGAGTGTAGGATTTCTTTCGCTCTCGTGAGTTCGTGCGTATTCGTGTGCGCACTCCCTCTTTTCGTCGTTTTTATCGGTCTACGACCGATCCGTGTCACGAGGGACACTCGAGAAACGATATCTTCGATATTAGCATAACGCAACTTATTTGAGGTATTGTTGTTTTGACAAGCACACACACACACACACACACATACACGTCGATACGTCGTTGAAGGTAACGCGTGAACTAACAAAGTTATAATAGTGTGCAACGCAATACGTGTGCAAAAATGATGACGCTAACGAGATAGCACACGCATATACACACATTTATACACACATTTGAGCGCTTGAGGCACCAGCAAGTCGAAAGCGTAAAATGATCATTGCGTGAATATGAAGCAATCGCGAATCCTGTTTCGCATCTCACACAATGCATCACGCATTCGACGGCTTATTCGTTGTTACGGAAGTATTTTCACCCGACTGTCCTCCGACTTATTTATCTTCTCTCCCTCTGCAAAGTATATCGGAATAAATCTTTCACATCACGCCAATAGAAGGACGCTTGTTTTAATATATTTATTGTTGATCAATTTCTAATCGATTGATTATAAAACCAAAAGGAGAAAAAAAACACGAAATGTACTTATATTTTTTATATATGTTCACGGCAAAAATCTGCGAAGTTTGTTTAAACTTCAAGTATCGAGAGTTTAATAACGATGATTGTGCGTGAACGGATATCGAACGAACAAATGCCTAACGCTAATGGACTTGTCACACCTGAGACCACTAAGACTAAAATTCCAGATTAAGATTTTTTCCAAATACAAACAAGACACGTCTTACGACTTGGAGAAATATATCGAGTAATGTTTTTATTTAAAAGAAAAAGAGAGAAAAAACCGAGTATATAATTTCATATCCGCGATATTTGAACTTTGAGAAGAACGATATTCGTTTGATCATTGTTTCATCATCATCATTATCATCATCATCGAGATAAGAGTGTTAATTACTTTTACTGTATAAGAATCGGCTGACGTAAACGGATCATCTCATCGATGATCAATATTATATCGATAAGACTTAAGAGGGGAAAGCATACCAGGAAGCGGACGTAACGTAATGGACAACTAACGTTTATAGCGAACCCGATATTTATTTTATCATCTTAAAGTAACTGCTGGATTTAACTGCGCTGAGAGTAAAGAACGAATCTGTGGGGTTATACTCGTAATATAAGTACCTTGTAAGAGATATCACATGTTGTAATTGTAGAGTACTATAAAATGTTACGATCTTAATAAGGTATTAAAAGAAAGAAAGAAAAAAAAGAAAATATTCACTAAAAAGCTCGTTGATTTTTGCGTTTATATTTTTGTACAAGTACGATTTTAAGGCCGTTCGCAGCGTATATACAGCCGACAGGGATTTACCGTAAACGCCTTAAAATTCCGCTTGATTGATTTTTTCACATAGAGTCTCAAATCAAGGGTGCTAATGGCTTGAGTTCTACAGCGTGTCGACTAACACACAAAAAAAGAAATGCTTTGTGAATCTTATTGAGTTGCAATCGCGCCGAAGGGGTTCTCTGCGTTTTTCCTGCAACATCACATTCACGAAATCAATAGATAGGACGGTCACCTCGAAATCGAAGATCTCGATGTGTAATCGAATTGCAAAGGTTACGGTTACCTCCAATTTTTGCGAGAGAACGATCACAACACTTTCGAAGAATGATGTCACACTCGCAACCGGCGAATTGATTAGCGTGCGAATATTTCTCTTACAAAATTTAACTTTTGCCTCTCCGAGAAAAAATGACACGAATACTCAAAATTGTCATTGAAAAATATCACATCACGATGAATATTCGAGAGAAACTGCGTATTGCACTTTTGCGAAGGGAACTTCGAAGCTTCTGTCATCCCGTTTTTGCACGTCGATTACATGTTGCAATTTTCACATCGAATTTTTTATGATTCGTCAGGAAAGCGAAAATCGACGAACAACCCCGCCTTTCGCGCTGATCTCGTACACCCGTAGGTGAAATTGACAAAATTTCGAATAATAAGAATAGCATAATCGGCGAGGCCGATTACGAATACGTGAACGCGGAAACTTAATCTGTAAACTAATTAAGACTCGGCTCCTCAGGTAACTATATTGATTTTGTAACGTCATAGGCGAGAAATGACACGCAGTAAGTTTCTTGTAACGTGTAGCTTTGTTTTTTAAATTTTCCCTGAAAAACACAACGGTTTTGTAATTGTGAAACTTGTAAAATGTGCAGAAAACTGAGAGATCTGGCCGTCACGTGGAATTGCAAAGTAATTCTCGAAATAACGGCTCATTTTTTCAGCCATGCTCAGACTGCCGTGACTAACCATTATGTTCTTTTCAGTTGAAAAACTAAAGGAATAAAGCTACATGTTGCAAGAAACTTGCTCATTTCGCGCCTGTGACGTCACAAAGTCAATACGAAGCCATCCGAATGAGCCCCGAGCCTTGATACAAAATGCGGAACAAATCAACAAAAAGAGAGAAAACGAAATGATTTTTTAGACCAAAGCATTTTTTAGTCTGTGATATAATGAGAGCTATACTTGCGTTAAGATGGGAGAGTGTGTGTCTATGGAGAGGACTCGATTATGTTTCTTTTCTTTGTCCCTTATTGAAAACGACATTGTTTATGGAACACAGGAAACGAGAGAGGGAACGATATATCTTTTCGTCGTTTCCGCGCGAGGCGATCGAAGTTGGCGATCTCTCTCTCTCTCTCTCTCTCTCTCTCTCTCTCTCTCTCTCTCCGGGAGAGAGATCTTGCAGTGACGAGACGATTAAGCTTGAATGAAAATTGCGTCCTTTCTCGGAAGAACGGGTGGAGGTGGACTAATAATTAATACGAAAGCACACGTGATGAAAAAAAGAAACGAATAGCGAAATACGAAGACAAACGTCGAAGTAAAAATTCGAGAAGTGGAAAAATCGGGACAAACATTGAAGTGAACGCATCATATAGTCGGTCGGAATTCGAATTTAATTCATCCTTGTTATCCGACAGCCCCCCCCCCCTCCCCCCACTGACACGCGTAATTCGATCGTATTCCTCCATAACTGGACTGTCACGAGCGCGTGATCGAACGCCCCGACGATTCTGAGAAGAGAATGTTCGAAGCGCGAGATCGCACATCGCGCGCGCGACCATCGCCTCCAGCCGACTGCCAAGAGACCGCTATTCACGAGAGGAGAAATTAATTTTGCATTCGACGCTACACACAGAAATATTCTTATTCTTTCCCGTGGGCGCGCCTAAGCCGCGTGTCCCTTTTCGCTCTACAAGTAGAGAAGAGAAGAGCAAATTAATATTACCGTAGATCTATAAGATAACGTTTTATATATTAACGTTAATTAAGGTACATTTTGTAGCGTATAGAGACGTGTCTTTACGCATTAAGGACAGATCGCGTGATTCTGTGTAGCTGCTTTGAGAGTATGTGTGTGTGTGTGTATGCGTGCGTGTGTGAGAGAGAGAGAGAGAAAGAGGGAGAAAAAGAAACATTTGAGAATAGAAAGTCGAGACAGAGAGAAAAAGAGAGAGAGAGAGAGAGAGAGAGAGAGAGAGAGAGAGAGAGAGAGAGAGAGGAACGGAGAAATTTTATTTAGTCAAGCTAAGAGAGGCGCTCGGAGAATCGAATAGATTACGAATCGTTGAATTAGTACTTAAAACAAAGAGAGAAATAAAATAGGGATGCTACTCCATGCGCGCGGATCACATGATCTCTCCGACGATAACATATCTAGGGAATCTTAGAATCTCGCGGACAAGAGAGAGAGAGAGAGAGAGAGGGAGAAGGGAATACAAAAAAAGAGGCGGAAAAGAAGAAGAAAAAGAGAAGATCAATAGAGCGATAATGGAATATCGGTTTCTCTCGGGTATTTCATCGTACGTGAGCTGCACGTAGCTGAAATTGTAACGAAATTGCGATCGAGCTGCGACGGCGAGGTTTATCTTAGCGGGGAATCCTAAGCCACCTTTTGGCGTTTATAACACGTACACGCATGCACACACACACGCACATAAATGTGGATTTACGCGTGTGTGTATGTGTGTGTGTGTGTATATACATATACACATTATATGTATAAATACAGGCAGCTGCGCATACATAGATACATACAATCGTACACATGCATACGAACGAATATTACACACATTATATGAGGTAGCACGCAGAATCGAAATAAAATGGAGTATGATCTGCTAGAAGAAATGTTCGTTTATTTCGTCAGCACACCTTATGTCCAAATCGATCCCCGGCGGCGGTCGTGAGAAGTGAATGTGCGAATCCACCGTATCTATGCGGAACAGAGAGAGAGAAAGAGAGAGAGAGAGAGAGAGGAAGAAACGACTCGGCATGCCCTCCTCCGCCGAGATCTATCCGCGACTTGAGCTCGTTGAAGAATCCAATGAAGCGCTAAGCGCAACGATCGGGCACGAAAGGAGCGGTGAGAGAGCCTGCTGCACGATGACGTCGATGTCACGAAGGCCGACACCACTTCTCCCCTCGACACCGTTTCCGGAACACAGGTGACGTTAATTAAAAAAATGTATCTTCCGAGAATTTCTCTCGAGAACGCGAATGCTTCCGTTGTACGTCGGTGTCTGCGTTCTCGAAACGCGTTCGAGGAAATCGTATCTCGATCTTGACGTCCGCCATCGTACAGTGCGAGGCGCGCAAAGCGCGACAGGTGAGCATCTCTCAGAGATATTGACAGGGAAAAATGTTATCGGACAAAGTTGAAGTGAGTATTACGGTTTCATTTTTCTCTGTACGAATGCATCAAGGATTCGTCTGGGTACGCGCTATCGCGTATATTCAGAATATATACAGGGTGTCCGTTATTAAGTAAGACATCTGTCATATACTTGTAGTTTGGGTGAACGAAAAAGCCTCCTACCATTTTGCAAAAAACCAGCCGCGCAAAATTTCGACGAGTACTTCGCAGATCCGTTAAAAAAAAAAAAAACCGTCCACCTTGAAATATGCTTGATAGATTCGGAGATCAAATAAATACGTCCAAATAGTGTAACTCTTACATTATTTCAAGCTTTGCTGATAACATTCTCCGCGAACGATATTCGTGGGCGATATTGAACAGGTGAATTAGTCACGCTTCAGGCGTGACTTCACTCTATACCACTCTATACCGCAAGTAAAGAAAATTCCGGCGCTATTATCGACATGTTGTTGAACTGACGAAATTAACTTTTGGCGGCGGATCGACTCCTCCGCAGTCTCTCTCGTTCTTCCCGACGTTACGATACCAGCTGCAGCTGCTTGTGGAAGGTTTGAATCTGCCGTAGCAGCGCGGTAAGCTGTACAGAAGCGGGCGGCTCTCGCGCCGCGCCGTAAACGCTGGATCCTCCTCTTCGGCCGAAGATTTGCGTAGCGTTCGTCAGGAAGCGAGACTTTCCAGGCGCGAGCGACACGATAGGGAAAGGATTTCTCTGCGGTCCTACGGAATCGGTCCCTATGCAAACGAGACTGCTCTTCTCGCGCAACACCTTCATCTGCTGCTTCAGCGACGTCACCTGTTCGCGCGTTATCGTTCGAGATAATCCCGTTCTGCGAAACGCATCGCGTACCGCGAATGTATATATATTCATAACAACTCTCACTTCTTTGTAGAGATCGATAACGGCGACGATTTCCTCTTCCTTCACGTGCAGCTCCTTCTCCAAGGTGGACAGTTCTCCCGGTAGAGTCGCGTCGTCGGAATTTTCCACTTCCGACTGCAATTTCTCGTATCGCCTGCACGGTCGGAAGTGTTACTGGCGGAGCTTTCGAAAATAATCGCGTACACCCTTAAGGCTCCTTAAGGCTCCTTCGACACGGAGATAAAGATTTCTTTGGATTTAATAAAGTTTCTTTAATTGAAACAAATTTGTCTTTTCAAATGGAGCGAACAAACGAATGTTTGATTCAACAAACAGGATGTTGTTTGGTTTCTTAAATAATAAAAATCTCTCTTTCTTCGTCAAATAACATATTTCTTTTATATTTTCATCAAAACATTATAATGATTGTTACAAGTAATAAATTATTTGAGAGGAGTTACGCTACGTTACGAAAATATTAAACAACTTTTTCGTTTACAGTGAAACAATATTTAATACATAATGAAGTGAACTTTTTATTGAAAACGAAATGTTACTTCCTCTAAATAATACTGTCTTCTTTTGTATCAAACAACATAATTTATTCTAGTGAAACAATATTTTCATTCAAACAAAATATCTGATATTAAATTATGTTTATATTAAGCAAATCCAAGTAAAACGAACACGTATACTCCAAATCCGAAGAAACCTTTTTCCCTGTGCGGAAGCGAGAAAATAATCTCAGGCTCAAAATTCTTGCAAAGTTTTTGTAAAGATTAAAAGATATGTCCGTCACAAATGAGACTTGTGAGATCGATTGAGAGTGGATTTATAAAATACTCCGAAAATCTTTCCGTTTGGTTTACTCTAGTAACTAAGAAAATACCCGTGAAATTAACGTGACAAAATCATGCGCCCAGCCGAGTGTCCATTTCGCTAATCGTGCGTGAGAGCCGTCGAACGTGTTGGAGGATATTTTATTAATATGCCGCATGCATACCAAGAGTTTCTAGACTTTCTAGACTCTTTTCAATAGAAAAGAATATTTGCGGACGAATAACTTAGCATTTTGGAGAAAAATGTTCGGACAATTTTACAAGTGTGCCAAATCGATCGAACAAACGTCATTTTGCGAGTAAATATATATATATATATCTTTTTATTTGAACGTATAACGCAAGAATTCCCGACGTACGTTTCCTCGCTTCTGACGTCATCAAACAAGGACAACTGCAACAAGAGACCAGGAGGAGCCTGAATCGATCACAAATGTCACTTTACGGGCACATGTTTTGATTTCCGCGTACATTGCAAGAATTTGGAACGTATATTCTCGCGCTTTTGATAACATTAATCAAGATGGCAGTGACGAGGAAACGGGGGAGCCTTTAATATAACGATACGCCGACACTCACGTGTTCATCTCTTCGAATTGATCGCGAAGATTAACCAGAACATCGTGTATCTCCTTGGAATGATGCGAGTCGGTGATGTGCATTTTATGATCGCCAATGTCCTCCTGTAATATCAACGCGTTACTACAATTACGCTCGAGACGCGCCAAACGCGCGATTCACCTCCTTGCTCAGCGACACTCGCGAGATTCGCTGCTGATTTCTCGCGTACGCCAGCGTGCTGCTCCTCCTGTTCGCAACGAGAGAGCGCCGTTGCTTCATTCTGTATTCCTCGCAAAAATCGCCCTTCTCCTCGCAAAACAACCCGGGAATCGTTCGCGCGACGCTGGATCCCGCCGTGTGAACGCTCTGCACCTTTCCCACGTGTCGCAGCTCAAACACGGACGATCCGCCGTCTCGCTTGACGTTCGAGCTCTCCTTGTCGTGGAGCCGGCCGGTCGTCGATGACTCGAGGTCGAAAATCGACTTGACGCACCGCACGCTCATCTGCTCCAGAAATGTCGACACTGGTCTCGCACTTCTGCTAACTTTTCGTATGAAGAAAGGAGCGATGTCGGTCGATTGCCTCGTCTTCATTATGCTCAGAACCTGTCAGAACGGAAAGCGTCTCAGGAGTCTCTGCCGCCTCTTCGATATCTCTCGTGGTGACTTACTTGTTGAATGTTCAGCCCGAGATTATGACTCGGAGTCACCGAGGTGCTCACCACGAACGGTATATTGCGGAAGTTGAACCTGCCGAAGTACGACCTACTCGAGCGCTTCAACTTCGAAGCTACAGTCGGCATCTCGTAATTATGAGTAGACATCGGAGCGTTAAACCCGCTGCACGCAGTGTGCTCGCGTTGATACGTCTTGCGCCGCATCAGTGAATCGTCCGGACGCTTCTCCGAGTCACGTTGCTTTTGATCGCTGCTGTCGGCTGTTACTCTAGGACTCGAAGACGACAGGATTGCATGATAGCGGCAGCGTAATTTAAGACTGATCAATTACGAGTAATTAACGCTCGGTCGACAAATCTCGTGTCGTACATTGTATCCTTCTTGAATTGCGATTTTCTCCATTTATGTTTATGCGTTGAAACGGAAAATAAAAATAATTATTTCACTATAATCACACACCACAAGAGTCTCAAGTGTCAAATTCCTTCCTGTTGTTGTTTTTTACTATGCAATTTACTACAAATTAGGATCAATTCGACTTTAATGGGTTATATTTGCGATCAACGCCACGAAATTAACTAGAACCAATGGTTTAGATACACAATACAATTTCGTGTCGTATTTTGTATTGTATTTTTGTATTGTATTTTGTATCTAATGTTATTGTTATAATAATCGTATTCTTTATTTTATATTATTTCACTCTTTCTTTTTACCATTGCTGTTATTATGATCTTTGAAAAAATTACCTTGGATTGCTTTCGCGATTTAACGTTTCAGGAGAGAGATCGTTCAACCGCTTTCCCGATTTATTTTGCTCCTGAATACTGTCGGCTGTTACTCTATCGATAGGCGATAAACAGTGCTTGGTAACAACGACGATTAAGTTTTTTTCCAATAATTAAGAGTTAAGATCGAGAAAAGTTACCTCGGATTATTTTTACGATTACTCAACGCAGTCTCAAGACTCTGCTTTTCATTACTGCGGAATTGATGTCCACGAGTAACGTGTTCAAAACGTTCAGAATACAATTTCTCTCTCGTCTTCTGAGTAACCGTTTCAGCAGGGTTCTGCTTCTTCGCATGCTTCGCCCCGCGGCCAAGTTTAGAATACTTGGCGGAGACTCTGGAGTTGCTGCTCTTTAACGCAGTGTTATGAAAAATTTCCACGACTTCATTGGACTTTCTCGCCTTCAGCAAGGCGGACTGTTGACGAGCAACGCCACGACCTGCGTGGAAAACCCTGACTTAAGAGCGGAGAAGTCCTTCGATACAACGCACTCTTACGCTCAGAAAGCATTAATTACTGATTTACATACTGATTGTACGTTAACTACATTTTAATTAACACGTTAACAGTCGTGCAATAACGCCCTGCCCAGAGGCGAGCTCGACTTTTACCTCGGTTCCTGCGTCTCTTCGCTTCCTTCCTGCCTAAGAGACACGTGTCCTTGGTCGTAACCGTGCTCCTGGAGACGGAACTCCGTAATTTTCCTCTCTTCTTCCGAATCTTCGGTGCGGCTTCGTCCGTCTTGCAGGTGGAATTTATTTCGTTCCTTGGCGTTCCCGACGCGTGTCTACACTTGTTCGCCGCTTGTCTGGCTTCTGTATCCTCCGACGTGTCTAGATTCAATTCCAGTTCATCCTCTCTCACGCAACTCGGTACCGCACCGAAATAGTCTTCGTCCGTTTTCGATATTAATCCCTCGACGGAGCCTTCGACGCTCAGCATAGATTGTAAATATTCGTGCACGTGTTCCGGGTAGGAGGAGAGCGGCCGTTTGTATTCTCTGCTCGTCTATTTGTTCAGAGGGGAAAAACTCGGTTCGTCTATCTGTTCTCGTAATTTCCAGACTCGTGCGTATCTCCAGACATACAGGAATTTATACACGATTTTTATATGAAGACTTATGATACGTATGTGTAGTCACGTACACTCGCTTCCATAGTTTTATTCTGAACTGGCACTGTCGTTATCGCGGGAGGAAGCATCTTATCTAACTGGGTCTTCGGTGTAATCGTGACGTTTAATACTCCTTTTTGCGTTTCCTCGTTCAAAATTTCGCATTTAGCGACATCGTCGCCATTGGTGTTTCTTCTGGGCGAAAATCGCGCGGATTTTAGATTCAGAGCAGTATCTACGGAAATATAAATATTTAGATGTACAAGCTGCTTAGCAAAGAACGTTGTCTGAATTTTCGTCGGCCTTCAGCGTTCAACGTTACGAAGCTTTCGGAGGTCTGTTACAGTCTGTTGGAGTTTCATCGGTAGCTGCGAACTCGAATTTACAATTACGATATTCGACGGAGGATCTGGAGCCTTTGGACAACGGTATCATTTGTTCATGCGGAGTATCGGATGTTCCTTTGCTCCCTCTCGCTTCCATTTGCCCTTTCCGGCAGACATCCATCACGTAATCTAATTCGGACTTTAACGTGAGGCATTTCGTTTCCGCCATGTCCAACTCCTGTCCGATTTCTAAGCGGAATCAATGACTCAGTTCTCAATCGGAAATTTTTTCGATCGTGTTAAAACATATTTAGAAATGCAACATCATCCGAAAAGCTGGAATACAAATTCTGAACGCGACCTAACGTAAAAATCCAAAAATAAATATTTGGAGACGAACTCTTCCTCCTGATATAACATTATCCCTTCCATCAATACATAATTTTTCATCTCACCACATTTTTTCACAATATCATCACGTTCATTTTATGGCTATTTATTGATTGATTGCAGGCTGTCTTCACATTTTTATCCAAAAAAACGTCAGTACATTCGCGATATACGATTATATAGACGATACATAGACAATTTTATCTTCCCATAATAATATTGATAATGATATTATTAACGGCACTATAGAACACCTGTGTGTCTGACTTCTCACGACCTTCTATCTTTACTTTCTTGCAACCTTTTCGTGACTGACCACATACTCGTGCATTGACGGAAAGGTCATGCTACGTACAACGCTAGAACTACGAACGAGAAAAAATTCACATTGACAGGCAACAATACTTTTCAGCGTGACGTTCGGTCTGCTTTCCGAATCGTTTAATCTGCATGATTGCATTTCGGGTGGAATTTTTCGGGATGATTCTGAAAATAAGAGAAATAATGATACACAGAGCGGGATGTAAATTCCTCCTAAATCGTAAGATCGCGTGTGCGTTGACACAAATTTTTTTTCTTACGACGGTTTTTCACGACACGACGAGTACCTGATTGTTCATCCGATAATTACCTGGAACCGTTCTCTCGCTCGCGATGCTGGGAATATTCATATCGTGTATATCCGGCTGCTCTCTCACCTAAGCTCCATAATTTTTCACTCGCACGGAAATCTGACGGCCGCTAATAGAAATTTGTCGTTTCACCGGATAAACGTAATTTGTCGCTGCCCGCGCGAGACGACGTGCGATACGAAGGAGACTTGATTAAAAGGACGATTCATAGGTTACGGTTGACACGCTGAACGTTCACATCGTTCTCCTGTCGCGGGCTGCATTCTCCTTTGTTCGGTGAGCAATCGCGCAGAGGGACAAATTCAGTGTCCACGATGCAACGGCAGCTTGACGTAAGGCGCTTTCAATTCTCGCGCCGATCTCGATATCAAAAGCGAACGGAACGCGGCGTCGCGCGGAAGTAGTGCTTGTTCCCGTTCGAGAAAACGCGACAATAATAAGAACACTCGCGACTTTATATTGTTACGCGTGACGCGCGAATTTGTCATCTCTCTTCTCCGCTCACGGCCATTATTTATTGTACGCTGAAATGTTATTGTACTCACAGATCGGCGAATCGCCCAACCGCCTTCCTCGAACATCAACGCCATCTGTCAGCGTCGCGTTGTGCCTCTCATCTCGGTCGCATTATCGCACACTTTCCGCTAAAAATAAAACACAAGTTTGTGGCGGACATGAAAAAGAAACGAGGGAAGGACGAAAATTGGGGAGAAAAACTTACAGGAAACGCGGCTGGAAGTGAAAGCGACAAGAGGTCTCGTCTTCGAACGAACGTCGCTACGAACGGTTTCAATATAACGGAAACGTCACATCGCTCGCCTCAGCTGCATATTCCTGCAGACGAAACCGACAAAGACGGTGTGCCATTCGCGTTCCACAGCAGAGGGATGGGGGGGCTGCGAAAAATCAAGCAAAGTGCGGCGGAAAGCACGAGAGCCGAAACGTCAGCTCGCTCTGCGTCAGTGCGTGTTACGTGATAGCGGGTAATTTCGAATGCGGCGGTTCCAGACTGTCGTGCCAATTTTCGTCGCCAGGGTGCGCTCGGGTCTGTACCACGGGTGTATTTTAGGAGGACGCACGAGCGACGTGCCAGCTAGTTTGCAAATGGTGGACGGTCCGTAACGTCTTCGTGTGTCACGTTAACATCAGGTAGGCGGAAAGGGTCCCCTCCGGTTGCGAAGCGCCGACGACGTCGACGCTTCGCACGCCTGTCGTTCGCCAGGATGTTCGCGCGAGCATAACCTCTCTCTCTCTCTCTCTCTTCGAACGGTTGCGGCAATCGACGCTGCACAATCGGCCACCCATCGTGCGATCGATCGACCAGACGGTGCTTTCTCTCTTCCCCTCGAGTGCGATTGTGTGCATATATATGTGCCGCGATGACGCCAGGGTTACGTTCGATTACGTAAAAACTTCGCGACCGGACGACGAAAATAGTCACCTGACTCGACTCCCCGTGCGCTCCCCGCGAGGCTTTCCGGGGAGAGGATTCCTCGCGCGCGGCGCGCATTTGGCGTTAACTTCACGTCGCTACGGCGGCACACGCGGTCACGTTTCGCGAATGACGAAACCGGTCGGCGGTTTCGAGCCGATTTCGGAAGCGCGAGTTTTTCGATTGACAGTCACGCCGCGAGAAGAATACAAGAGAATACAGAGAATACAAAGTTCGCGCGCCCGACGCGGTTTGCCCGATGACGTATTCTACGGTTGTTTGCGGATCTCATCGGCAGCTCGTTTAACGGCCTCTCGCCGGGCACGGTCGCGTCGCACGCGGCACGAGTTTACGCCGCCCCGCGTCCTCCAAACACGCGGTGCACGAGTACGAGTCTAATTGAGCTTTCCGCGTGTGTCTCCTCTCTCTCTCTCTCTCTTTTATCTTCGGCATGCCAATGGTGTAATTTGCACTTGACTTGGTCGCCGTTTAGCTCGCTACTTAAATCTTTTATCTTTCCTTTTTCCACGACGACGTACGTTCGTTGTTTTTTTTTCGAACGAAGCAGGAAGACCTTCAACCAACGGACATTGTTTGCCTCCTTTTCATACGTTTCCCGATTGTAAAAATACAAAAGTAGTGTGTAACTGAAAAAAAAAAAGGGGAAGAAGGAATGACTCGTACAAGGTCCGTTCCCCTTCTCTCCGCCTGCTCGTGATTTTTCTCCCTCTTTCACTTTCTCTGTCTTTGTCTCTAAGCTCGCAGCACATAATCATACTTAATGCCAAAGCAGACGACGCAACTCAGCGTGACTGGGGACAAAAAAAAAAAGAGGAAAAATGTAATCGCGCGTTGTGTAATCCGGCGCGATAGATGTTCCGCGATATTGCGCGCCTCCCGTCTGTCATCCTGATGTGACATTTAGGTAACGGCGACCACGTTTCTCGAGAGCGGCGTATCTCTCTCTCTCTCTCTCTCCCTCTCTCTCGGCGCGCTCGAGACGTAATTCCCGCCGTAATTTCATGGAAACTTTTATCGCGAGAAGTGACTCAGGGCCTAATGATTTTTCTCAATAGTGCTACGAGCGAATGAGGCCAGTGATCGTGCCGGGGTTTCCTGCGAAAGTGTTTTATCACGAATCTTCGTGACTAAATAGGTTTCTCCGAAATCGCGATTTCTTTTATTTCCTCTGCGTTTTAGACGTTCAAAGGGATAAACTAGTAGCAAATGTGACTCGTTCATATGATGATACTAATATATATGTATTATATATATATTTTTTTTTTATATAAAAATCTAGAACAGGTACACGCACATACACACACATATTGGGGAAATCTGCGAAGAGAAAAGGCAACGTGACTCCAAGATTCATAATCTTGCCATTACCATGTATGATTTCGAAACGAAAGCATGTAATGTCGTCATTGAATCTGATTTTCTTAATTTCCTTACAATATGTATCATTGGAATTTTTTTGAAATGACTAAAATAACTCGGCAGAATGAAAATACAATAGTAGATGCTCTTATGTTAGTTTATTTTAATTGTTCCTTAATTATTTCTTAATGATTCGATAGTAATTATCGAGGAATATAGTAGCACCATAATTACTCCTGTCTGACCCCATATGTTAAAACTCACTTTCAAGGTTTCGAATCATCCTGTTGAATGTTCATAAATATTCAGTATTGCCATTTGAATTTCAGTCTGAAGGTCTAGCGCTGAGTTAAAGTTAAATATTTGAATTTTTTTTCTTTGTTATCAAAGAGAAATTGCCGCTTCTGCTGCGAGGCAGGAGTAATGTTTTAAAGTGTTTCATTATCTCAAAATATGAATTATATACCGTTTCCGACAGACAGAATGACGTCTATCGGAGCTTATCGGAGGCCAATGTCTGCCATTGATTCTGCGAAAACTTTAAAGCTGATGTATCTACCTCACATGCAACGCCTAGTTATCCTTTGTACTCTTTTTTTCCCCTTCTACGTATTTCATACTTCAGATAGCAATGTTTTGCCGATCGTTTGATCCCATTGGTCGTCACGAGAACCTTTTAAGATAATATACGATCTCGTGTACCCAGGCGAAAGTGCATACAACGTATGCTCAATAAGTCTTTTAGATTCTCTTTGCGAAATTCCGTGGGACGTTCGGCGAAATTTTTCTGCACGTTTTGTTACGCAACCTGGAGAACTGCCAGTTCCCCCTTTAAAATAGAACTTTAACGTGAATATTTATGCGAATGATGAAGCGCATAAGCTTTTCGTATAATGTAGCACAAGAGATAAATGTATATTAATTGTTTATATATGTGTGTGTGTGTGTGTGTGTGTGTGTGTGTGTGTGTGTAAATATATAAGCAATATATATATATATATATATATATATATATATAATCAGTGTATTTCTTTTATTTGCACCATATTGCATTATATATTCACGTATCAAATATGTATATATATATATGATATGATATCATGAATATATATATATATATATATTCATGATATATATATATATATATTCATGATATCAGTATGATCTGAATAAGTCACATATGTCAATCCTTTATTACAATTCACAAAGTATAATATGGACTTTATTGCGTCATCTGTTCACTTGCTAGTATCAGTCGGTTTCATCACATACAAATGTCTCGAATTTGACGTATTGCGTCCGATGGTGCAATTGTTATTTCTATATGCCCGAGACTAAAATACGACATTGAAATATTTCTACAAGCATAGATAGAAATTCTCTCTGAAGCTTTATTTAGTATCACTCTTCGTGTATGCATTTTTACCTACGCAAAAACACACACACACACAAAATTGTATCAAATAGAATCTTGGATGCATCAACATAGTTGTTTACATAACTACATAATGTCGCTTCCCATTTACCTTGCGTGTCTGCACGCTCAATGAATATGACATACAGGCAAAGAGAGTCTGCAAAAGATCTGCAGAGGCAGAGTCTGCAGACTCTCTAGAATTTCGAATAACATATATAAGGCACGATAAGGCAGCAGATACTGACGATAAGGTCGGGCAAATCTGATTATACGACTGCGCGCCGAACTGAGATGAGCATAACATACGTTAGTATTATACCTATCAAAGTGTTTGTATTCTCATTGTGTTTGTATCCTCCGCCTCATTAGTAGTTTAAGCACGAGACACTTGCGATATGCTTAATCTAACTGCAGGTGTGATCTTCAGATAACGCGCTCACTTAATCAGTTCAAATGGCACATAAAATATGAAGTATATTTTTTATCTTTATCTTTAGCCGCGTCTTGCGTAATTTCCTTGCCTTATCTCCTGCTATCCTTCTCATATCAGCGGTACTTCCTATGATAAAGTGATGATTCCTTCCTACCTATTTAAAAATGAAGCAAAAGTTAAGATCAACGTAGAGCAGTTAAGTGACGTTCCATTGTGTTCCACTGTGCGTTTTAGGTAAAAAAAATGTATAAGGCAAGGACGTTATTCAGCAGACTGGCCCCTTTGGCGCCGAACATATGCGGGCCCGAAAGATACGCTTCCTGGGTGGTCCGCAGTCACCCGTTGACGAGGACCAGCCAGGTAATCTTCACCGAAGCCACGCGCAAATACAACAGCACCGTGTCAAGCGAACCTTTTCTAAATGGCAGCTCCAGCTCCTACGTTGAATTAATGTACAACGCGTGGTTGCGAGACCCCACCAGCGTGCACGTGGTGAGTAAATCTTAAATCTTGTATAATGATATTTGCAAGTTGTGAAAGATTCAAATTAAAATTGCTTGTTTGAATCAGAACGATGTCAGTATGTGAGATTGTGAACGATACATGTTATGTTTCTAGTGTTATTTTCTTAAAATTGAAAGAAGGTTGTCTCGAAGATCAAGAAAAAAGAGGAAAGCCAAAAATATAGATATGAGCTCGACCGCACAGATTGTGAAATAAAATCTAAGATAAAGGTTTTATTTACTCGCTACTTACTTTACTTTACTTTAAAGTAAAAGTACCAATGTGTCTGGATATATAGCCCTGGACATTCTTATTGTTTTAGTTTTTGAATACGAATATTTAAACTGTCTCGACATAATATATATATATATATATATCCTGTGCAGAGCAAAATTTCGGCTTTACAAATTCTATTTTGTTTTATCGTTTGCGTTCTGATTATAATTATCTCGAATTCCATATAATGCTGTTATTATGACGTTTGTTCGTATTCCGGTGTATCTAAAATATCTTTAAATTTGTTCTATCCTTTTTTATAGTCATGGGATTCCTTCTTTCGAAACAGTACCGCTGGAGCTGCACCTGGGCTCGCGTATCAGGCACCACCATCTCTCGCTCCAAGTCATAACCAAGTGCCGCTTGGAGCGCTATTGCCCATGGGTGGGATGCAAGTCAGCCAGATGCCTGTCAATGAGAAAATTATTGACGACCACCTAGCAGTGCAGGCTATTATTCGTTCTTATCAGGTATGTGTGGAATGCTGAAATTAGCTGTTTGCTTCATCTTCATATCCACGAATTTCGGCGTGTAACTCTTGCAAAACAAGCGTCTCATAGATGACGGGTTTTACCCCGCAGTGTTGATCCGAAAATACATGTATGAATAATGATAATTTTTTATTGTTGCTAATTTTATCGCTTCACTTGCAAGAGGCGACACGTCTTATTTGGCCTTATTACACATTTTACTTGTGTAACAAAGTGTACGATTTAATGCATCGGAGTATTTCTTTTTCCTTACTTTTTTTTTTTTTACATTAACTATGAGCTTAACACATTTTATGCTCCTCTTTCTGTGAAAGACAATTTATATTTTGTCTATTTTCAACGTATCTAATAAACTAAGTGGGAGCTTGAAAGAATGCCTCTGAATCGTTAATGTATTAATCTATTAAAATCTATATAACTAAATCTATATGCTACGCTTTAATAGCAATTTCAATAATTAAATTGTAAATTTTAGCGACATCTAATCGTATTGAAAATATTCTCACATATTTAAGCGCGATAGAAAGAATTCTCAGCTTGCTGCCATTATTTAAATAAAAGCGATATTTTAAAGAGTAATAATATGATTGTTGATACATCAATTTTCGTAATTTATGCGTGCATTACGGGAATTACTATGACGCGTTAAAATCTACATGTCGGATATATGTCAGCATATACATGTATACATGTGTTTTGTATACAGTTACAGAAGTTTTAAATATGGTTTTGCATGTAAAGTCCACTATACAAAAGCTTTCAATTTCTGTGTACCAGTTTTGTTTATATAATACGTGCGGAAATATGAGTGAAAGGAGGGGTATTTTTTATCTAATATAAAATTTATATTTGTGTAGACATAAATATATGCATATCAAGTTCATATGTATATGCAATGTGAACTTCATGTAAGTTTATGATGAATATGTTAACATGAAGGGGCACGGAACTGGGACACGGAACATATCGATGTTAAGAATTTATGTTTATTGTTAGGTGCTATCGTATAATGTTACCAAAAATTCTAGCATCTCTCATGTATTTCATATGCTATCAATACATGATAGGTTACGTAATGAATGCATTGGGCACAATTAGCAAGTATGATTATAGTCATATGTTGATTATGTTGAAAATTATACAATAGTCTCACTACATGTCTTATCTCTAGCATGCCTTGCAACTCCTTGCTGTATTTTTTTTTTAGCAAAAGTGACAATATGATATTCCCGATGATTTCGGCTTAGAATCGTATATTAAGTACTTCATATGTGTATAAATGTCGAGAAAGGAGCAGTGATACAAATTTATAACTTGATTGATCGCGAAGTTGATTAAGATTATGAAAACTGTTTAATTACACTCCAATTACATAACACAATATATATATACATAAATATAATTTTTTTTTAATCCAATTAAATTAAAATTACGGGAAGGATAAAAGTTGACGTATAACCTCCCAGTTACAGCCTGTATATAAATTTCGCAACTATGTTCAGTAAAGATCAGAATGTAGAAGTGTAGAATGCTTGCCGATGCTCTATATATATAGCTATGTTGGCTCGTTTTTTTTTCTCTCCGATTGCAACTGTGTGTAGTGCAGTTTCGAAGTTAAGCACAGTTATATATAAATGTGAAGTTCTTTTCGGGATTATTCGTTTGGCGTTTAGGCTCGAGGCCACTTAGTTGCCGATCTGGATCCCCTGGGTATCATGCAAACAGACCTGATACACACGCATTACGCAGCCCGCAAAGGGTCGCCAGAACAAGTGCTGCGACAGTACATGCTTGGTAAGGCTTTATCCCCGGAGCATTTCTTCACGGGCTGTTTTATTCTAGAGATCATGGTTTTTTCTCCATACATATGCGACATAAAGGTGTATGACAATCACATCATATTTTGGTTTGGACTATATGTGTGGTCTACATAAATACGTATAAGAGTTACAGATTATTTTAATTTTTTTTTCTATTTCTCGCGATTTTACTCGTCGAAGCAGCTTTTCCTAATGCGCTTTCGGCATTATCATTTCATGGAATCATTTTTACATAATAACATTTTACATTCTGTTTTCCCGGGGAAAAAAACCTTCTACGGTCACACAGTTTTGTTTGCGCAATAATATAATTGTATATGACTTTAAAGCGCAAAAATAACTTTACGATGTATAAAACGTACCTTAAGATTCGATTGAAGCGAAATCTATAAATTCAAGTAACGTGTTTTTTTCTTCAGTCTTGACAAGATTTTATTTTATTTGTCGAACTTTATTGCTTTCCTATATTAAAATATTTCGTAATTAAGCCATTTTGTGTGGTTTAGAGAAACTTATCGGTTTATATGAGGCTGATGTTATATATTGCAAATGATGTTAAGTGAGTCTTATATACTATGAAATACAAATTCACACTGATACTGAAAATGTTTCTACAAACGTGAGATACAAATTCATTTTGGGCATTATGGAACTATCTCCATGCCATCTTTTCATAATAATCGACAATTGAATTGGGTATGCAATGATTTACGTATATATATATATATATATATATATATATATATATATATATGTATGTATTTTCATATATGTGAGCAATGGAAACTGTCGAGTAAGAAAAATTTACTTGACAGAATACAAATCGATAAATATACGCGTAGACGGGCGTGTATCGCTCCTACGTGAGTGAAACGTCAAAGGTAAGATTAAGGAGATTTCTGCTGGTTTTGCATGCACACTTTGTATGTATTGTTATTATATGTGTATGTTGCTTTTGGACACCTGCATTTTGTTATCCACCAAATTGTGCCTGTCTTTTTAAATTTTCTCTATTAACTATCTTATGATTATTTTTCTTTCTAACTGCTATAACAGGGAATTGGAATCGAATTATATATTATTTCTTGCTTTATAATAAAGTGAAAAGCACCGCATAAAGTATCGGTAATAAGAAAAACTAAGGAACAGATAACATATTCGCAAAATGAATTTTAAAATTTGCTATATTGATCACAACGCTTTATATTAATATTTGTAATATATATATATACATATATTTTTAATTACTATGATATGATGTTTTTTTTTGTGTAAAAAAGCACAATGATAATTCGCATCGTATTATCCTTTTTGCTGTATTGTGCTGGAATATTCAAAGAAAAAGTAAATGAAACATCAAACACAGTAATTTATCTTAACTGTATTGTTACTGTGCTATTAAGACGCAATGAAGATTTGAAGACTATCTAGTTCGTATGAATGTGACGTTAAATTGACAGATTCGTGGCCATCATATCGCTAAATTGGATCCACTCGGCATCAACAGCGCTGATCTTGACGATAGACATCCGCAAGAATTACTGTATAACCATTATTCATTCGGTAAGCCTATAAATGAACGTGTCTTTGCATTAATGACAGAGTAAAAATATAAAAATAGGCTCTTACGAGCAGCGAATCATGTCACTCGATTGATTCAAGGGTTACTAATCAGTCAGACTATCAGTAATGTAATCGTGACTATTTATATCTGCAAATATATTTCCAAGTATAAATTATTCATATAAAAATTACTTACATACTGTTATTGGACAAAATATATTCAACAATCTTTTGTGCTTAACGTAAATGAGATACGTTTCGCGTTTCTTGTCGCTTAATTAACTCGTACGTGGAAAGAATAAGTTTCATCGATTTTTATCCGAGTAATTAACACACACGAAATGTACCTACAAAGCTTCGCTTGCTATTTGATTTATCATATTATTAGTTTAGTCTACTGATTAGTTCTTTCAGTATAATTTAGCGGCTTTCAGTACATTTAATTATTTCTACTGCACTTTTCCATAACTCTTATAACTTATCTTCCGTTCTCACCCTGCAAACACGACATGATCGGTTCATCTCTCTAGGTAGTGTCAGTAATAATAAAAGTATCAACGAGAAAGAAAAAAAAAACAAATTTATCATATCTCTTGTAGGGAAAGTTTCTTGTGGAAAGTTTCTTAGTTTAAATTTCTTGTATTGGAAAGTTTCTTAATTTATATTTGATTTTGACGAGAGTGAGAGAGAGAGAGAGAGAGAGAGAGAGAGAGAGAGAGAGAGAGAGAGAGAGAGAGAAAATCGGAGACTTCCAAATTCTTCGGTAAATCTCTTGGTGCGTGTTCTGAACTTACTTTTATTGATAAAAGTGCCTCTAGAAGTGGCTCAAGGACCACCTGATTGACTGAGAAGCTACGTTCAAGGCACTTTTATCCATAAAAGCGAGTTCAGAATACATGGACCTTTGAATTTCCTTGAACGTCTTTTACGACGAACGAACACAAAAAAAAACTGAATATGCAGCAAACGATACGAGTAGCGAATAAAGACGAAAAATCTTTGGGAATCGGCATTGGATCCGATCGTTGTTGAGTTTGAGTCTGATGTCCACAGGGAAGAGACCACGTACTACTTACTCACAGGAACTTCAATATCGAGTATCGACCCTTATGAAACGTATGTAATAATCACCATCTCTAAAACGCCAGTTTTTCCGTAAGGGTTTTTCTCTTTCACCGCCGGTGAATTATATCGGGGAGCACTCGTTTTGTGTTTGCACAAAGTTTAATGCTGCATTGGGTGGAACTATAACTATAAAGGTGCTTGGGTCCTTCTTTTCTCTTTTCCACGCATATGTCGGCCGGAAAACTTATCGTGTAATGAAATATGCGATAAAAATTAGAAGACCGACCGCACGACACGGGCGGAAACTTAGATTTTGTTTCTCTTTCACCGCCGAATATCTTGCTGTGTAACAAACTGACATGCTGTGTGTATTATTATTATTAATATCTCGAGTTCTCTGACGTGTGTTCTTTCTTTTCTTTTATCTCTGTGTCTTGTGTTACTCATTGCATTTTATATTACGATAATATTACTTATTATTTATCACTTGTTTATTTGAGATTTATTTTTCATCGTTTGTCTTTCCTTTTTTATTCTCGATGGTGTTGTGGCCCTTTAACTACACGCTTTATACTTATTAACTCTCACGGCTTTCGTCTCTCTCTCTGTATCTGAAAACTTTGTTTTTCCGCGAGTTTACCACTTGTTTGCGCTGTGCTCGCAAATACTGTGAAATATCGTGGCGTATACGGTGTACACTCACGGTATCTCGCAAAAGTATACTGCATGTTTACATCAATGAATACTTCACACATACTGTGAACACACTAAGGTCATATATCGCTGTTAGAGAAAACGATTTGTCTATACGCCGTACCAACTAGGCTGTTGTTCCTCGAATTAAAATCGTGCAGAGATATATAACAGATGGATTAATTAATACCGTCGACACGCAATTAGCGAAGAGTATAGTTCCAAAAAGCAAAATCCTTTTTCGCACAAAGTAAACACATTTTCAGTATCAGTTCTAAGCGGGACGGGGAGGGAGGGGGGAGGGTAAAAAGGGAAAGAGTACACTTGACTCATTTCACGTGATCCTTCAGCTTACGACCACCACACACACATTTCGTGCCAAAAACGGAGTATTTTCAAGTAAATGCCGCAGTTTCTCGGACCATCTCGTGCAACCACACGGATGAAACAAATTTTGCCAGAACAGCAAATGTTTGTCGATATAGTGACAGCGAAAAAAATTTGTTCAGATAGCAAAAGATTGGTTTGAACGGCGAAAAGATTTGTTAAGAATATTAATTGCTCTTTGCTGGATGCATGGGACAATTAATACTTTTAACCAATTTTTCTGCTGTCCGAACAAATTTTTCTTTTTGCTGTCGCTATATTGAGAAGTATTTGCTGTTCCGGCAAAATTTGTATTCTCCGTGCACGAACCGCGGCATTTAGATATCTCCCTCTCGGTCAACCATGCTCGGGGTGTAAAACTTGTAAAACACGTGTGTTTCTCTGTCTCTCGTTTCATCATCACTTAAAACAGAGGAGTCGGACATGGATCGTGTGTTTAAATTGCCATCTACCACGTTCATCGGCGGCAAGGAGAAATCGTTGCCGCTGCGCGAGATCCTGAAGCGGCTCGAGGCCGCCTACTGCGGCCACATCGGCGTCGAGTTCATGTTCATCAACTCCTTGGAGCAGTGCAACTGGATCAGGCAGAAAATGGAGACGCCTGGGATTATGGAGGTGACGAACGACGAGAAGAGGCTCATCCTGGCCAGATTAACGCGCGCAACCGGGTAATAAGACCAGTCGCGGGCTCGAATTCCAAATCGGTACTGAGACATCAGGCTTGTTTTCCATTTCCGAACTGGGTGCACCAGTTCATGAAAGCTGCGTCCCGATATTCACCACCAGTACTGAAAACCTATAATATGTACGTAACTGTAGATGAGTGCTATAGGTTTTCAATACTGACCAGTGGATATCGGAACGCTGCCTTCTTGAACTAGTACAGCCAGTTCAAGAATAAAAAACAAACTTGCTAAGATCACAAATTTCACATAGGTTAAAAAAGCGAAGAAATATCGCACATTTTTATGAAACGAAAAGGAGTCTGAAGGTCCCCCCCCCCCCCTCACGGAAAAAGGGAATTAGATGTCATATAATGCAACTGAAATTTAGTCGCCAAACCTGGTTTTTAGCTGTAGAAGTTAAAAACCAGGTAGAAGGACAAAAGGAATTAGCCAAATTAACTAAACTTCAGTTGTATCGTATTACACGGACAGTTAATTTTCACCTGTGGGCAGCTACTTCTTTTTCTCCATGTTATATCTTCTCTTTATTTCCATTTTATTTATTTCATACAATGTGTAAGTAAACACTATGAGACACTTGACGAGATAGACTTCTTCCACGTGGTCGCTCTATTTAAAAGGGAGTTTCTAACGAATAGACGTGGGTGTGGAGTTTTGCAATTGGAGTCTCGCAGTTCTACGTTTTGTTTTCGACCAACGTCCGGGAGAGAGACGTGGCCAATGAGTGTCTTTCAATGTGACGCAGATTCGAGGCATTCTTGGCGCGCAAATGGTCGTCGGAGAAGAGATTCGGTCTGGAAGGTTGCGAAATTTTGATTCCAGCTATGAAGCAAGTGATCGACAAGTCCACGGAATTGGGAGTCGAGTCGATCGTCATGGGTATGCCACACCGCGGCCGTCTCAATGTTCTTGCTAATGTCTGCCGCAAGCCGTTGAGCCAGATATTCACTCAATTCGCTGCTCTCGAAGCCGCCGATGATGTAAGTGTTAGACTCCTGTTTAACAACTGTGGAACACGTGTGCCGTAATTACTCTGTTGACGGCCAAGCATCCCGTGTTGTGTTTTAGGGTTCCGGCGACGTCAAGTATCACTTGGGCACGTACATCGAGCGCCTCAACCGCGTGACGAACAAGAACATCCGACTCGCCGTGGTCGCGAATCCGTCGCATCTCGAGGCTGTGGATCCGGTGGTGCAAGGCAAAACACGCGCCGAACAGTTCTACCGAGGCGATGGCGAAGGCAAAAAGGTAAACGCAGACCTAGTTACACAAGTTGCTTTTTTTACGCCGATCTTTTTTATTACAGGTTGTGTTACATGATATAAGAGTAAATGGCATCTTAAACTGGGCAAAATGTGCCTTATGTAATGTAATTAGTTTTATTTCGGTAGACAAAAAGTTCAGTTCAGAATTACATTGGAATTAGCGAAGTGCCATAGTTACTCGTACGTTCAATTCATTCCAGAATTGCCGCAGAGCTGAGAAACGAGTCGGGAAACGTCATGGAAACATATAAAAAAGCCTGTAATTTTTAACTTTGCTCACAGTTCCACCAAATGTTCTTATTCTAAAGAATACATTTTTTTTATCGAACAAAAAGTCAGGAAACTTTAAAACTCATGTCCTGTGGCAACCCTGAATTACATATCCATATTGTGCAATTGCATGCAATTCTGGTTACGTTTTGGAATTCTTCACGGATGTGTAATTTTATTTGAGTAGATGCAACGTTATCTGTTTGTCGCAGGTTATGTCCATTCTGCTGCACGGAGATGCTGCTTTCTGCGGTCAGGGCATTGTCTTCGAAACAATGCATCTATCCGACCTGCCAGATTACACCACTCACGGCACCATTCACATCGTCGTGAACAATCAGATCGGGTTCACCACGGACCCACGGCATTCTCGATCCTCGCCATACTGTACCGGTTAGCAACTTGCGCAACCTCGAGTATCTTGTCTTTTCTTTTCCTTCAACGACAGATGACTAACATACGTATGACATTCATCAGACGTTGCCAGAGTGGTGAACGCGCCCATTTTCCACGTGAATTCCGACGATCCTGAGGCTGTGATGCACGTGTGCAAGGTGGCGGCCGAATGGCGGGCCACTTTCCACAAGGACGTCGTGATCGACTTGGTCTCCTATAGGCGCAACGGCCACAACGAGATCGACGAGCCCATGTTCACGCAGCCTTTGATGTACCGCAAGATCAAGAACACTCCGCCGGCGCTCGACAAGTACGCCAATACCCTTCTCGCTGATAGCGTCGTCAGCCCCGAGGAAGTGAAGGTATCGAGATCTTGCGCGTGCAGTCTCCGGCCGTATTATGGGACGCGCACCTTAATTCTTTACATTTCATTGACTCCCGAGGGCCAGTATAATATGGCTCATCTATCGATCGAATTATGTTGAGGAACCATTATTATTATTCTTTATATATATATATATATATATAAAATAAATAAATAAATAAATAAATAAATAAATAAATAAATAAATAAATAAATAAAAGAGGTATTTTTTATGATGTTATTTCACTCTGTTACGGTGACCTTGAACAAATGTGAACCCGCGTAAGTTGCATTGTTAGTAATAACGAGAACAAACGCGAGTTTCGAATGTGTGTCAATTGAAATTTAGTTTTATTTTCGCTTACATGCGCCTTGAAACTTCAAATTCCTTGCTTACCAATCAAGAAAAATAAATTTTTGCGTGAAAAATATTAATATTCTTTGCAAAAATTATAGGTAAAACGAGTGATTTGACACCTCAGAAGATTGCAGAGGCAAAAGCGCCAATTAACACCGAAAATTATTCTAATCGAGTAAAAATCAAATCAGTAGCTTTTCTTCTAACCTGCTGTTCTATCAAAGAATCAAAGTGCGTCTAATAATACGGCCAGGGACTTTGTAGTAATGTCTCACCCCTCGTCCCTGATCGTGTTAAAAACTGCTCTCGTTCGTAGGATGTCAAGGACAAGTACGAGAAGATCTGCGAGGAGGCGTATAACAACGCCAGACAGGAGACGCATATCAAGTACAAAGACTGGTTGGACTCACCGTGGTCGGGGTTCTTCGAGGGAAAGGACCCATTGAAGGTGTCACCCACCGGCATCAAGGAGGACACTCTCGTCCACATCGGCAAGAAGTTTTCGTCGCTACCGCCGAACGCAGCCGAGTTTGTCGTGCACAAAGGTGAGTATGCGACTGAATTTGTTATCTTCAAAAGTTAGTACGGCATTAAAGATATGTGATTTTCATTGCAGTTTTCAAAGTTTCTCGGGAAAAGAGACCCGGTTTTTCTCCGACTTTTCCTCCGGATTTTTTGGTTTCTTCTTCACGGAAGAAAGTTAAACGTGGCGGGTCTTAACGGAACGTGAAGTTTTCTGAGTGAATTTTCGTACCCTTCGGGACGGAAACCGAAGAAATCCGCGGGAAAATTGAGGAAAGAACGGCTTTTTTTTTCTAAAACTTTAAGACTGTCATTTCGATGAATGTTGAAAATTAGAAATGACTGTGACACATCGTCGCGGAAGAAGTGACACTGTGATCGTTGTGCAGGTATCGAACGTATTTTGAAGTCGCGCTTGGAAATGGTCGAGTCGAGAACCGTCGATTGGGCCCTCGGGGAAGCCATGGCGTTCGGATCCCTCCTCAAGGAAGGTATTCACGTCCGACTGTCGGGCCAGGACGTGGAAAGAGGCACGTTCTCGCACAGGCATCACGTGCTGCACCATCAGACCGTCGACAAAGCAACTTACAGGCCACTCTGCTATCTGTACCCTGATCAAGCACCTTACACCGTCTGCAACAGTTCTCTTTCTGAATTTGGTGTCCTCGGTAAGGTCATGATTATCGCGTTTAGTGTAATTATATCTGTACAATTTTTATCTGTATGAATATATCGAGATAATTTCTTGGCTCCGCGCGCGCAGGATTCGAACTTGGATACTCGATGACAAACCCTAATGCACTGGTGTGCTGGGAAGCGCAGTTCGGTGACTTCAACAATACCGCGCAATGTATAATCGATCAGTTCATCAGCAGCGGCCAGGCGAAATGGGTGAGGCAATCCGGCCTTGTCATGTTACAACCTCATGGTCTCGAAGGAATGGTAAGTCTCTTTCTATCTCTCCATCGGTGTTGTGAAATCAATCTCGGTTAATTATGAATTAATTTTACGACGAATCAGTCACCTGTTAAACGAGTATATATATATATTTCTCTTTTATCTCAGGGTCCCGAGCACTCCAGCGCTCGTCTCGAGCGTTTCCTCCAGATGTCCGCCGATGATCCGGATTACTTCCCGCCGGAGAGTGAAGAATTCGCCGTTCGCCAGTTACACGACAGCAATTGGATCGTCGCCAACTGCAGCACGCCGGCTAACTATTTCCACATTCTGCGACGACAGATCGCGCTGCCCTTCAGGAAACCGTTGATTGTGATGACGCCGAAGTCTCTGCTTCGTCATCCGGAGGCCAAGTCGAACTTCGACCTGATGCTGGAAGACACGCAGTTCCTCCGGGTGATACCGGAGGAAGGCACGGCAGCTCAGAACCCCGGCAACGTCAAGAGATTGCTGTTTTGCTCGGGCAAGGTTTATTACGACCTGAAGAAAGCTCGCACGGAACGGCAAATGGACGACAAAATCGCAATCGCCCGAGTCGAACAGGTTACTTTCCGAATAATCTTTTTTTTTTTAACGCTTTTGTTATCTTAATATTTTTTAGTACAAAATCTGAAATCTCGTAAATTATGTATTTTCTTTTTTTTATCACTTTCGTACGTTAAATGAAGGGAGCGATCTGTATTAATTTTTGCATATTGGTGCGTCAATACAACAAAATACGGAATTAATGAATGTCGAAATCAAGTTTTTTTCGTGTTGATTCGACAGTAATTCACGCAATTAATTTGTTCTTCGCGCTTTGTAGATTTCGCCCTTCCCGTATGATCTCGTGAAGAAGGAAGCTGCCAAGTATTCCAATGCGGAGCTGATGTGGTCTCAGGAGGAGCACAAGAATCAGGGCGCGTGGACTTACGTGCAGCCTAGGTTCCACACGGCGCTCAACGGTATTCGGAATGTCGTGTAAGTACTGGAAAAAAAAAACAACCCAGCCGTCAAGTCGGGAAGTGTGCGGAGGTGAAGTGTTACAAAAATGTGTATGTACGAATGCACTTGCCACACTGTATTGCGTTTCGCTTCTTGTATCTCTACCTGTTCACACGGCCCACATCTTTTTACTTTAGACACCGCGACATGTTGACTGCGTGACGCCGCGAAAATCTTCGGCAGTCGATATATTCCTCGCAACACGCGTCTGTTTCTATCATTGTTACAAGATTACAATTATTGGCAGCTTTTTTCTTTTTTTTTTTCCTCCAGTCTACACGTTTCAGAATAAAGTAAAAAAATCTGGGCCGTGTGTTGCAGTATCGGAGGCGCGTCAAAGACGGGTAAGAGTGGAGGGTGGTTCGCCGGTTTGTTTTCGTCGTCCGAACCGACCGAAACCGAAACTGTGTCAGAGTCACAGTCAACGGAACCTGCTAGACCGAAACAGAGAATAATGAGGTAACATTTTAACGAAATCATCGATCACAATACAAAATTTCCTTTGTCGTAAATTAGCCTCCGCTTGGTGTGTATGAGTAGATATAACCCATTTATATATTTAAATTATTCTTTATTCACGATTAGACAGAATGTGGTTGTGAAATTCTTTTGTTCATTAACTGTACGATAAATACATCTCGCTGTAAAGATGATACTACAGTTATATTAATATCAAAATAATATAATTGTGCATAATTGACAATATAGTAATGAATTGTATATATTTTATTAATAATACGTACTTAAAATCTTAATATTAATATGACTGTAAAGCTGCGTTCAAAAACAGGTTAGTATGACATTTATTTGAGCAATGCGGACAAAAAAAATTTGGATTTTCTTATCACGATTGGTCGATTAAACGCCACTTTACCCTCAGTGTGTGTTCCCGAACGCAGCTTAATTATGGTGATATTTTTTGCATTTTACGTTTTTCTCGGGTAACACCGAGACATCTTCGTAAGTAGGTATCTGTTGACTGTTATTAACACTTGCGGCTAGTAACGTATCACTTCCCAAAGGCGAGTTCCATGTTGCAAGAGAATTGACGATACTGGTGTTTTCAGATATGCTGGGCGTCCGACCGCGTCATCGCCGGCCACCGGCAGCAAGATGCAGCACCTCAAAGAGCTCAAACAACTGGTCGACGACTCCTTGAGCCTTTAATGATCCCCCATAGTACTGAAAGTTTATTTATTTTTTTGCGCCAGTCATCCTTGTGTACTTCATCCTGTTCATATGTTGATAAATTAACCCTCGAGTGATCAGTACGATCGGGAAAGGAAAGTATTATTATTAATTTATGCGATGTTGCGCAGCGCGTGACACTTTTAACGGTAGGCGAACAATATATCCTGAAGTACACCCGAGCGAGGCTGTCCATGGCATAAACAAAAGGACTGCGGTAAACCCGTGGCGATTTTTGTTTTTTTTTTTTTTCTTCTCTCGCCCGATTATTATTAATCTCGACGCCACGAACGAACGGTTGCCAATCACTTTAACTTTTTATCGTCGCTGTTGTTTCTTATAAAAAATTAAATGATTGGTGGTACTGATGACGAGCGTCCTCGACGTTCTGTGTAAGTTCGACGTAGCACTACATCCCGAGCCTTCTCCCCTCGGGTCTTCGGTCTCAGTTGTGCTGATACGACGCTGTGAAAAGCCGAGTCCGGTGTGTCGAGAGAATAACATGTTCCTTTCGTGCTCACCCGGAGAGATGCTCGCAAAAGACACACCGACACAACTGAGAGCACCCTAGTGCTACCCCATGGAGGGTATCCAACGGGTACTTCAGCTCTTGGCAAGAGAGAGAGAGAGAGAGAGTGTGTGTGTTGAGAGTGTAGAAGATAAAACTAGCGAAACTAGTAGGAACTGGTAGGAACTGGTAGGAACTAGTAGGAACTAGCGAAACTAGTAGGAAATAATTTAAATGATAATTTATCCAGCTGCTGCCAGCTCGCGCCAGGCGCTGTGTGTTAGGTGCAAAAGTGTGCACTGTATTTATATTCTTCTACCTGAACTATTTAAAAGACGGTTACAATGTGAATGAGGAGGAGGAGGAGGAGTAGAGTCGCCATATGTCCTTACACAGTCGATCAATAGGAGGAAGTTTTATTATTGTACGTATCGTGATTAATTTGGTTTCGTCGGATGTAGTCGTGCGCTGAGAAGCGGGCGAGCGCACGATGAGGAAGCAGTCTTACACTCTATCATCGTTTCTGTTCCGTTCGATACATAGAATATTCGATAGTTATGTGATATATCTCTCTCTCACGATCTTACTAGCACGATATTATTATCTAGACAGTCCGACGACACGGATAGATAGAATATATAGAGGTGTCTACCCGAGACGGAGCGAGACGCGACGCGAATCGCGCCGTCCCGCTTCACCCTGCCTTGTCCGTGTATGTATTCTTCGTCGTTGTGTGCGTGGCAACGATAGTAGTAGCCCACCGCTCTACAAACACGCACGTACGAATGATTAAAAAAAAAAAAAAAAATTCTCCCTCTCCGTTTAAGTGAAGGAAACCCTTGACACACCTGAAATCTGAATTTAGCGCGGAACAATGATATTACACTTGATATTGTAGTATCCTATGCTGAAATTAAATCGTCTCTATCGTCACATACCCGTTGCATTTGTCTTCCCCGTCGCCAAGTTAGCGAATAAATCTTAGCATTATTTAGAATGAAGTGGGAGATCCAATCACACATACACACACACACACACATTTCATCACGTGCGTTTGAGATATTTTATTCAAGCTGCTTTCAAAGTTTGTTACGTAGATTAATTTATTAGAATCTTGAAATAAGTTTCTTTTTCCTCATGATATTTTGAATTTCTGCCTTATGATTTTTTAATATAATAATTAAATTTAATTATTTAATATTCGTGTATTTGATGTGTACGTATCTTTGTGTATATTTTTCTACCGTAGATCGCGTCTATTTGCTTATTCTTTTCTTTTTTATCAATAAACAATTACTTGGTGTTCACCTGCTAATTTATCTGAATCACATGAAAACCTGTCGATGTAATCTCGATACTTTTGTTCCTTTCGGCGTGAGTTCTTTTTACAGTTCATATAATAGAACACTATCATATGTAATATCTACTTTCTTTCCAATATATGTGTACGTACCCGCATAAAACTGTACGCCAAACTGTATCTTCACAATTTCAGAGGAAAAATAGCGAAAATTGAGACGATTCGTTATTTTTTTCTTTTTTTAACAAAAATAACGATATAACGAATTCTTTGTTACAAGAATTAATTTTTCCTTTTGAGAACTTTGTTACGAGAGTTACGATCATTTTCATCGTCATAAGATAATTCCGATCAAATTGATGCATGTGCAAATAATATACAGAAGTTAACCGTTTCCGTTTATTCATCGTTTAGATGCGCTTTTGCAATCGTTCTAAAATCACCGAGGAAACGACCTCCGTGTAGCGCCCGCCTTCGTGTAGCGCTCAGACCTCAAACGACTGAAAACGGCGTTTTAACCCTTTTAGTGCCGGGCGAAAAAGAGGTGCTTATGCGAAGATAACCGGCCGATTTTACTAGGATTTGGTAAAAGGCTCATAAAAACCAAACGAAAAGCAATATTTAAAAATTATTTATTTTAATTCTCTCGTAATGAAATTAGACTATTTATAATGTATTTTAAATTTATTTTGATAGAGATCTCTCGCAATGCGAATAGTAAAGCGCTACAAGGTGCGGGCCGATATATCGGCTCTGGCACTTCTCGCCGGTGTAGCAGGAGCCTATATATCGGCTCCCGGCACTAAAAGGGTTAAAGCTCATAAGACCACGTGAGTGTGGAAAGAAAATGTATCTGTGATTAACGCACGACACGAATATTATTAGTACACGTTGACTTTTATACACATTGCATATTACAAAAGGCTGAATAATCAGGAAATAAAATTAAATGTATCAATTCAATTTGTGAGATACGGCAAGTGTGCCACGTATAAATGTGTGAAAGTGTAAGAAACTCGGCATAAATTTTCTTCGTTCTGTTATTAATGCTCGATACTTGATTGCAATACAAGATGATCGTAAAAAACTTGCTCCAAACTGTTCCACGTGTTCGACGTGTTTTACTACAGGTATCCTGCACACGGAGCAAATAATAATAAATTCTTTACATTTACAGTGATAATACGCATCCATCCATAATATCCATTGTAATTAATCTTTATATCATTATCATTGTTTCATGCAATCGTATATTTATATTGTGCATTTTTATCACTTTTTCACTAACCGTTATAATAATATTTTCAAATTAAAATACATTTGCACTAGATAATTCAAAAAGGTTTTACAAAATTCGCATATGCTCTTGCTTAACTAATAAAAAAATATTAAATAAATATAAATTCGCAAAGTCTTTGTTTTTAAGATATCAAATATTTGACGCAAAAAGCGTTAATTTCTAACAAGTTAAAGTGATTATTAAACTTATGATTAAAAATAGAATCTTATCAAAGTTTCTGACACTTGCTAACCTAACCTAGCCAATTAAGTGAACATATGTTTATATCTACTTATTTATATGCATTGTTTATATCTTCTTATAGAGTTTCCTTTTTAAAACATCGTATGTTATTGATTCCGTGATTGATTTCTTTCTAATATTATTTTATTATTCTTTTAGATAAAGCAATATAGTAGCACAAAACAACACACGTATGAACCAAGTTTCATAGGAGTGAACAATACCTTCACGAGTAAAATCCAATTCGTTAATCAAGAAAACTATGAGCCCATTCCTATATATAGGATTCTGGAGCCCTTGGAGAAAACTAAATTACCTGGAAAGGTTCGATTATTTCTAAGATTTCTGCGTTACTTTAGATTTTAATTTCTGGGCAAACAATGCTACATGTACCATCTGATGCATCAACAAATACTAACTACAGACGTTAAATCCTGAATTAAAACAAAAGCTACAATATATACGTATTGTATATATCATATAATTGTAACTACAAAAGTCACATAATACCGTGATAGGGACCGTAAGAGAACTGAGTATTACTTTTGTATTAAAGTTAGAAGATTCGTTCCTCCTAAAAATGTATCGTGATATGACGGCGATAAGCGTGATGGACAAGATCTTGTATGAATCTCAGAGGCAAGGTCGCATTTCATTTTATATGACGAACACCGGCGAAGAGGCTGTGCAGATCGGTTCCGCCAACGCTTTAACGCTGGATGACATGATTTACGCTCAGTACCGCGAAGCCGGTACGAAATATCCAATATAATATTTCAAATACATTTCTGCGAGATGAATAATCGTTGCACCTGCTGTAACAGGTGTGTTGTTGCAACGTGGATACCCATTGCTGAAGTTCATGAACCAATGCTACGGCAACTGCGAGGACGACGGTAAAGGCAGGCAAATGCCGGTACACTACGGCTCGAAAGAGTTAAATTTCGTGACCATATCGTCTCCATTGACAACTCAATTACCGCAAGGTAGTATTCGTTACTTATTGCCGTATCATCTAAAAATTGCAGCTCGGGCTGGGGACTTCTACGAATAAAATCTCACTCACGGAGACCCAACATCGTTATTTTGCAAAAAAAAAGAAAGAAAAAGAAACATATCGCACACTTGATACCCGCAAATTTGCGAGAATCTTGCACTGAAAAAAATTGCTGTGTTCAAGTAAATGTTTAAAGAATATTGTAGTTGATCGTTTTATTTGAATTAAGTAAATAAATGATTACAATACTCCTTAACAAATATTAAACATAGCAATGTTTTTTTCAGTGTGCTAAAATAACGTTAATCGGCATTTCAATGATCGTGAAAGTATCTTGAAATTATACGTATAAAAGTATCCGTTGTTACGCACAGCTGCTGGTGCCGCTTACGCCTTTAAATTGGACAAAAAGAAGGCGTGCGTGGTTTGTTACTTTGGCGACGGTGCGACGAGCGAAGGCGACGCTCATGCGGCGTTTAACTTTGCAGCCACTTTATCGTGTCCTATCATTTTCTTCTGGTAATTTCCCAACGGTTCACATTTTGACCCTTGTCCTCTGAAATACGTATATAATACATAGACGGAATTATGTCAACCAGTCGGAACAATGCGTACGCCATCTCCACACCAGTCGAGGAGCAGTTGAAAGGGGACGGCATAGCGGGCAAAGGTCCGGCTTATGGAATGAACACGATCAGAGTGGACGGTAACGACGTGCTGGCGGTGTACTTTGCTACAAAAGCTGCCAAGGACCTATGCGTTGAACAGCAAAAGCCAGTTTTGATAGAAGCGATGACTTACAGGTGACCGAAACTTTTCCTCAGTCATCTCGATATCATTGATTTTACGTACGGTCTTTCCTTTTTTTCTCGCCTGCTGAAGTATCTTGTGTAATCCGATCCAACGCATTGCCGTATAATTGACGGAAATCACGCAACGGGGCGAGATATCTCTTTCAGGCTCGGACATCACAGCACGTCCGACGATTCCACCGCCTATCGCTCGGCCGACGAGATCGCGAAGTGGAGTAATCACACACCGCTCGCCAAGTTCCGTTTATATCTGGAATCACGCGGACTGTGGTGTCGGGAGCGGGAGCAAGATTTGGTGAAATCCATAAGGAAGCAGGTGCTCCGTGATTTTGCGGAGGCGGAAACGAAGTCGAAACCACACTGGAGAGAACTATTCACGGATGTTTACAAGGAAGTTCCTAAGCATATCAGGTATACGCTGGCGTACACAAATTATACTAATTGAAATAATTAGTTATCGATACTTCTCTCGACGATTCCGACGTATATCTTGTATCTCTTAGAAATCAAATGGATTCGATGGAAAAGCACCTGGAGGAATTCAAGGAACACTACCCGCTAAGTTCCTTTATACACCCGAAATAGAGGGATGTTTTTAACATTTTTATAAGATATATTCATCCGTTGCGCGGGATGAGAGAAATTTGTGTGTATATTTTCGTATTTTTATTTTAATAAAATGCGCTTTGAACTAACTGTACAATTACGTTGCTTAAAGCTCCCTCTCTTGCATTCCGCTCCTATTGTTTCAAGTTGTCCGCGATCTCTTTGTACTTCTCCATTCGATACTCCTTCCTTGCCGCATCGAGGAGCAGATTGTGAAGCAAATTCCGCCGGTGCGGATTGTATTGTTCCACACTTGGATATATGTTGCCTAAAGTACAATAATTAGAAGAATAAGCAGATATAGTTTTTTCACGCAATTTGTCAGAAAGTGTCTTTACTCAGCTTACCTCTGAGTTCTAAGATCGCTCTCTCATACGGCACCCCAGGATAAATATTCGCCGCCTTGTGAAGTTTTGTAAAGGAGATTGTGTAATCTTGATATCTTGGCACGAGAACTTTGAACAGCTTGTGCACCAATTGTTTCTCGGCTATCCAGAAATTGGCCAACTCCATTGTCTCTTTATGCGCGGGTCCATGACGTATCGCTTCATGTATCAGCTGCAAAATGACGAGATCACCAAAATGACGAAATCACACGATAATCTTTTTAGTGTTTTAGCTGAATTATATTAGTAAGGTATTAGTCAACCTATATTTTCGAGACATGGTCTCTCAATGGATCACACTAGATAAGTACATGAACAAGGAAAGTTGTATATTTTTAATTTAATTTGTTTAATAAGCAGTGAGCTTTGAAATTTCCAGAAAATGCGATATCCATTATTCATATTCAAATTGGAAAAACTTATTTTGTATAATTCTCCGGCCAGTCTATCAAGAACTCGTTGAAATATTTCGGGTAGTGATAGATTATACATGACTAAAAGCATGCTACGATAACAAATACACAAAAAATCACAAAATTTGATCAAGAATTGTAAAAAAGTTTTCAAGTTCGTTGGAAGAAAAAAACATAATGTAAATAATAATGTAAATAACGTGAGATATCCCTACCTGTTCCACATAACCTCTAGTTTCGTCGGCCTTGTTGTAAAATAACTCGACCCGCTCGTATTTGATTAACGCTGTCAAGATCTTTTGAATTTTGCGAAGTCGTCCCTCCGGACCGTCAATATTTCGCAACCGTCGCGCATCCGGTTTGACATTGAATCTCAATTTGGACACCAATTTATCAATGTTTGCTTGGTTCATCTTTGCGTTTATAATCTTGCATTTATAACCTAAACTTCTCCTTCCACGACTACGCACGTGAGAGCGCTTCGATCACATTTCATACGTGCGCGCAATCTTGTACTTAGCTAATAACAATAGGTCTGTTCATTTTCGCTGCACCGCTGAACTAGTGCAATAAGTTGAAGCGAGACAAGTATACGTTTTCTCATTTCAACTTATCGCACTAGTTCAGCGGTGCAATAAGTTGAAGCGAGACAAGTATATGTTTTCTCATTTCAACTTATCGCACTAGTTCAGCGGTGCAGTGAAAATGAACAGACCTAATTTATTATATAATATATCCATAGAGGAGAAAAATACTGTTGAATGAAAACAAAAATAATTTCGCTCAACTAAACATCTATTTTCTGGATTGCCATATTTTGTATAAGCATTACATATAAATATATAAATATATATATATATATAGTTTGATTTATAAAAAAATTTATATTGATTCTGGGTATATTGTAATAGTTTGAAACGGACCCTACAGAAGATCAAACAATACAGTGATATTAACACCAGAAAATTATATGTACAAAGTTGATCTCACGCTAACCTACTCAGCCAATAACGAAGAGAATGATATTAAAAGTTATTGCATTATACCTTTTATTCGTTCACTTGAAATTACAACAGACAAGATGTATTCAAGAAGATAACATACGCGATGTGATAAAACTACGCGCAACAAATTTGTGTAGTATCTATGATAAATAATTGCGTAGTCGCAAGATTCGCGCGCTGCCGTTATATTCACAGCAAACGAAAGGTCGGTGTTGTCTTTTGGTCAACTAAATGCTACATCCGCGATTTTATGCGACACCTTTCATGCATTGGTAAACAACGAAATGCCGCGTGATACCGCCAGCATATCGGTTCTCGGTAAAAATCAGTAGAGGGAAATGATCGCATATGCGAACGCGTGCACATGTGTGTAGGTGTGTGTGTGTGTGTGTGTTTAGACAGGATAGACTAGACTGATAAATGCTGCAACTTGTCACATTTAGCGACCCCATTTGCGAATTTTATTTTGCAAAGATCACTTCAGTTAGGCAAATCGCATACGCTTGATTTACACCAGTCATACAAATTGTCCGATACACTTGACATTTGTGTAAAAATTTTTGTAAGGTACGAACAAGTTGTGCCGATAAATAATTGAGCCGGGCTCGACTTGATTTATCATTTAGAAATTCCTATATGTATCTATAGCTGTATCTATGTGTGTGTGTGTGTGTGTGTGTGTGTGTGTGTGTGTGTGTGTGTGTGTGTGGCAATGGCGATGTAATGGCTTATCGTTGGACAGGCGGTGCCATTGGAAGACTGGATGGTGTCGACGCCAGAGCAGTGTTAGGGCCTAAAAGAACTTGCTTCTGCTGAGTGCGCTGCATGTCTTCCATCTGTGCGCGCTCCATCTCAAAGATAATCGGCGCGAAGAGGATGGTCGATGAGCTAAAGATTATCCATGTGGTTGAACACGAGAATGCGTATAGACCTGAAAGGTTACACGAAACTCACACTATTCATGTCCGCCTTATGTATTTTTAATTATCCGTCACACAAATAATGGTATTTTAAAACACCAGTGATTACCTTTCACACACTTGAATAGGCAAGTCCCAAAATTATACCCCAAATTGCGCACCGGCTCAGGGAACATCTCAGTGAGCCCCAACAATCTCTCCGACAAGCTCTCATCCTAAGAATAGGAAACAGTCGATCAGGAGAACAAATAAAATACAATTACTTTCATATCATGGTATCTGAATTATCTGAATCATCTGATACAGCATTACGCGATTATCTTTCGTATTACACATCCCGGTAGGGAAGGAACGGGGCGAAACACCGGGATCACACGTGATCCTCGGGACGCTCATTAACCACCCTCGCTTCCTCCTCGCAATATCTAGCGTTTCGCAAGAGACCCGAGACACATGGCGTGCGGAAGCTACGTCTCGCGAGAGCTCGGTGTGTTCAACGACCTCGTCGTTTGAGCGATCCACCGGTTCTCCAGCAGCGGAGAGAGAATCGCGAAACTATGTCGCCAATACCTCTTCGTCATCCTCGTCGCCGTCCTCGGGAAGGAGCGACTTCACCTCGGGAGAACGCGCGGGAGAGCTGCTGCCCATGCCGCTGTCAACCTGGTCCAATTCCTCAACTGAAGCCATATACACGCGTGTGAGAATTGCGCGCGTTGCGCCGGCTCGTCTTCTCTGAGAATTTACAGCCGGAGGCAGCCCGATCGACGTTGAGCAGCACGTTCACGGAACGATGTTTAATTCTCCTTTTCGCCTCTTCCACTCTCTCTTACTTACTCTCTCTCTCTCTCTCTCTCTTCCCCTTGCTACCGACACGTTCCTTTCTCTCTCCTACCTCTCCCCCCTCTCTGTCTCCTCAGCAGCGATAGGAGCGTGCTCCGGCCGACGAAGCGCCGGTACAACGCGACTCAAGTTCCGGGCGGGCGATATAAAACTAACCGGGAATGCGGGCGACGCGAGACCTCGAGGAAACTCGTACCTGCCTGCGGGGGAAGGTCCGCCCGTGGACGCTGGACACGGAGAACGCGGGGAACTCGACGCCGTCGGCGGGTATCGGCGTGCACGACGCGACGTCGCGGAACGGTGTTGAAAGGTCGCGCGAGAAGCGCGCAAGACGCGACGGTGCGAAACGAGACTCGTGATGATATACTCGTCGCGAGAACCGGGTCGCTCGAATCGTCGACGATCAAGACGGGTCGAGGTGCGTATCGGTCTCCTGGTTTCCGTCAAACGCAGGTTCACTGACGCGCGACAGAACTCGCCGAGAATTTCCGTTCGCTGTTCAGCGTAAACATGGCGCCTGATTTCAAAGATCAGCAAACCGCACGCCGTATTTGCAGGTCGGGCCGTTCGTAAAAATGTCCTGCGATCCTCCTTGAGCTCATATCAGGCTGCAGATTGGAGATTGAGATTGAAATGTGACCAATCGGCGCGAAGTTCACTAGACTTCACTAAGCTCGAGTTCAGTGAACTTTGCGCTGATTAGTCAGATTCAATTCGATCTCAATCCGTAGTCTGATACCGGGCTGCACCGGATATCTGGGGGACTCGGGTGTCGAGTTGTGAACGCCTCAATAGCAGTGCCGCCAACTTTGCTTGTAAACACCATTGCCGTGCAACATGGCCGCGCCCTCGTTACCATTCGTGCAATCCGGTGTCCGTTGTTCCGAGTCATTCCGTCGTTTGTGATGGTCGATTGTTCGGTGTCCGGTCGGACGAGCGAGGAGGTGCGACTGACGGAGTGAAGCGCGAGACAGCCCGGCCATTGTTGTCGCGTCCGAAGCGGCGAGAGAAGTTGCCGCGGCGCGACAATCCGTCCGTCCGTCGATGGACGCGGCGCACCGCGATACATCACTCGGCGCAACTGGTATCCTGTGTCTCGGGCTAGCGCGTCGTCGCGCATCGGTCGACGACGACGACGTCGTCGTCGAGTACAATGGCGAACACCGGGGTCCTGCCGTTCGTGCGAGGCGTGGACTTCAGCAGCAACGACTTCGGCGTGAGTAGTCGGGGATTCAGCGAGGTTAACCTTTGGGGTGTTGTGAAAGGCACTTTTGGGATCCCCGGTTATCTGTGTAATCTCTGGTTGAAGTGTGTACATCATCGTTCGTGATTGTCGCGTGAAGTTTATCCGTGTTTTGGATCTGTCGAGTGGTATCTAACAGTTCGGTCATAAGGTTTAAGGATGGCAGGAATACTAGTTGATTGTAGAATTGTAATTGCTTTGATTCTTGCAGGATGGCAAGTTTCCTGAATCCGTGCGTCTTATGACTGGGATACAATGGCTGAAATTGGACAAGACAAATTTGACCGAGATTCCCGAGGAGATGGGCAAGTTGTTGAAATTGGTAAGAATTTATTTCGAATTATATAATAATGTGAATATATCGCGCGCTTTGAACTCCGTATTGCAACTTATTTATTTGTACATCAAGGATATCTTGACATTATTTCTCGAGAGTCTAAATCTATAATCTGTTCTTTCTTTATCACACTAACATATCTTCTTAAGTTAGTGTGATAAAGAGAGAGCAGATTATAGATTTCAATGACCTTAGAATATGTTAGTAATGATTACCTTTAGGTTACTCGAGTAATCTTGATACAAAATTACAAGTTGCTTGTTGGTAAAAAATGGCAAAGTTACTAATCAAAGAAGTTAACTAGTTGATTTATATCACAATTTAGAAGGTTGAAGATTTGCTAAATTGATGAGTCTCTAAATACTAAAATTAAAAATAGAAAAAATAGCAACAATCTCTGCATAAGGATAAGTGAAATTCAATATCAATCATAACTTTTAATAAACTACATATTTCAAGACCATTTGTAAAGTTGGTTCTGTTACTGCATAATTACCGATATATCTAATTCAATAGTTACTTGAATAATTAATACCATATAATAATATAATGATTTATCCATCAGGAACATCTGTCTCTTGTAAAAAACAAACTAGAAAGGCTGTACGGAGAATTGACAGAATTGGGATGTCTCAGAACGTTAAACATAAGGCATAACAATATTAAGTCCAGTGGTATTCCGGCAGAATTGTTTCACTTAGAGGAATTGACAACTTTAGATTTAAGTCACAACAATTTGAAGGAAGTACCTGAAGGCCTAGAGAGAGCACGTTCCTTGCTCAACCTTAACTTAAGCCATAATCAGTTTGTATCATCGATTAAAAAAAATTATAATCGCTTATGACCAGAAGGAAATATTAGAGTTGATTGCTTCTTTGTTTCAGTATTGAGACTATACCAAATACACTGTTCATCCACTTGACAGACTTATTGTTCTTGGATCTTAGTAACAATAAGTTGGAAACCGTGCCACCACAGACCCGTCGTTTGGCCAACTTACAGACTTTAAATTTGAATCACAATCCCTTAGGCCACTTTCAGTTAAGGTGGGGGGGAAGATGTTAATTTTTCTTACAGCAAGAATATTCTTTGAGATTGTGACATATCTTACAAATTTATTTCAGACAATTGCCATCACTGATGAATCTGACTGCGCTGCAGATGCGGGACACGCAACGAACGTTGAATAATATACCTTCTAGTCTGGAAACCTTAACCAATTTACAGGAACTCGATTTATCGCAGAACAATTTGCCCCGAGTGCCTGACGCGCTTTATTCCCTGTCGAACTTACGTCGTTTGAATCTTAGCGACAATCAGATAACGGAACTATCAATGGCGATCGGTAAATACATTGGTTTGCAGTATTTTATCTATCACAGCTTTGTCTCACAGTGTGAATAACAAGATAGATGTATCTTTCAGAGCTATGGACGAAATTGGAGACTCTGAACGTGTCTCGAAATAAATTAAGTGCAATACCAGCTTCTCTGTGCAAGATTTCTACTTTAAGGAGATTATATTTAAATGATAACGAATTAGATTTCGAGGGCATACCTTCTGGGATTGGAAAGTTATCGTCGCTGCAGGTATTCTCCGCTGCCAATAATCATTTAGAAATGATACCAGAAGGGCTGTGCAGGTGACGATCATTCTCCTTTTTCTTCTCTTTTTTTTTTTTCATCTTTTCTACCTCATCTTGTAATATATCGAGTAGTTATATCTCTTTTTAACGTAATAAAACGAGGAGAAGAACACCGAAGTCCTCTTTTCAGGTGCGGTGCGTTGAAACAATTAATATTGACGTCGAATCGTCTGATCACTGTACCCGACGCCATTCATCTCCTCACCGACCTGGAACAGTTGGACTTGAGGGACAATCCGAATCTAGTGATGCCGCCGAAACCGTTGGAAGTACAAAGAGGATCGGGCATCGAGTTCTACAACATCGATTTCTCGTTGCAGCATCAGCTTCGTCTGGCCGGTGCTAATGTGCCAGTTCCCGTTCAAGCCGCCAGTACGTATCGACACGATCCCATTGGCAAATCACAGGGAGGGGATTTGGGGGTATTTTTTACGTAAGCTCTCTCATTCCTCTCGATTGCAGATAGCAAAGATCCGATCGCGCGTAAAATGCGTCTCCGGAGAAGGAGAGATCAGGAGGAGGCTGATCAGGACCAGGCTAAGATACTTAAGGTACGCATTCTCACCTAATTATATCACAGTAAATCACACGGTGATATTCGTGTAGAAAAAGAAAGAAACTAAAAGCAAATGTAATTTATGATCGCCCTCAGGGAATGAAGGACATAGCGAAAGAGAAGAACAAGGATAAAGAATGCGAAGAGTCGAAAGCGGAATCGTTGAAGTGCGTAGAGCTTGCGAATCTTTGGATTTCGATATTGCGAATAGAAGCCTACCTCGTCGTAGACGGCTAATCAACCGTTGATCGTTTTTCAGGCCCAAGCGATGGGACGAGGCCTTGGAGAAACCACCGCTGGATTACTCGGAGTTCTTCGACGAAGACGCCGGCCAAATACCCGGGCTGTCGATCTGGGAGATCGAGAATTTCCTGCCGAACGAGATCGAGGAGGTGGCACACGGCAAATTTTACGAGGGCGATTGCTACATCATCCTCAAAACCGGGATAGACGAGGGTGGATCGTTGACCTGGGCGATCTATTTCTGGATCGGAGAAAAGGCGACGGTACGGTGTATTTTTAAGCCGACACAACAGAGGTGAAGACCGAGCGAGAGCATTATGGCGTTGTTATTCCGCCGCGAACGATCATTGCCGGTGATCGACGATCGTTTCCGGGATTGTTCCTCGGATTGGTTTGCTCACGAGAACTTTACGTTTACGCCTGCAGTTGGACAAAAGAGCGTGTGCCGCGATCCACGCAGTAAACCTGAGGAACTATCTGGGCGCGCAGTGTCGGACGATCAGAGAGGAGCAGGGAGACGAGTCGGACGAGTTTCTGATGCTATTCGACTCGGGCATCACTTACATCGAAGGCGGCCGCACGTCGTCCGGCTTCTACACGGTGGAGGACACAGTGAGCGTTCGATTCTTTTTTATTCTTTATATCGTACCTCATCTCCTTCGAAGTGTTCAAATTCGCGTCCTCTCTCTTCCAGCCGGCGATTACTCGTTTGTACAGAGTGCACGCAGCGGGAGCCTCCATACACCTGGAACCGGTTCCGATCGGCTTCGAGTCTTTGGATCCCGATTATGTGTTCGTTCTGGACACGGGTAACACGATATTCATGTGGTACGGGAAGAAAGCGAAGAGCACGTTGAAGTCGAAGGCGCGATTGATGGCGGAGAAGATCAACAAGAACGAACGGAAGAACAAGGCCGAGATCATAACGGAAGTCATGAATGCGGAGTCCGAGGATTTCCTCCTCCGCTTAGGTCTGGAGGAGGACGAACAAAAAGATCGGCACATTGTCGTAAGCATGGTTCTTTACAGTGTAACGACAGTTTAAAGGATAGTTTCGCGTGAATACGAACATAAATTGAAATTACGTCGAACGCTTTCTCGGGGTTTTAAATATTGCATTAGAGAAAAAGATACTGAGGAGGAGAGAATCCTGAATTTGGGGGATTATTAATTAGAATAAAATTTATATACAAGATGTTTTATTAGAAAACAGTTTGAAATCTCGCAGGCTCGTAGTATTCATTAAACTGAATCAAAATTACGTATATTTTTTATCAATTTTGTAATAATCTTAAGATAGAACTATTTGATATCATTTTTATTATAATGTATAATATCGAAGTTTTTTTTAATATTGATATGTATATAATTTATTTTGTTGAATCATACATATTTAAAAAATTTGTTCATTTTTATTACGACGACTCTAATTGCATTACTTTTGTGGATGTAGGAACACGTGGATCCAAATTTCATGCCTCTTGTGCCCAGATTGTACCAAGTTCAGCTCGGGATGGGCTACTTGGAACTACCCCAAGTTGAGGTTCCTCACAGCAAGTTAACAAATACTTTGCTAAACAACCGCAACGTGTATATATTAGATTGCTATCTGGATGTGTATGTTTGGTAAGTATACGTATATTAAATATGTACACATTTACTCGTACGATCGTCAAAACGATACGAAAAACTGATCACGTGTGTGATCACCAGGTTTGGCAAGAAGTCAACGAGACTGGTGCGCGCCGCTGCTGTGAAACTGTCTCAAGAATTATTCAACATGATAGAAAGGCCGGAATACGCGATGATAACGCGATTGCAAGAAGGCACAGAGTCTCAGGTATACACATCTATGTTCAACGAAGACTAACATTGCGTTAAATCTGACATTTGAGGTTTTTCCGATGTCAATAAATGCTGAATTTTCCTGGAGATGTTTGGCTTCTGGATTGGTGCCGCGTATTTCGTGAATTTGCCTCCAACTTTTGTGGACACTTCGATTCCCTTCATCGGGAAGAGGAAGAGTAACCTGATACCGTACTCGGCAATTTTATCAGCATCAGATTACTCCTCTCCCTGATGAGGTGAGCTGAATTGTTCACGAAACGTTGGAGATAAATGCACAACGAATGCGGAAGTCGAAAATCCAAGGGATTTTTAAGCTTCCTTTGTTGAGACGTAATTTACCGTCCGTTCAATTCGCAGATCTTCAAATCGAAATTCACCGGATGGGACGAAGTGATCGCCGTAGACTTCACCAGAACGGCCGAGTCGGTCGCTAAGACCGGGGCGGATCTTACCAAGTGGGCTAAGCAACAGGAAGCGAAGGTACGTGTCGGTGCATCTCGTACGAGACAGGTCCCGTCATTTCTCGCTTCCTCGTTGATCTTTCTTACGAATCTCTACTAATTTCCTGTCGTTCAATCAGGCTGACCTGGCCGCTTTATTTATGCCGCGGCAACCGCTGATGTCGGCTGCCGAGGCGCACCAGCTCATGACGGAATGGAACGACGATCTGGAGGGAATGGAAGCGTTGGTGTTGGAAGGGAAGAAATTCGTGCGGCTGCCCGAGGAGGAGCTGGGACATTTTTACAGCGCGGATTGTTACGTGTTCCTGTGCCGGTGCTGGATGGTATGTAGCGGTCTGTGTGTCGCCTTAAACGTGGTCTACAATGGGCAGGAGGAGTATGTTTATACGAAGGAAGAATAAGAAATTGACCAATCATAGTCGATTATTCTCCTCACATTCGACTGTGATTGGTTACTTTCTTATTCTTCTTATGAGTATAATCCTACCGCCCATTGTAGACTACGCTTTATTCGCGTTCGAAAATAACCTAAACTGCGTTAAACTCTGCGATAAATACACCCGTATGTGTGTGCTTTCGATCGGACCAGCCGTTAGACATAGCGGAGAACGAAGATGGCGACGAACAATACGAGGACGATTATCAATGTACGGTGTACTTCTGGCAAGGTAGAGACGCAGGGAACATGGGATGGCTGACTTTTACGTTCAGGTACGAATATATTAATAAATACAGGATTACTTATTCGACGGTTATCTGACACGAGACGAGCGACACTTGCGTTCTTGTTTCAGCCTGCAGAAGAAGTTTAAGTCGTTGTTTGGCGAAAATCTGGAAGTCGTGAGAACGCATCAGCAGCAGGAGAATTTGAAATTCATGAGCTACTTCAAACGAAAGTTCATCATTCACCAAGGCAAGCGTAAGCAGCCGAAGGTCGCCGGCAGCAACAAAGTGGAGTTTTATCATCTACGAAGTAACGGCAGCGCCTTGTGTACTCGTCTTATTCAGATACCGGCGGACTCGACCTTATTGAATTCTGCTTTCTGGTGAGACCGACACTGAATGCCACAAATATATGATACGATTGTATTCCATCCATCGTGATGCAATATGCAAGTGAGTTTTCTTCTGTCCATAGTTACCTCTTAAATGTGCCATTCAACAATGACGACGGTACTGGCATTGTGTACGCGTGGATCGGCTCGAAATCTGATCCCGAGGACGCGCGTTTGGTTTCGGAAGTTGCGGAAGAGATGTTTAACACCGTGAGTTGTAAATCTTTTTTGTAGCTAAATTCTAAAGAACTTATTTTAAGAATTAATTTTTTTTTTGTTGTAATACTTGTATATTTTTATATTTTTATAAAAATATTTGCGCATTTATATATATATATATATATATTTTTTTTTTGTATATTAAAATTTGTGTATGTAAACATTAACAATGGCAATTATATGCAGCCATGGATAAGCTTGCAAGTGCTGAATGAAGGCGAGGAGCCCGATAATTTCTTCTGGGTGGCACTTGGAGGGAAAAAGCCATACGACATCGACGCGGAATACATGAATTACACGAGACTATTCAGATGTTCCAATGAGAAGGGATACTTCACGATCAGCGAGAAATGCACCGATTTCTGCCAGGTACGTGTTCAGCATAAAAAAAGAAAATATTCCAAATCCAATTTCTTGGAATGAATAGCGACACAGGTATCGACATCGATATTTTCTTTTTGCAGGACGATTTAGCAGACGACGATATCATGATCCTTGATAATGGAGAGCAGGTGTTCCTCTGGTTAGGCACTCGTTGCTCCGAGGTGGAGATCAAATTGGCCTATAAATCAGCTCAGGTGAGTGAATTGAGAGTCTCGTCGTGGTTCTCACAGGGACGCGTTGTAAAATGTTCCACGGAGGTAAATTGAATTAACTCCGAGCGTGCTCGGGACAGGACGGCGTGTTTTAACGGAACAATGGTTTTTCCTTCCCTCCTCCCTCACACAGGTGTATATCCAACACTTGCGCGTGAAGCAACCCGAGAAGCCTCGTAAGTTATTCTTGACTGCTAAAGGTAAGGAATCTAGGAGATTCACAAAATGCTTTCACGGTTGGGGTTCACACAAGAGGCCGCCGCAGTAGAAACGAGTCAGTTGTCACATATACGCTTATTATATGTACGAGAAGTAGTTTTACACGCAGACAGGACAAACGCAACATTCTTACCGTAGGTTTGTAACGTGTCACGATCTTGTTTATCTCTCTCTTTGTTACTCATGCTTTACATATCGGAAGAAGTCAATCCGCCGCAATAATCTCTGTGAATCGTTGTGCATTTTTGAGAAACGTTTTTTACAATCACAGACGTGAAGATACAGACTGAAAAAACGCTCTCACATGACTAAACGACACATCGAGAGGCAAATTCTCATTGTTTCTGAGATAATTTAAAAACTTCTCATATTTTTTACGTTAACGAGAGATTTCCGCACTTCTTTAATTATACAATTAAGGCATGAAATATCTTGAGATATCCAATATTCTTTAAAAGTTAATTTTGACTCTGTGTCGTTAATATCCGGCTGTCGGGACGTTTACCGTAATGTCGACTTCATTGTTCCTACGAAAGCGTACAGTTCATGTGTCTTCAAGTCTACAGACCCATTCAAAGAGGCGATAATTGCTCAGCAAATAACGATATATTTAATACATAGAGCCTCTTCGTGATTTCTTTTTGTTCTTGGCTTACTAAGTAATTCTTCGCGGAGGGTACTCTTTTGAGCATTTGTTACCACGCATTAGGGCTTCCACGAGTATTCGAATATCTGATATTATCCGGATATCCCGATAATCGGTTCCAACCAGGAAATTCAAAACCGCACTGTTCGGGTGATCCGGATAATCCAAGCTATGCGGATTTGATTAAGTCAGATTAAGTCACTGAATTGATGCTGAAAAATATTGATTTAATGACTGTCAAATCTTCGAAAGGGATCTGGTTTATCGCGAATCTGTCCGGCATCCGAATCCGGGTCCGACGTTTCGACTGTTAGGGACTGTCTTGGGGAACCTGAATCTCCGGATAGCCCGAATTTCAAGTGTCAGTCGGACATCCAGACAGTGTTTTCGAATGAACCTTGAAGTTCTATCACGTATCAGTCTGTTCAATACACATCGTGCTTGTGTTGATTTTAGACAAATATCCAACGAGATTTTCTGTGATGCGTTTCTTTTTTTTTTCTACTATACTTTCAAGTCACGCGATACTAAAAAAAAGGAGACTTGTTTGCTTGATAATTGTAATTCTTGTCCTGCGTATTCAACGAGACTTATTTATTTATGCACACGCTTTCGTATTTATGAATTTTCGTACCGACTAGACTTGCGTACTTGTTTTTACCTCTTGCATCTTGGCGAAGATTTTTCGAATAATATGCAACTGTACATTTTTAAATCGTTCGATAAATTGTGATAACAAATTTTTACCATGGAATTGTAATATTAATGATAGTTTTCTTCTGAAAGTGTCGGTTTTCCGTGTAAGGGAGACACATCTATTTGTATAGTTCCGAAAGAATTAAAATAGACCTTTATGTTTCTACTAGATTCATTATGCTTTTATTAAATACGTTAATTATAAGGTAAAAGTACCAATGCCTCAATATAGATTCTTTGTACACTTTTGCCGTTTTTTGTCCTTAAATAAAAATATCTTCAATATAGAATATAAATTTTTCTTACATCTTGACGTTTCAGTTAAATATCCAGACACTTATTTCCATAAATTTATAATTTTTATAACGCAATAATGATAAATACTTTATTCGTCAGTCTAACGAATGCTAGAAATTAACTTTATTGATTCTGACAGTAAGAAGTAATCAATTAATTAAAAGAATAATTGAACTGTTTCAAATTGTAAGGATAAATAAGATGTATTTTTAGTTAAACGTATAATTTTAATTCGTTAACTATTAAAAATTCATGTACATAAAACAAATGTCCAGTTATCGGTGTACTTGCTTTGTAAAACTTGTCATTTATGAAATATTTACTATGGAAAATATTTAATTAATTTATCTTCACTTTCAACGCAAATAGTCTGACCTTTAATTTACATGTTAATCGCGTCAAACGATTCTTCTCTCAATTAAATTTTATGTAACGTTTTTTCATAGCGCGCTTAATCATCGGGAGATTGGTACATTTACCTTAAATGATTTATTAAAAATTACACGCATTTGAGAATTGTGAATATTAATCGAAGACTGAGAAGAGATATATGTAACTGTAATCAGATGTACATCTGTTTTCATAATGCTGCCCGATTGTACAGATGCCATAATATGCGTTTTTGTATTACTTACGTTGTATTTAACACAGTTCAATTTATTTATGCATATATACATACGTATGTATATGCATAAATAATATATATATATGACTTATACATAAATAAAAAGATTTTATATTAAGCTCTACTATGCGCTAACATTTCAATTGTATAAATATATATTTCTATGATAATAATATATACATAATTATTCAGGCATCATAATAAGTGTCTTGAATAATATACCTAAATTGTGCAAGTGAAGAGATATCTCTCCATTTATTTGACGTCGTGCAATTGCTATCTTGCATTTCTGTGACATCAAACTTGACTCTGAAAATAAGTCAGAGAACCATAAAATTCTAACGTGTTAGTATCATTCACAAATACATATATATAATCACAATTTTAATATTGTTAACAAAAACTATCGCAACATCTCAAGTATCGATAGTCAAATTAAGATTAATAGTCAATTAAAATATATTGCACGAACATAATGAACACTGATTATACTTCACAATACCAGACTTCTAGTTACGCACACACACATATGTTAAAAACTTGAAAGAACAGAAATGACAGTTTCTTTACATGGATGGATTCGTGGCGACCTCGTGCCTCGCTTATAATTGCAAAGAAAATATCCGAGAGAGAGAAGAACATCGGAGAAATTACCATTAGTGTCAAAAACACCTCTAAAACACGGCTGTATACTTTCAACAATTATAATGGAATGCTGTATGGCCGTTCTGTCATTACTAATCGTCGTCGTCGTCGTCGTCGGACGGTACGAAGAGATCGTTCTCCTCGAGGAAGTTTGCTACATTCTTGCTGATCGTGGCACCAACGAGCAGGCCGAACACGACGCTGCTGACGACGCCCAGAAGGCTGAATGGCGTTCTCTTTGGCTCGGGCAGTATCGCCCCGGATGGTGTGGTGATCGCCGAACGGAGGTACGACTTGGTTATCACATTCGTATTCTTGAAGGTGATCATGCCGCGAAACAGAGACTTCACTCGATGCAGGGGCATCTTCTTCTTTTTTTTTTTTTTACTTTTTACTCTTCACTTTTGTACTCTGTCTCCGTGTCTGCGGATGACAGCGGACGGTGCGCTCCTTTTTCGGAATTTGCGTGCCGGTCAGAATCGACGACATATGTATATATACGTATATATAGATCAAACTATATATATATATAATATATAGACCGATATTCGAGTTATTGCGAAGTAACCATTTACCAGAGAATTAGTCACAACACACTCATCTTACAGCATTATACCTCTCTTTCTTTTTCTTCTAATAACAATATTAAACAGACCAACAAATTGACTCGTTCTTACAAAAATGTCGATAAACGTAATGGTGAGTTTATATAATCAAGATAACATATGTGTCGCGAGTGATATATATATATATATATATATATAATAAACTTATCTTTCTATATTATATTTGAGATCTTACTCTAACCCTAGTTCGGGTCCTCTAGTCACAAAATGTATAAATAATCCGACTCACATCGCCCTTAATTATATTGATTTAACAATTTCTTTAATTTTCACAGCAGTAGCGGTGAATATCGGAATGTAATTTACGTCGTTGGTTTTCGCGTTCTGTGCACAAGCCTCAAGAGTTGGTTTGTTCTTTTTAGCTGCACTGCTGAAATATGAAGCAGTGCATCTAAAAAGAACAGACCAAATATGGCTGCCTTTGTAGCGGTATTACGAAAAACGTTGGCGTGTCTTCTCTCTCTCTCAGGCTACCCTCCGATTAATGTCAGTTCCGATTATAAATCATGTTTTATTTAATAGGATTGGGACTGGGCGATGCGAAGGATGTCACTGTCAAAGGACTCGAGATCATTAAGAGGTGCGACCGTGTATACTTAGAATCTTATACTTCTATCTTGACAGTGCAGCGAGAAACTTTGGTTTGTATTATTATTTGACAGCGATATCTCTTACAGATGTGAAAGACGAAGCGATTGGATAAATTTTCATGTAGCCAAGCGTATAATCATATTCGTGCCGCTTGAAATGTATCAGATATAATTATTATATTTTAATGTTTAGGAAGAATTCTACGGACGTTCGTTGATCGTAGCCGACCGTGAATTAGTGGAAAGCTGTGCGGACGAGATACTGCCGGAAGGAAGAGACGAGGATGTCGCTTTCCTAGTTGTAGGGGATCCTTTTGGCGCTACCACGCATACAGATTTGGTACTTCGTGCGAAAGAAAAGAATATACAGGTAATACCTGTTGTACTTTCAAGGAATATCAAAATTACTTTATAATTGCGTAAGCTCGACAGAGACAAAGTTGATATCCAACAATAATGCACTCTTTGATCAGGTAAAAGTTATACACAATTCGTCGATATTGACCGCAGTCGGTTGCTGCGGCTTGCAGTTGTATTCGTACGGAGAAACCGTCTCGATTCCGTACTGGACCGACACTTGGCGGCCAGACAGCTTCTACGAAAGGATAGCTTCTAACAGAAGAAGAAACCTGCACACACTGTGCCTCTTGGATATCAAAGTTAAAGAGCCCACTTTGGAGAGCATCTTGAAGAAGAAAAAGGATTACATGCCTCCTAAGTACATGAGCGTCAATGAAGCGGCTGGCCAATTGACAGAGATACTCAGCGACAAGATTCGGGACGATCAGAGTACAGGTTTGTAGTTGCGAGTGATCTTTAGAAACATATGGCAGTGGCAGACAGCTAAATTATAGTCAGCTGATAATAACAGACTCCAATTATAGAATCGGCCAATAATACACTTAGTCGTAATAATTAAGTGAAATGATGTTGATATATCATTTTCATTGCGAAAGTAATATTTCTTGTTTCATATTCGACAGAATTTACGGATCAATGCTTAGCGGTGGGCCTAGCCCGAGTGGGTTGCGAGGATCAACGTATCGTTGCCTGTTCTCTGCGGGATATGACGAGTGTCAATCTGGGACCACCGCTGCATTGTCTCGTCATACCGGCCAAAGAGATGCACCCTCTCGAGATCGAGTTTCTGAGGCATTACGCTCTCGAGGGGAGTCAGTTCGGAGAAATGACGCGATAGACTTTATCCTTTTCACCTACTGAACAATAAAGTTAATTGTTTTCATTTGTTAATTGTGTTAATTATCCGTTGTATCCCATTCTGAGAACGTAAGTCGCGGAATATCGACCACAAATTTACGCTGATTTTTTTCACGTTTCTCACGTTTCTCGTGCATTTCATGTTTCTCCCCGAACTTCGTGAGGAGGAACATGATGACCGCCACGTAGCGATTTTCGTTTCGAAGATCTTATCGCACGAAACTTCGCGGCACACTCGCCGAGAATTGTAGTATCATAAATCATTCGATATTCTCGGTCACATACCGGGTGGTGGAATTCGACCGGCCGCTTCGCCCCGTAGGCTTCGTCATGAACGAAAATGCTGAAACGAAGTCGCCCACCACGTATCGTGCTTATGTAAGCCGCATTATTATTCTATTCTCTCCGGCTCGATTCCATATTTTAAGCGGTACTTGCGTGTGTAATCCTGCGGTAAAGTCACGTGGCCGTCAGGGCCAGTTAATCAATGGAAAGCATCGACCACCACCACCACCGTCCGGCCAGGCTGGCTGGTATCGGTGATTCAGTTACGTCCACAGGGGAGCGCACGCTCGGTGGTGGCAACCCTTCCGGGGTGTTGTTCCCTTCGGCTGCGTGGATACATCTGCTTTTTAGAACGTAGATTCGCCCCCACAGCGTCGCTTCAATTTGTGACGTCGCTACTCATATATTAACCAGGTATACGCGTATATCGTACCAGCACGCACTAATTACACGTCCTGTGTGACGATGTATGTAATAATTGCACTTGGATACGCGCACATGTGTCCGTATATACGCGTACCCTTGAAAAACTGTCATGTTGCTTTCACGTAGCATCGCACTTCGCATAGCGCCACGGACGATTGTTCCGGGGAGGGGAAACGGCCTTTTCCGAGATATCCTTGCGAAAAAGCCGGCAAACACAAAGCAATAGTTGTATAAATGTTAGTGGTAGTTTTCTACTTAATAGTATAACCGTTACGTAACGCATGCGTTAAATAACGGTTATGTTATTGAGTAAGAAATTATAATTAACATTTATATAACTGTTACTTTGTATCCGCCGGGAACTAGAAATCCAAATCTGCGGAAGCGGATCTTGAACAGTATCGGCAGCTTGTCAGTAGGAATACAATAGAATTTGCTAATAGAGCATGAGAAATGACAGATATGTCGCTTCCGTAATCATTTACACAGTAAACACCAACTGTCAGTAACATAATATCGTACAGTACAACGTAATATCGATGTTGTGTTACTATTGGTCGGCGTTTATTGAGTAAGTGCATTTAAATGGAACATACCGCAAATCCTATTCGCTTCCTATCGGCAATCTCGAAATCTGCTACGGCATTCTGATCGAATTTGCTACCGATCCACCAGTGTACTGTTAACATTTTGTTTATTAGGAATATCTTATTAATTAGGAATATCTATTTATTCGATGTGCTAACAACATATTTACCAAAATCTAAATTCTTGTATTCAAATAGAATAGTTTTTTTGTCTGGGAAACTGCAGATTTAAGAAAATGTATATTTTCTCACTTGGAAAGATTTCTTCCCCGTGTAAAAATATGTGTTGGACGAATATATAAATATTTAGTTAGTACCACCGGATACGTATTTATTTTTTAAATCTTTACCCCTCTTGTATTAATATTGATATTATAACATTGTTATTAATGATATTTATCTCGCATTTACTTGCAATAACGTAAATTCCTGGACAATTTTTCCATTTTAAATACGCAGAACGCGCAAATTGACGCCGGCAGGATTATCGTTCGGATCGCCCACGTCCTTGAGTGAAAATCTATTTCCACAATGCGGCGACGTAACACGTGACGAAGGTGGGGATGCCGCAAGTAGTGAAATTATTCAGAAATAAAAGATAACATCGCCCATATATGATATAGTGTTTACGAGTTTACATAGTAAGGCATGCACAATGCTGAGTCCGAGTCCGCCGATCAATCGCCCGAGCCTGCATCCTGGCACAGGGTACCTCATAGGGCCGCGGGTGCCTCAGGGGCTCGCAGCCGTGGTCGAGGGCCTCACCAGAGAGGTGCTGCGTCATCGTCCGGAGGACATATACGTTTTCGCGGCTCACCACTTCGAGAGGCTGCTGAAGCTACGGGAACAATATCACGCCGACAAGTATCGCAACATTCGCGAATTCGACGACGATTTCGGCCGCGAATTTAATCTGTGGCCCAGCAAGGAGGCGCCCGGAGACACCGGAGTATCGACGACCGGCGGTTGGTCCTTGGACAAGGAGGTCAGGGTCCTCGAGAGAGGCGGTAAGGCGCCTACCGACGTGGAGGAGAGTCCGGAGGAAGCGTCCACCGATAAGGAGAAGCGAAAGGTGTCGAAGCAGACATGCACCAAGACCGCTACGAGCACGAAGAGGGCTTCGAGGAGGTCCACCAAGGACGTCGCGGATCCTCGGGCGACAAAGATCATCCCGCAGATGTCCGCTCTCCGCAGCTCCGGCAGGACTATCCTGACCAAGGACATTAAGCAGGAGCTCAGAAAGAACAAATTGAACTCCGGTGAGAAGGGAAAGCTGTCCGACAATGCGGAGAAGGGTGTTCGAGGCGAGAGGCGGTCCAGATCGAAGGTGTCTAAGGCGGACAGAAGTACCGAGGAGGAGGCCGATGCTGCGAAGACGACCGCCGGCAAGACCTCCACTCGAAGACCCTTGAAGAAGGTGCGGCGCATCGAGACCGAATCCGAGACCGAGACGGAGCGCGAAACTCCGGCCAAGGATAGACTTGAAAACGGGTATGACGGGTATCCTCGAAGTTTCCTGAACTGGCATTTCATTCGAAAGGTACACCGAGGAAAGGATTTCTTCGGATTCAATCAATTTTATCGCATCCAAATAAATGACATCATCGGCACGCTCCGAAGAAGCTAATGTTTCGATCAATAAATACGATCGTCGAAGACTTCAACGAATACATATTTTTATCTTAGATAAAAAAATGTGTTCGAAAGATAATTTTCTCGCAAAGAAATTATCTGTTTCATTTTACATATTGTAACCAAATAATATTTTATTCGGTTAAAAGATGTTATTTCAAATAACAGCGTTCTTACTGTTAAATAATAGAGTTTTCCTGAATGAGACAAGATTTTCACTCGGACAAATAATATTTCGTATATGTTGTTTCTATGAGACAAATTTTAGTCAAATAAATAGAAATGCGAAATCTAAAGAAACCTTTTTCTCTGTGTAGGCCGACATAGTGATATGACAATCACTTTTTCCCGGGTACCTTTACTAAATGAAAAAAAAAAAAAATATATAGCGTTGCAAAATATTACAAAAACTAATTCGTAAGGGTAATCGCAGGTAACGCATTACTTCTCGATGTGTCGTTTGAATTTAAAAGATTAATTCCTCGGCGACGACTTACGGAACTCTTCCGTTCTTTCATTACCAGTTACGAGAGGACGAGAGTTAAGGGAAGCGGGAAGCAACGCGAGGCGACGCTCGTTCACGGCGGGAGGCCGGAAGCGGAATGGCTCTCCGAACATTCCTCCGGGAGGAAAGTGTCGTCGAGAGCGCTGAGCATGGACCGCATCCGGGCGTACGTGCTGCGTAAGTTCGCGAGTACGGCGAGCCTGGAGGTGCTCCGCTCGCCCACCTACGTGGAGCAGGTGCAGGAGGTGATCGATCGCGCAGCGCCGATCATCAGGGAGAAGCTGGAGGAAATGAGGCGGCCGAGGGGCAGCAAGCGTTCGCGCTCGGTCGACTTCGCCTGGAACGAGGAGTCGTTCCGCCGCTACGTCGCCAAGGACATGGGCGGGAGTAGCGCTCCTCCTCGAGACGACGAGGAGAAGGCCGGACGGCGCGAGAAAGAAACGGCGGAAGAAGGAAACGTTCCGGAGCGACGGGAATCCACCGACGGATCGCACGCGGAGAACGAGGAGACGCGACCGAGGGGGAGACGCAGCGCCGGCAGGAGGTCGAGGAGGCGCGGGAGCGGCGATCGGCGAGTCGTCGACGACGACTCGGAGCACGAGCCCGCCGCCGGCCGGGACACCCTGGAGGCGAGGCTGACCGCTACGCAGAGCATCCTGGAAGGCATCTCGATGTCGGCGTCCGAGTTGAACGGCGCTCGCAAGGCTGACGCTGCGGGCGAGGTGTCGCCCGAGACGAGCCCCGACCACGCGAAGGTCTCCTTGCCGATCGTCAGGCCGCCGTCCTCTAGGAGCAGCAGGAACGCCGCCAAGAACGGCTCGGACAGCCTCACCCTGCCGCCGATCTCGCCGGATGCCCCTAAGTCGACCAAGAAGAAGGACGAGCTGTCGTTGCCGGTCTTGTCGGCGACAGGGAACCATTCCGCCGTGAGGTCGCAGGAGCAGGACGACTCCAAGGACGCCGAAGAGGCTTCGACGATGCGTGACATCACGAGTGACATCGAAGACGTAGCGGCTCTGCCGGATGACGAGGACGCGGGCCTGAGGCAGGACTCGCTGCCGGACGCGAGACCTGCTGATGGGGAAGACAGCCCACGGGAACTCGCTGAGAAACGCGCGAGCGACGTTTCCCTCGACCGAGATCTCGACGAGTACCGACGGTCGACGGAGCTGGAAGCGGCAAGGACGGAGGAGGTTTACAAGGACAGTTTAAACGTGACGCCGGAAGTAGCCGACGTGCCGCTGAGGCCGGATTCGCTGGAGCCCGATGAGGACGAACGGGAGAAACCTTGGGACGACAGTGCCGTGCGGAATAACGCGTTCGACGATCTGAAGGACAGGCTGATCGAGATCGAGATGGCGGAGCGGAACATCGAGAAGGCGTTGGCTGGCCAGCAAATCGCGACGTGTCTAAACGAGGAGGCTAAGAGCGAAGCGGGAGAGCCGACGACCGTCGAGGAAACGAGGAACGAAGAAGCGAGAAAATCGATCAGCGAGGCGGGAGAGATCGTGGGCGAGATAGAGAAGTCGACGAGCGAAAGAGGGTCGCCGAATGAGGAGAAAGGATCGATGAGCGAGGAAGAAAGAGAAGAAGAAGATGGTAAACCGACTGAGGTGGGAAAAGGGAGCGTTAGTACGGAGAAATCGTCGTGCGAAAGAGGATCGTCGAGCGAGGGGAGGGAATCCACGAGTGCGGAGGAAAAAGATGAGGAAGGGGAAGGAAAATTGACGAATGAAGGAGAAAAGGGGAGCAGTGATATGGACGGAATGGGAGATTCGGCGGAAATACCGGGAAACGATGCGGAGATCTCGACGAGCGAGGTAAAAGGGTCGAGGAGCGGGGTGGAAATGTCGAGTGGCGCAACAAATCAGACGGAACCGTCCGAAGTGGAGATAGCGGACGGGGCGGTAATCAAAGAGAATGGATCGAAGGATCCAGCTGAAGTGTCGGCAAACGAGGCGGAAGAGTTGCCGAGCGTCGTAGAAGATGTGATGGTTAAGCGTCACGTGAAGAATTTAGGATCCATGAATGCACAATCTCGGCACAAAGATGGTCAGATCGAGGTGGCCGCTCGCGAGACGGATGATAAGGATGACAATGCCAACGGCAAAGCTGCGACGGAAAGTGTATCCCAGAGCGCAGGTTCCTCCGGGACCACTCGGACCGAGGCCGAACCTTCGGGGGCGAGTCTTTCGACGAACGGGAAGGACAGAATCGGCAAGACGAGAGTGCGGAGGAGACGCGGGATCAACAAGTCACCGGGAACTACGCCGTCGCCCCTGGAAATCCCGTTCGCCTACGTTCTCAGCGAGGGCTCCCCGTACGAGATCCCCGATTTTGTGACGACCGTGATCATCCCGGACAGGCCGTGTCCGTCTCCCGTGATCCCCGAGATCGAGGATGATCAGCCTAGGTCAACGTCCAATCTCCCGATCGGTAAGAAAGCCAATAAAGTAATTACATTAGATCATCTTAAAGCGTCGATTCCGTGTGTGTGTCTTGAACATTTTCACTCGACCCGAACATTAAAACAAATATTTGTACAATATGATTTTAATATTTAGGAATATTATATCACCAAGTAACAGTTTAAAAACATTTATAAAATATTATGTCAAAATGTTTGTAAAATCCGTGTAAAATCAGTGTTTCAAAAGATCGATTTAATGTTTCTTGCTCGCTAGGACTGGATAATATCCGATCCTTTCAAATATAATCAGTATGTTTTTTTGGAATATCAAAGACCGCCGGTGTTATTTATAATATTGATATTGATATAACGCCAAAAATCACATATTAGAACACGTTTTGCACTATTAAATATCGTTGCGATAACATCGCTTCAATGATTTTTGGAAGAATCAACTGCTCATGAGATTGTCGTCGATGACGTCTCGTCGAAGGACAAAGAAGATGAAGACCGTGCCGAGTACGGCATGGAAGCTTTCGGCGAATACATCCGTCCGGAAGTCACGGCTTCGCCGATCATCGACTTCGCGCATAGCTCAAGAAGTGTGAAACCAGGCCAAGACTTGGACAGGATCAAAGAGGAAGGGGAAGAGGAGGAGGAAGACAAAGAAGACGACGAACGGGGAAAGGAAGAGAGGCATTCGGAGGAAAAGGACGATGGACAGGTAGTTGAGCAGGCTGAAGGAATAGTGAAGCCCGAGGATATCGTGGAGCACGAAGAGACCGAGACCGATAAGAGGACGATTTCCGAGGCCACAAATGTCGAGGAGATTTCTTCCTCTCGTGTGCCCGAATGCGAAGTTTTGCCCGGGAATACCGGGAGGACCGATTTGACGAGCGAAGGCAAGAAGGACGTCGCGGTGGAGTCGAGGAGTACGTTGGATAACTCATCGGAGGAGAACGAAAGTAGCCGGGACATCCACACGACCACGTCGAGCGACGTGAAGGAGAGCAGCCCGAGCAATCGGTCGATCGAAAGCTCGAGCGTCGGTAGACCGATAGTGCCGGAGCTGAATCTGGATTCTCTTCAGGATAACACGGTGTCGTCCTTCAAGATGACGGCGAACGGCACTGCGACGAAGGAGAGCAACGACAGTCGCAGGGAGAGCGACGCCACGATGTCTCTGATCGAGCCGTTGACTCCGGATGAGAGGTTGACGATTGGAAGTCGACAGGTTTTGGCTGATCGCGAGGAAGAGACTCCCGCCGAGGAGGAGCTCGCGCAGTGTCTATCGAACTTCCAGCTGCAGTCGGAAGTTCCGGAGGCTGATCAGTTGTACCGAGCGGAACACGCGGAGTACGAGCTGCTGGAGAAAGATCTGTTGTCTGCGGAAGCTGTCTTGGAGGACGAGGCGAAATCTCTGGTAGAAGACGCCATTGATTCGAAGGCAGATGCTGTCGAGCCGACTTCGCGAGGGAAGGAAAAGTCGGTGGAATTGGACAGCGAGGAAGAGATCGCGAGGGAACTGATAGGTCTGCTGGATAAAGAAGCGCAACTCTGCTCTGAAGAGTCAGGCTCTGAAAAGAGACTCGAAGACCACGCTGAGAGCAATTTGGACGCGGATGATAAATCCGGTCGACCGTTATCGGACCGTGCGCACTCCGTGTCAGTTGACGAAGCAGAAAAGGAGGAAAGCGGCGTTCCTCCGGAACGATTGGGTACTTTAGATGACGAAGGTGGTGGAGAGGTTGAAGCGACTAGCGAATTATCAAGCCACGTAGCGGATAGCAATCAGGAGAACGAGGCTAAGGATGATGTGATCACAAGCAAAGAAACTGAAGAAACTAGATTGGAAGTGGAAGGAGAAGAACACGTAGAACCCAGCCAGGTTTCACCTCCGACAGAATCTGAGCGAGACGAGTCTCTAGATAAAGATAACGCAACAATGAGTCAAGAAAGTGAAGAATCTAAATCGGAAATCGAAGAGAAAAAACACGTAGAAACTCGTCAGGTCTCACATTCAGCAGAATCTGAGCGAGACGAGTCTCTAGATAAAGATAACGCAACAATGAGTCAAGAAACTGAAGAATCTAAATCGGAAGTCGAAGAGAAAAAACACGTAGAAACTGGTCAGGTCTCACCTCCAGCAGAATCTGAGCGAGACGAGTGTGTAGATAAAGATAACGCGATAATAAGTCAAGAAACTGAATCGGAAGAGTCTAAATCGGAAGTCGAAGAGAAAAAACACGTAGAAACTGGTCAGGTCTCACCTCCAGCAGAATCTGAGCGAGACGAGTGTCTAGATAAAGATAACGCGACAATGAGTCAAGAAACTGAAGAATCTAAATCGGAAATCGAAGAGAAAAAACACGTAGAAACTGGTCAGGTTTCACCTCCAGCAGAATCTGAGCGAGACGAGTGTCTAGATAAAGATAACGCAACAATGAATCAAGAAACTGAAGAATCTAAATCGGAAATCGAAGAGAAAAAACACGTAGAAACTGGTCAGGTCTCACCTCCAGCAGAATCTGAGCGAGAAGAGTTTCCTGATAAGGCTACAATGAGCCAAGAAACTGAAGGACCTAAATCAGAAGTCGAAGAGAAAGAACACATAGAAACTAGCCAGGTCTCACCTCCAGCAGAATCCGAGCGAGAAGAATCTCCAGATAAAGCTACAATGAGCCAAGAAACTGAAGGACCTAAATCAGAAGTCGACGAAAAAGAACACATAGAAACTAGCGAGGTCTCACCTCCAGTAGAATCTGAGCGAGAAGAGTCTCCAGATAAAGATAACGCGACAATGAGCGAAAAAACTGGAGGACCTAAATCAGAAGTCGAAGAAAAAGAATACATAGAAACTAGCCAGGTTTCACCTCCAGCAGAATCCGAGCGAGAAGAATCTCCAGATAAAGCTACAATGAGCCAAGAAACTGAAGCACCTAAATCAGAAGTCGACGAAAAAGAACACATAGAAACTAGCGAGGTCTCATCTTCAGCAGAATCTAAGCGAGACGAGTCTCCAGATAAAGATAACGCGACAATGAACCGAGAAACTGAAGATCCAAAATTGGAAGTCGAAGAGGAAGAACATATCAATTCTAGCCGGCTTGCACCTCTAGCGGAATTTGAGCAAGACGATTTAGAAGAGAACGGAAAACACGAGATACCCAATGGGAAGATCACAGCCGAGAGTAAACTCGACGCTAATGACGTTCATCTTGCCGATAATCAGGAAAGTCCAGGAGGCAAGCAGATGAATATCGAGGATGCTTCAAGAAGCCAAAGCGAGGAGAGTGTAATTAAAGTAGAAGAATCCCATGAAAAACAGGAGGAAAACAAACGAGAGAAGAGGGAAGGTCGTGAGGGACGCGAAAGAGAAAATGCGGAGGTTCGAGAGGAAGAATCAAATGACGAGGGAAAAGGCGAGCGAGAGGAAGCAACAGCGCACGAAGAAAATCAACGGGAACACTTGGAAGTTAGAGACACTCAGGAGGAAATAAAATCGAGGGAAGGATCGCTGGAGAAATCGTCAGAAAAAGATGAAGACGCTGGACACGACGGGACTATTCCGACCGAGTCGATTACTTCGGACGGAATCGTCGCTGATGATCAGACCGCGAGAGTAGCGGCGAACGGAAAGGAAGAGGACAACAACGATCTCTCGACAGAGTTGGAGAGAGTTCATGGACCAATAACGAGCGCGATATCGGAGCAATCGTCGAAGGATTATGCTCATGGTCGATATTGGACTATGGGGACGAAATCATCAACCGCGGAAACGGTGATTGCGGCTTTTGGCTCGAATGCGAGTACAGACGAGAAGATGAAGTCTCTTGACGATGCTGTCACTCAGCGGAAGGACGACTTTTACTCGGCGGCCGTGAAAATCCAAGCTTGTGAGTATCGTATCGAATAGACGTGTTATTTTGAAAAATCGTAATCTTAAAATGTGAATCCTGAAACGATGTCCTGAAATTACGAGTTTTTTTTAGTAGTAGCAAATTTATTTGTTATTAACGAATTTTCTGAAAATATTAGAAAGTATGCAACAATGTCAGAAAACGCTGTTATCCCAAGATCAGTTTGAGAAAGCGATGAATTGAAATGCATTAATATTGGAATATTTGAGATTATTCTGAGAATAGTAATAAAATAGTAATGATGTCATGAGACATAACATATGATAACGAATAACAAGAATTATTTTTCGAAGGTATTCGAGGGTTTTTAGCGCGACATCGCCTGCGAAAGGATCTTCGCTCTAGCTCTGCTTCCGACAATGTTCCAATGGTGCAGAAAGCAGCTGTTGTAAGTACATTAATAAGTCGAAAACTTGCGTTAAAGATAAGTACGGCGTAGTTTAAGCTTAAGTAATTCTCATGATTTCAAACTTAGCGCTTGAATATCAGTATTGGCCACTTCACGTGCTAAAGCTAATCTTCAAGCTGAGCCCGTCGGTTTTCTTCCCGTTTCGCCAGCTTGAACAGCTGGATGCGATATTTCGCGCGACCCTCCCAGCGGAAATTCATTACGTAAAGAAGGAAGCGGCTGGTCACAGCTACGCGATGACAACGTCAGTGCTTTTGTGGCTGCAACAAGTAGATTGACAGTAATAGCCTTGGCAGAGATGAGCTGAAGCTCCGGCCCGCTAAAATAATCGCAAACGTGCCGATCGCTATGCGAACGATCTCGTTCTGATATATGCCACTAAATTATTTTACTTTCCTTTAATTGCAAATTTAATCGATCGACTATTCGTCTTTCTCTTTTTAACTTGTTCGCTTGAAGCGAGGTTAAAAGAAATAATTTTTTTCGCGGATCGGAGTTAAAAGAATTTTACGAAATATTCACCCTCAGATTGAGCAATTGACTGCGCCGGAGGATCGTTCGAACTTACGAGAAGGCAGGAGCGGGAGGCATCGCCTTCGACGGGAGGAGGCTCTGCGGAAAACTACACTCTCGCTGGAGAACGCCTTCGCCACGAGCCGGCTCCAGCATACCGGCGAGTTCCATGATTCCGTGCCGTTGCCTCTGTTCGACGTGACGAGCGGTGAAACTGACTCAACCGACTCGTTGGACGAGTCTCTGGACGAGGAGGTTGAAGAAGAACAAATGAGGACCGATATTGCAAAACCCAGTACGTGTGAAACTACGGATTGCAATTGGTAATTACTACTACTAGTAATTGACAATTGATTTTTAATCGTCGTTACGTATCTAATTCACAATTCTCAGTGTCGCTGCACAATGATTATATATATAATCATTATAATGTAATATAATTTATTGCCTGAAAGAGCCGTGAAATTTCTATCGCGACAGCATTCTCGCAAGCTGTCCGAAGGATGGCGTAAAGTCATCGACAATGACGGGAAAACATTTCGAATGATCGAGCTCGGTTGGTTCTTCTTTATTAAAAAGCCTCGAGTCTTGGAAAGTCGGAAATAATTATAATAATACATTCATTTCCGCGCTTAATAGATACACTTTTTAATAATCCTCGCGCAGTCACGGCGACGAGCGTCGGGGAAGCTCCCAGAAAAGTAACGTCTTCGCCGGCCACTCCAATTTGCCGATCGTGATGCACCTGCTGGCGGATGCGTCCCGTAATCGTCACTTCGGAATCAACCCCGACGCGGGCCTGAACGCCGAAGAAGGAGCGAAACTCGTGGAGCCGGCGTTGGATATTCTGATGCTGGGTTACCCCAGGGACGACGCGACCCTTCAGAATCGATACCTGAATTTTATCACCAGCGTGGAGGACATCGGCTCGAACGTGGACTTCTTGCCTCCGGATGCCGCGGCGAAGAGCGCGAACCGCGCGGATGACGCTCAATACTCGATCACTTCCGACGGGGCCTCATTGCCGGAATCACTCAGGGAGCCACTGGCTCTCCCGGGTATTCCTCAGGGTGTCGTGATCGAGGAGCTGACCAGCTTGGACGAGGTAGCTGGGGATGATTCGCCGTCGAACGCGACGAAGACCTCGCTGGACACAAATATTAAGTGAATCTTTAGAAATAGCGAATGATACACTTATAATGTCTTAATAGAAGTTCGTGCTGTCCGGGGAGAGCTAAAAGAGGAATACGTGTCACAAGGTTCTGGGTCAAGATTCCATAAATATAACAAGTATCAAAATCAAAATAATTCGTGAATGTGTAACCATTTGTAAATAATTATCGCCATTTTTTTTTTTCAATTTCTCATGCTCGATAAAAATCATAATTTCCCTTCGCCGCGCACCATACGCCACCCATCAAAGAAAGTGCCGGAGAGATCGAGGAGTTCCGAATTGAATGGTCGGCCGGCGGTGTTCTGCATTTCGGTGCCGCAGAGATGTATCCGCGAGAGAGGAATGCAAGCGGTTCAGGTGCGGTTTTCGCGGTACACGGACCTTGAGCACATATTTTTAGTGCCTGCCACTACAGAGAGAGGGAGAGAGAGAGAGAGAATGAGGGGGAGAATGAGAGACGAGGGGAAACGAATGGTGATCAGTATCGTCGTCACTGCGAATGTCCAGTGAGCGGGGATCCAAGGTAAGGGCACGACGTCGCGGTGACGTCAGGGCGGGCGTCGCGACGCCGCTGCCACTAGCCGCTCGTCGTTGCGCGGCAGGCACCGCCGATTTGTCGCGCTATCCGCTCTCTCTCTTTCATAGTGATCGTCGTGTATCAGTGTCCGCCGCCGCCACCGCGTAACAATCGTCGTCTCGTCACCGACGAACGAGTTACGCTCACCGGTAAACGCGACCGATTAGCTCTTTGTGTGTGACATTGTCACGTACACCCGGCACTTTCGAGGTAAGCAAGGTCAGCAAACGCGAACGCGATAGGAGCCGACACGGATTAGCTTTCGGGAAACTCGTCCGAGGATGATATCGCACGTTTTCACATCGCTTTCGTATTCCCCTTCCAATTAACATTGCATTTGCGCGATTCTTCTCCTCAAATTCCCGAGTTCCTTTTATCCACGAGTTTCCGTCGAAATAAGAAGTCCTGTCGATACCTTCAGCAGTCGTCTCGCGATCGGAAGCGATAAAACCGACCCCTTATCAAACGGCGTCTTCGATTACCGTTTCCCGCAATTTGTCGTTAATAAAGATGCAGATACGTTGAAATTGTTACAATTTACGTGGAACGTAGCGCGACGAGAGGACCGAGGGGGAAACGGGCGGAAGTCCGTCATCGATCGTTCGACGTTGACCGATCGAGCGTGTTTTCGCAGTGACGAGCGTAAGGAAAAGTTACCACGCGTTCGGGATTAAACGACGAACGCGCGAGCAAATTGGAACGTTCTTGACGATTCGCGCGCGAATTTTCGTCGCGCTCTCGCGACCGTCAATCATCAGTCAGCATATACCGGCCTCAGGACGGCGGGTTTCCTATGACGCGAGCGGCCGAGCTCACCCACGAAAGCAAAATTAATGCTCGACCCGCGTCATATTACGAATACTCCGCCGTGATCGCCTCTGTACGCGGGGCCCCTCCATCTCGACGCGACAATTGAAGTCTCAAACAGACTGAGGGACGGGGAGTCTCAATGACTTTTCAATGTATTTTCGTAGTATATGCGAGGTTGCCGCAATTAAATCGACTGTCCGCGTCTTCGAGGAAGCACGACGGGCTCTTAATAAACGCGAGAAGGGCGCAAATCGGATTATGAAGGAGAGAACAAAAATGTTCTATCGTTTTCCGACGGCGTCTTATCCGTGTGGACAAAAATCATAAGAATACGAAAATTATTGATATAATATTTGATATATCATATAATTTGATGTATCATTGAAGGACAAGTTTTTTTATTAAAAAAGAAGCAAAAAGTCAATAGTCCTTCGATGGTATACCAGTAAATTCTTCGTATTCTTGTACAAGAAGAAAATACGTGGAAGTCCGGAAAGTCCAAAAGACACTCCGTTCGGCCACTCGGAGGCGGTGAAGATTTCGCGGACGCGCGAAATCTCATTCTCTCTCGAGTTCCACCATAAATAAACGACGCGACGAAGATCCACACCGTGGCTGCACTCTCCCGAGCCTCGGTTTAAGCGCCGAAGGCCATCGAACGCGGTCGTGGCTCGTCCTCTGCCAAGTTTGTACGAAATTAACCATCCTCGGACACGGCACACGGAATAAGACGTAAAGCGATCGACAGGGATCCTCCGCCCGGCGGACGGGCTCTCGCGGCGAGGCTGTCGTCGTCACGCAAGGCGCAGGCGCGATAGATCCATCCTTCGTTCGGAACGGATAACGTCCGTCGCGCGTCAGTTCCCCGTCCCACCTCTGGCCAGGAGGACGCGCGATAAGGAGTGTGCGATCGCGGGAAGTGAGCGGAAGTGTCTCGCAATCCCGGAAAGAGAGTTGTTGTTCGGGGTCGCCGCTTCTCGTCCCCCGCGGAGGAACCTCAAGCTGATTCTGTTTCTCCTCAGGAATCGATATTTATAAATCACACACTCCGTGAGGATCATCGGCTCGATCGCGTCCCCTCTGGAGCTCGTTTCCACGAATACTTTTCGCGCGATTGGCTCGGCAATTTCCTATGTATAGCCACGAATTGCCGTTCTCCGACTTGACCCCTCCTCCCCTCCACACTGCCGAACGGAAGGATCGGCATTTTTAAACAATTAGAGACGGATTTTCTCGAGCTTCCATTTCTTCCCTGAAGAATCTTTACGAAGAAAGAAGCTATTTTCTCTCTCTCTCTCTCTCTCTCTCTCTTTCCGTTGCATCAATATTTACTTATGATCGGAGGTTCCATTTCTTGGCTCGTCGTAATTCCGCCCGCTCCGGCATTTCCGTTCTCGCTTTTCGAATAAATTTCCCCGGAGTTAATAGTTCGGCAAATCTGTAATCTGATTCCGGCTCGTGATCCACCTCGTCGAGGAAACGCCCGAGTTGGTCCTCAGGAGCGAACTTTACGCACGATCGGGAATAAAAGCTGCTTCCGTTTCCGCTCTCGGTCCGTCGATCTCTGTAAACTGGCGCGGCAATCTGCCCGATTACTTCCGGAAGCGGACTTCGTAAACAATTCGGGCGGAACATCGAGATTACCCAGAATCGGATCGCATCGAATCTCCCGGGGCGAATTGACGTCGATTTTAACGGCGCGCTGTGACGCAGGGAGCTTCGCGAAAGCCTTCGCCTCAGAGCTTCGTTCATGTCACAGGCTGCGAGCGAGGAGGCCGATGCGATGAAGGCCAACACGGCGGCGACGAAGATCCAGGCCAACTTTCGCGGGTATCGCGTGCGCAAGCAGCTGAAAGAATCATCCACGTCGCAGCGTCGCCGTCAGCAGCCGAGTCAGCAGCAACAGCAGCAGCAGCGGCAACAGGTAAAGCAGCGGGACCAACAACAGCGAGAACCTCGGGAACAGGCGAAGCCGAAGGACGCGTTCCTGAAGAGGCAGAACACTCGCGAGGCGCTCGAAGAGAAATCGGCGACGAAGATCCAGGCGGGCATCCGCGGTTTCCTGGTGCGAAAGAGGCAGCAGGCCGTCCAGGCCGCGGCGACGAGGATTCAGGCTGGTTTCCGTGGCTTCCGGACGCGGAAGTTGCTGAAGCAAAACGGCCAGTAAAGGCTATCGCTCATCAGTTGGCCTTTTCCTGGATACCGGTGATGCGGGGCGTCGCCGTGCGCAAAGAGGTACTTCTTTCAGTATTATATGCGAAATTGCTCGTTTTGTGCAAATTCGTTGCATGCGAAACGTGATTCAAGTATTGGTCATCAGTCGAAAGATTCGACTCGACTTTCGGCTTCCTTCCGAATTTTCGGACACCTGCTACACACACACACACACACACACGCGCATGCATGCACGTGAGGAGAAAATTTTATACTAAAAAATATTACCGGAAAGAATTACTTTTTCTATACTAAAAATCGCTACAAAAAATTACTATAATTTACGGTGATATTAGATAATAATGGCGATCATTTGGTTTGCGAGTAATTTGTCTCCGTCGTATATACGATGAGGTAAAATTTGACTCAAGAATCGTGCCGAACTTTTCGACTGATCCAATATATCGAACGATAAATCCGCGCCCCAATAAATCCTTAAGACACAGCTTTTTCCTCCTCGTGCGATTGAAAAAAACAGCGAGGATTTTTCCATCAAAAGCGTTACGAAAGCATTATCCTAACACTGCCTGCGAAACGTAATAACGTCGCGACGATGATCGCGTGCTAATATTAATTAAGGCATTCGTTAACTGCCGCAGAAGAAAAATGTAAACAGCTGCACATGTGTGTCCGCTTGACATATCTCGCTCGGATGAGGCTTTTATGAACGGTTTAAATATAACGCTGAGCTTTCCGCGAGCCCTTGACCCTTAAATTCTCGGCACACCTCGCATTCTGGCACGTCTCTCTCAGCCTTCTTCGTGTATTTATTCTCATACCGTGTGTCCTTTGTTTTGTTTTTCAGTATTTCGCGGGCTCGCTCGTGAGGACGCTCGGAGGAAATCTCAGTAACAGAAATGTGTGTTTATGTGTGGGGACGTGAACAATGATTCTGATTGAACCAGTTTTACTAGTTAATTCGCGTTATCTGATAATGCGCACTTTTCGATCTTAACTTCGCCCGATAGCCATGTCAAGAATTAACCGGCAACAATTCGCGAAACTTTATCTTCTTCGTGACAAATCGTTATGCCTCCCGCTTTTGTTCTCACTTAATTTGACTTTTTCTACGATTTCAACTTTTTTGTTTGTTAATGATGACGATTAGCGATAAAAACGTTGATAGGGGAACGACAGATCGACGAAGATGGTGCAACCTGAAAATAAGAAAGCGATGCATAGATATAGTAGAAACCGGTTATCATAATGATAGGAGTTACCTGAAANTATATAATTTCTTTTATGTAATTAATGCGTTTACCACAATAACGTAGGTAGGTGTTGAAAATGCTTCGTAATGTTGTATAATTTCGAATCTCTAACAATCTTGTTGATATTTTAGATTACATAAGATATAGTCGTACACATACAATGTACACTTTTCGTCTGAAACGCAATTATTCCTACCCTGTATGTGCCTTTTAATATTCTTATTGTTTCTTTAAAAAGAGAAGCGACAATAATTATAACAATATTTCGCCAATCCGTTCCGATTTGGCGAATAATAAATCTTTAATCCTCGAGCGCGCAATAGTTATTTCAGCGTGTATATTCAATGCATATCCCGACGTCGAACCTGGGAATAGCAGAAAGCCAACTCGACGTTGCCATGATTGCTTGATAGAAAATAATTTATTATCTGTCGATTGACCGCGAACAAAATCATTATTCATCGTATTAACGCCATTGTGGTACACGATGCAGTATTTCTGTGAATGGCCGACATTCAACTGTGAAGAAGAGGAGGTACGGCACTTGCGACACACATGACCCGAGACCGTATTTGCGTCGATGTGACATTTTATGGGATACTTTATGAAAGTTATATCGATTTGTTATGACGAACAGAGGGACGCGCAACAGCCGAAAGAAACGACCAAACACACGCAATAGGTCGATTTTGGTCTCCGAAGTGGCAAGTAAAAACAGTATGCTTTTCAGATTCAGCGTAGCTCAAAAACTAGGAAAAAATATATCGTTTTTATATCTGTCATTCCGGAAACCAAAATCGGTCCGGATTTTACTCGTCGTCCTTTAAGAAAAAAATATAAAAACGAGAAAAATATTCTCTAAATAAAATCTAAATAAAGTATAAACACGAGAAAAATATTCTCTAAATAAAATCCGTGTTGCAGATACAGGCTTATTTTCACTTGTTATCGCGCGCGTAAACAAATCGTTTCGTCTCGTTTGTCATCATAAACGACGGCAATTTCACTTTATTCACCGTTTGCGGAGGAAGGGGGACGGATCGGATATATCGATAATACAAATATGAATGCAGCCAATTTTATTCTGTTTTCCGTTACATAGGACGGCGTTTCGCCAAAGCATTTCACATGGTTAACACGTTCGCTACTGGAGCGTCACTGCTCTCTCTCTCTCTCTCTCTCTCTCTCTCACACACACATACACACCTCTCAAACTCATCTTTGTTTAAAATTTTCAATTCTGCTCGCCACGTTCGTCACCGGCGTTGCAATGCATTCTGTACTCATATAAATAAACTAATGATAAGTCTTGCGCGATTACACGGGAACAAATGCATTTGTGGTCCGCAGGAAGAATTCCTCGAATAAACTCGTGTACGTAGCGGACGTGTTAATTAATTAATCAGGAGAGAAAACCGAAAGCAAACTGGTCCTTCTCGTCCTTTAAAGCGCCTTTAATCGCGAAGAAAATCACATCACGTACGAAGCACACTCCTGGTACCGCCGCAGCGCTCCCAATATTCGGCGGAGATCCCGACGGCGGTACGTGGGAACATCGAGGAAACCCAGTTCATCGTTTCGCGCGTGTTCGCGCATTCTGCGAGAGAAATGCGATTCACAGCCAAGAATCATGTGTGGAATGATTCATCGTGTATCTCGCGAGATCAAGCCAGCCCGCGCGCGCGTATGGACATACCCGCACACACGCACGCGAGCGAGCGAGCATTTTATCGATACGTGAGTATACAAGAGAGGATAATAATACACATAGTAATATTATAAAAAAAAAAAAAAGGAATCACAGAAACTGTCGTTAAACACGAACAGGCACGCCGTCGTCTCGGAGATAGAGACGATGCGGGATCCTGACGAGTCTGTCTATCACAATTAGTAGGTACCTAATGAGATTACACCGTCAAATGCAATAAATAATTCGGAAAATTATTAATACCCGCTTTTCTCATTCTTCTCATTCTTCCCCCCCCCCCTTCGCCTCCTTTACTCCACCCTCTCTCTTTCCCTGCCTCATTCACTTTTACTCCATGTTCAATCCTCTCACTCGTCGTTCGTCGATCCGTCGTATCTTGCCGCCGTCTGGTGGTCGGATGTTACCGTGTATGTCTAAGTAAACTCCGCCGTTCATCTCATGATGATTCCGTTGCTCCCAGGTCTGATAAGGCGGGCAGGTATTCGGGATACACGGATGCGAGTATACGTCCAGGCTGCAGCCAGTGCATAGCCCGCAGGTGCAGCTAAGCCCTGCGCCGCACACTCCCAGTGACTGGCTCGGACCTCCGCATCTCTCGCCGGGTCCCTACGGGTAAGAAACGCGCGAAGTAGAGACGGTGTCGGCAGGACGACGACGTTCGAATTGTTTCTCTCGTTCGAGTGGTCCCCTCGAGAAATTGTAAACAAATAATCGTGAAAAGTCGCGTGACTGTACGCCTTCGATATATCGACCGTCGAATTGTCCAGTTACCCTCGTAGTTGACGTGCGAAAAGAATTGACTGTTCCTGTATGAATTAATTAGCGTAGGCTCTTTTTTCGTCTGCGGGAATAATTTTCTTTTTATTGCTTTACTGAGAGAGAAAGAGAGGAAGGGAAAGAATAATGAACGTAAGTTAATAAAAGTATTGAAACATAACACTGGGAATCCTCGTGTGTTCCATGAAATTTTTATCGATACACAGCCAATGTGTTAAACAACACATCGATACTCACCTTTCGACATTCGTTGACACCGCAGAAACTCGATACCGTGACACCGAATGTGCATTTATCGCACTCGTTGCCACATCCGTTACACTGAAAAAGGAAAATATTTATCAGTATAGCTTATTAAATTACTCCGAGAGGCAGAATAATTATTCCGATGCAACGTTATTTATTTTGCGAATTAGAAGTAGCTCTTTCAGAAAGTAATCTTAAAAATATTGTTTTCTCAGTATACTATATCGTACCTCTTGCATTTGTGCCTCTTGCCGTTGCAGTATCATCGGATAGGTGTAGCACTTGCCGATTCTGAAACATCCAGTTTTTACCTTTAATGCAAACACGTATATATAATATTAATACATACACACACACATTGTCGCTTCTACTTACACAAAAATGGCGGCTAAAAGGACGATTGTATGGACAGGTTGCAAAACGAACATAGCGATCTACCAGTCTGAAACACAGAAACGCGATGCACACGTTGAGTATCCGTGACGCTTTGTTCACCGCGAGATTTGAAGAATTGCGCCTGCCTTTATAGGACATGCAGGTACATCCGCAAATTTTACCCTAAAAATAGGATGATTTTGCGTGTAGCCTCGGGAAGTCCACGGGTAACGCAAACGAGGTAAAACCTCTAGCTTACTTTCTTAGTTGCAATAATGATGGTTACAGGCGCCGATTAACGAACGCTTTATTAATCTTGCTGGTTTATTTAGGATTTATTATTAGGATCAATTGCGAGCAGTGTTTTGTATGTGATCGGATAGTCTAGCTTCGTTGAAAGTTAAAAAACCAGTTATCCTGTTATTAAAACCAATTTCTGTTATCGAGGGCCGCTGTCAATTAATAGCAACAAAGGCAGCTATAGTCAACAATAACGAACTTCGAGAATGTTCTCGAAGGAGTTAAACAATGCGAGAGGCAGTAGACAACAAACTTGAACAGTCTAACATCTCCCGCCGAGGCAAAGAATTTAAATTAAAAAATGATACGAAACATAGGATATATTCCTGTCCGAAAGCCATCATCTCATCTGTTCGCGCATTAATTCTCAAAACCTTCCTCGGATGCGGATAATCTTTCAACATTTACCGAGTTCAGTTCGCCTTGTGGTTCAACATCTGGACGTAACCCGCAGCGATTCGGCCGTTCATTTCGGAAGTGTCGAACGCCCGACACACGGAAAATCGGGGGTAGGTGTCACCGAACTCGGCTTTTCTCATGCGTTGCGATCGCGAATCGGCGTCGGGAGCGTGTAGAGTGAATGATATCGGGCTTTTTAAAGCGAAGTGTCACTCACAGAACGTACGAGAGAAGGTGAGCCTTTCGACGAAGGACCGAGAGAGATCCATCCGGAAGAACGCCTCGAACACACACTCGACGTACGAAAGCACGCACAGAGAGAACGAATTCTCCGGGCATGCACGAGACACGTGAAATTCTCATAATCCGCACTTTGGGCAGTTCGAGACAGACCGAGACACACCGCGACTGTGTGAGCGCAGTGTGAAAAGAGTGTCCGGCGCGACGTTGACTTGTCAAATGAATTCTCGTCCGGCGCGATATGGGGAGCTTCGGAAAAGCGTATGTAGTGACTGGTGACTTGACTCGCGAATTAAACGGACAAAACTGATGTCCTACATCGCCACGGGGATCCCCACTCTACATAGTGAAACGGTTTAGCCGCAGCAGCCTACAGTGACTCCGGGGGCAAAGACTACCGGCGTACCGATTTATCGATATGCAGAAGAGTGAAAGGACAGAGCGGCTCGTTCACTCCCGGCGCGGTGCGAGCCCCTGTCTCAGGAGTGGCGACTGCGTTTTTTCCGCCCCGCGCTTAGCCTATCCCCGACGACTCAGGATCTTCCCTGGGACTGTTTCCGAAGTCCGGAAAAGGTGAAAGGAAAAACGGACGAGAATCGGAGAATTGAGTTTCAGAAGAGTTCGAGAACAGTCGGATGAGAAGTGCGTGCGAGAACGAAGCGAGGATTTTTCTCCGATCGGCACTGTTTATCGATGACACGCGTTGCGAATAAATGGACACAAGTGATGCATAATTGCCATCGCTTCCTCGCGTGCGCACACTGTCTCTTATACTCGCTCCCGATTTGTCGTTCTTCACGATTATATTTAAAACGTGCCTCGATAACGCGAAATAAATTCGGCCCGGATGCGGGGGACGAGATACGGAATCGTGACTTGTCGACGGTCTCAATTCAATTGCTGCTCGTGATTGCAACGTGACTGCAACGGAATACGGGCTGGACGACATTAAGCAATCCTTAAGCACTAAAGAGAGGCGGTGGACTTTAAACTCGTCGTCGGGTTCATTGACCGAAAAAGCACATTGTTTCTTGAAATAAGAGTAACATGTAGGTCTCCTCTGCCGGCTCTGTCTTATTGTTGTTCTAACAATAAACGCTTCTCGTCGACACATGATCCACTTTCTTCGCTGAACGAGGCCTCCCTTCGTTCCTCCCGCATAGCTGCATAAACATCCGTCCATAAACAAGGAAACTACGTGACTGACTCAGTATTGATACTCCGCGAATCTTGAAGTCTCCTTTACGTTTTGCAAACGCTCGTCTGCGCGAGTGGTGTACGTATGATTGTGTGTGTATGTGTGTGTGTGCGCGTGTATATACAACAAAAGAATAGCCCTACCGTTTTTCGTCCCCCTTCACCCCGCATTGATATGATATTTTCTGTCCCGTTTGTGGCCGTAACTCCTTGTTTGTCTTAGCAATTTTATCGTCTTCCTACTATATCATTGCGCGCTTTTGTCCACATGTATAAAAATATATATTTTATTATTGTTGATCTAATTGCGAAATAATAATCTTGACACGCAACGATATTAATCCGACCCCCTAGTTCTCTAATCTCTCTCCTCTTTGGACTCCCGGATAAGTGACGATACATGCGCACACGTGCGATCATTAAGCATGATCTTGAATGAGTCGTAATTATTTTTCCACGCGGTTTCTCCGCGATATTGTTATCTGTGTCAGCAAGTCTAGTCGTTCTAATAATATCGCGGTTCTCCGACTCCGCTATCGGCGAGCGCACACAATCAACACGTTGTTTTTGTAACAACAGCATTACAATAAGATAATGGGAATGCCGATACACAGCCGGCGCCTTGTGTAATATTTTGTCTTCCTCCGATCCACCGTAATCTTATTTTGACGGTTTTTAGATATTAACGCGTTCGCTACCGGCCAGACACTGACATGTGTGTGACGCAATAAATTTCTTATCAGAGATCGCACGTTAGCATCATGTATGACAGAAACAATGTTTTTTTCTATATCCACATTATCAAACTTAGCCTATTTATATAATTGTGTAAAAAAAATCACACCTGAGCTTAAATTCCAGTTTGAATATACAGAGATACGTTTCAAGTAACTTTAAGTAACTTTAAGTAACTTTTCTTTACTATTAATGTGGACCTTCCATGTGTGAGAAGAAAAGGAATAAATATTGTGAGCATATGCGTTCAAGGATAATTTTCTCTCTATCTATCTCTTTCTCTTTTTCTTGAGTTTGAACCAAGCAGTCGACAATAATTTGCGGAGATGTTACCATTGTGGATCGTCGCTTTGAATCGCGTGTCTTTCTAAACTCTCGCGCAGGACGGCGCGAAAATAGACTCGCAGACGGCGACTGACCGAATCTCTCGATAACTGAAAATGCATGCATCGCGAGAATCAGGTCAATAACACAGTGACAAACGCATTTTTGGAAAGCGAGTCCAATCTCGTGTTTTCAACCACAAACGAATCTCGTGTGCTATGCGTTAAAGAAGTTAAGATAAGTACGTTAAAAAAGAAGGAACGAACACGCAAATATATTAGGTAAATTTTCGAACTGTCGAAGGATTCACTTATATTTATCACGCATTTATTAAGAAACAAAGAGAAACCAACAATAAAAACTGTTATTATAATTTAATAAGAATAATCAATAATTTAATAAGAAAAATTACTATTACAGGATTTTATAATTACGAAGAAAGACATTCTTAATTGATCATCTTCTTGTTTTATACGTACTACTTGTATTTTAGAAACTGAAATATTCATATTTTATACTATAAAAAATTTATCATATGCCGCTTGACAAAATTTATTTTGTTACTTAGCAAGATAAACTCTACTGGTCACACCACCAGAAAACAAGATATAAAATTGTGAAAAATCTACAGGATAAAAAGCTGTTTTTCTGCGTGCAAAGAACTCCTGTCGTCACGATGAGACATTGCAGTGTAATGTTTTCGTATTAAATAAATACGAGTCGGGTGATTTCAGATCGCGTGGTAGATGGTAAATACGCGTCACACGACTTCCGATTTTCCGCGCAAACAATATTATTGTCTCGGTGCAAACGGTTGAACTGGCGTTTATTTTCGGTAGTACCGATGCGCCGGAATTAGTTCTCCGCCTAGTGGTCGGAAAAATTCGTCAACAGCCGACACATCCTCGCTCGGCGACATCACCACGCGCTCAACGCGGTACCAGGAATACCGGCAAAATCACCAGCTATAATTGTGCCCTCCCCGCGGCAATGAGTAGTGTATGACGCATATCGCATCAGACAATGACGACTCGACGCGCGAAATTTTCAATGAATTTTCACCGAGCCGGCGAACCCCCGCGGGATAATTTCCCTCGCGTTCCCGGACGGCGTCTCTCGTGCATCCGAATGCGTACGCGCGCGCAAAGAGAGAGAAAAAGAATGTAACAAAAAAATGTACGCGACACCCAAAACCTGCGAGTCACGCTTTTTTCCATATTTTTTCACAAACAAGGAGAAATAAAGGCAGAAACGATCTGAATGTTGAGTGATCTCGCGTGTCATCGCTACGCGACAGCTTGGCAAAATTCGGCGCGGGAACGACGAGCGCGAACGGAGCCGCACGCGCGGCTGATATGATGACGTAGCGGACCAGCATACCGCGGAGATGCACACCGGGGGAAAATCTCCGTAGAAGTTTTCGCGGTTTGGAAACGGGCGGTTTCACGCCGCCCGAGACGAGAAACACGACATCACGCCTCGGCTTGCTAAAAATAAACGGAGAGATTTGCGTTGCTCGACACCGATGCCAAATTCTCCCCCTCCCACGTCCTCCGCTCTTCTCCCCCGCCCTCTCTCTATCTCTCTCTCTCTCTCTACCTTTACTTTTACATCTCCCGCATTCCCACCGGTATATTCCCTCATTCTACGTGCTTCTATGCAAGATTCACTATGTGAACTCTCTTCTCCCTGTCCGCACCCTCTTCTACCGTTTTTCCGAATCGCTTCCTCTCGTTCACTCTCATCTTCTATAGCAATCATTGCGCTTCCTCTGTGCATCCGCTCCCTCCCCAGCATCCCTCTTCGTTTCATCCCTCCCTCCCTCTCTCTCTCTCTCTCTTCACTTCTGTCACACGTACACGCTCACGCACACTTGTCGTCTCGTTGCCTCGCTGCTACGAGGGCTCGACAGAGCGGGTTAGTATCGTACCAGTTAGCATTCGTTTTGGACGTGTGCGGTCTGACAACGCGAGCAACGTTCCACGAGTGAGGCCACGGGGAAGCGCGCTTCATCCCCGGACAGAGTCGAAGAGTTCTAAGAAGAATTGAAAGTGCGAGAAGGTCCCTTCGCCGAGCTCGCGGCACTCGCGAAGAACGAGACTTTCTTCTTCCCGTGAGGAATTAAATACGCTCCCCCTCATCTCCGTCGTCCAAGAGTGAGTAGTAGACTTGGGTATCACCGACTTCCGCTTCCGAGTGCTGTCAGATCGTTTCATAACCGCGTATATTATCATATTATTGAATGTAACCTCGGCTTTCTGTGTGTTCCGTGTGATTGACATTGAACGTCATTAAATTCCACTATAAAAAAAACTCACACACGCACGTACCATTTCGTCGGGATAAAAATCACGGAATATTTCGAAAGTATGCCACGCATAGAAATCCTTCGAGAAACTGCGCGATTCTTTTCTACTTGTATTCATGCATGATAAGATGTAATCTTTCCAATGAGCGCAACCCTTTGAATCCCCTTCGTAACGTACGATAAAATATATTTGGACCTTCGATATTGACTCATTTTCGTTACTTCCATTTGTTTTCTGTTAAGATGTTCATTCAATTTGTTCATCTTTCTCTCTCTCTCTCTCTCTCTCTTCGTAGATAAATATTTGCAATCTTATCTGAAGGAACGAAAGCGCGAAAAGAGAGACAGGTGAATGTGAGGTAATTCGATGATGAAAGATAATTCTTCGAAGAGAAGTCGGGAGTAGAGAAGGCACGTGTCTCAGAAGATGCGGATGCGACGATTGCATATTTAGAAACTACTCGCGTGTTCAGATCTAAACGCGTGACGCGTCTGATTCTACGTCTTATTTACTTAGTGCGGGCTCGATATAGGTGTAAAATAACGATCGGATGGACGCTCTTGGCGCTAAACACGTAGAGATGAGAAAGCGAGATCGGTGTGTGTGTGTGTATATGTATGTGTCCGTCATCTCTCTAATCTCTAATCTCGCGCACACTCGAAACATAAATGCGAATCGGAGGTTTCTAAAAAAAAATTCCTTCGCTGCCGGCGACTGCGGACGAAAGTTGCGCGCCGGAAGCGCCGACGTCCGCTCCGAGATCCGTATTTATTTACGAGATGCGCGTGCTTTCATATTTTCATAAATCGAACGCCGTGGCAAACATGTTTACCACTGACATCACGGACACGCTTCGTTCCACCCGCAACGAAACATTTGTTGTCCCGAGCAACGCACGATGCAATTGCCGAAAATTGCGCCGAACACGCTACGCCACGTTATCCCCGCCGTTTCCATTGGCCGGTACCTTCATCGTACTCATCATCATCTGATCATCTGACATCGCGTGCCCATTGACGTGCGGTTGACGCGCGTGTTGCCGCGACGCGTGTAGAAAATTTCGCGGGAATAAAGTTAGAACTGTGCGACGGGGGAGGGAAATATTAGCGGATAAGCGTTCCCTCGCGCGCACCCCATCCAAATTCTCACGTCCGATCGACGGTCAACGTCGACGATGTTTTCGCCCGCGGAGAAAATTAAACAGACCACCGCCGTATAAAACCAAATGAAGTGTTTGATTATCGTCTGCGAGCGCAGGCAGACGTTAAAAAATATACGATTCTCGAGCGAGGGAGCAACAAACGGCGTGCATACCAGACCGCCGGTAAATATACAGAAGGGAGAAAAGAAGAACACGAGATGACGGTGCGGATCAAAACGGAAGCGTGACTTTCTTTCTTCGGACACAGTGGGGNGGGGGGGGGGGGGGCAGGAGGAAGAAGGGAAGGGAGCGAAACTTCGGGCGGTCAGGAATAGTCTGAGGCATCGGATGCAGAAGAGCTAGAGGAGCAGATGCAAAACTCGTAGACTCGACCCGCGGTCTCTACGTAGACGACCTGCCAAGAGAACGTCGGCGCGATGACGTGAATGATTTTTGGTGGCACGCCGACCCAAGTCACTCGGACTCAATGTAATGCCTCCTGGCATCTTTTGTGTCTCCCGACTCTGTCACTGAGCAATTAGTCGAGCTCGTTTCATTTTCAACCGATATTTAACTCTCTCATCGCGATGCGACGCCTTTACCTTTAATCATCCGAATCCCGCCCCGGATGGAAATATTATTATGCTGAAAATTTTACTGAAATTCCCTCTCGACTGACCGCATTTCATTATCATTCTGTTCAATGCATGCAGTTTTCAGTGGAATTCAGTAAATTTTAGCAGTATATATTTTTAATTTACTCGTATTCGAGTACTGATATACTATGAACTATGAATTTGAGGAAAGTTACTGAAAAATTACTGAAATATATAATAATAAAGATTTCAAAATAAACCATAATTTTCACTGTGAAATTCACTTTATATAATATTGTGAAATATAATGTAAATTAAAATATAACTTTGAAAAGTAATAAAGAAATGTTTAGATATCGTGAGATTTACTGAATTAAACTGAAAAATGCGTATATTAATAAAAAGGGATCAGTTGAGAGTGTATTTCAGCAAAATATTTCCATCAGGGGCGGTGTAAATTTCGGCACTCCTCGAGACCGAACTCGAACTTTCCACGAGTCAACTTCAAGAATCGAGAAAAATTCAAAATCGAGAGATTCAAAATCAACTTCGAGCGAAAAATCACGAGCAAGTGTGTTGTTTCTTGATTTCAGGAGAGCCAAGATGGGTATGATAGCACGGGTGAGACGTCGCGTTCGTGCGAACTCATTGACAGTCGACAAAGAGAAGACGGCACAAAGCGTTTGCCTTTTGAGCGCGGTCCTCCTCTTGCCATATTGCCCGCGTGGTCCATTGCCACTTTTGCCATCGCCAGCGCCGGTTTTGTACTCGGCCCTCGTCCTGCCGGTCGTCCTAAGCGCGAATTACAGATACCCGGTACCGACGCTGAAAACTCTTGCCGAGGCGGCTAAAGGTACGAACGAATTAATGTGCTGTTTTAACATTAATTCCACGAATTTACCGTATATACATCTTCGATATATGGCCAGTCATAAAAAGGTTGCAACATTTTTTTATTTCCGACTTTATTTTCCGATGAAGTCCGCAACGCATCTCGTATCCAATGGGAACTACTAAACAACCAATTTCCTTATCAGACACGGAATGCGTTCTGAAACTTGTAAAAAAAAAAGTGTTACAACCTTCTTGTGAACTGATTATATATTTGTTTGCACAAGTTTGCACAGGTTTGCATACAGTTGTCGTCCGGTGCTAAAATTTATCCGACGCCTAAGCCTCATAACACCAGTCCTAAATCTGATTTACTTTTTTATCAGAGTTTTCTACGATTCTCAATCTTACATATATATATAAGCGTGCAAAAATAACATGCTCTAATAAAATACATTAGATATGATGTTAAAACATATACGATATTGTCCGATTATTTTGCGAATTTTCTGAATATTCGAGTATTATAATGATTGAAGATAGAGCACGATATCTTGGAGAAACGAAAGATAAAAATAAAAATCAGTGGAAAATTAGAAAATTGATGTAACATTGTTGTCAGTTGGTATTTAGTTGGCATGCATCTACCGAGCGTGGTCAACAGCTGAATGAGATTAGCTGCATATCGTACGAAGAAACCATTCTCAGATAATCGATATCCAGATAGTACAAACTTGAAAAAGATGTCTTATCAGACATTTCTGTCTTTTAAAAATTTACGCTATCTGGATACTGATCACCTGTTGCACCTACTATTCTGTCTTACATGACTTGAATTTATTGACTTCCGGATAGAGAAGAATCTTAACCGATTTTACATTTGTATTCGTACTTCTTAATCGGTTTACTGATTGTCCTGACATTTCGAAATTTTAAATTTAACATATTTAAAATTAAGTATTTAAAATTTAACGTTTCCAGAGACCGCCGAGGCAGTGCTCTATCGTTCCCGTAGAGTCAATGAGTATTAATAATAACGTTTATACATTTTTAACAACACTATCGTCAGTGCTTACCTAAACTCCGAATCAGTTATCTCTATTCCCCTCGTCTCTCACTCTCACTCTCTTTCCCTCTCACTCTCACTCCCTTTCCTCTTCCTCTTCTTGCGGACGACGCTTCTTTTGACCGGAGCGAGAATTCCCTTCGTGTGAACGCCAAGACGAGGAGTAGCTTAATGCTTGGCGGACATCGGACGCACTTTATTTTATAGGTACAGAAGCCCTCTCCTCGGTATCTCTCTAAGGGGGGTGGATCTTCGGTTGCCATGTGAAATCCTACGGTCGCCGTCGTCTCACGTAGCCGCCTTTTCCTCCCATACCTCCGTCCTTGTCTCATCCTCGTCCTGCCTGTATCTCTTCCCGTCCTCGTCGTCGTTGTCGTCGTCGTCATCGTCGTGGTCGCCGGTGACTCGTCTTGACTGACGTCCATTAATATGCAAATCCATCGTCAGCTCTCTCTCTCTTGAACTCGTTACTAAAAATGAAGCCGATCATTCATCGGCCACGTCGATTACGTTATACTCAATTAACAGTGGCCGGGGGCGGCTCTCTCTCGCTCTCTCGCACGTTCGCACCGCTCATCAACATCAGCTGGCAACAAGTTTGCGATTATTAACGTAAAGCACGCCCCGTCAGGTTATTCAGCAACTTGTCATTCTCCACGAAGTGGTCCGCCGATAAAACCCCCAACGGGGGGTTGCCGCTGATCGGATCCACCTCCGGGAAATCACTCACGACATTCTCGTATCGTATCGTATCTCGGCCATACTTTGCTCTCTCTTTTTTTGTTTTACGGAATGAACGATGAGCATGACGATGAGAACGAGGAGGAGGACGACGACGAGGACGCCCGCGATATGCGAGCGCATATCAATGTGTTCTTGCGCATAATAATAATAACGAGATGTCGCGTGTCTGCGTGCTTTTTGTTCATGGTCGTATCCTCATTAATATCGCTCGCCCCATTGCGATACCCATTAACGAAGATAATCTTCTTCAGTAACTTGCGAGGACGGCAGGAGATATAAACGTTTTTACTCGGCCGGACAATCGACGAAAGAATCGCGGGATGTATCTTTGTGCGCCGCCTTTCGATCTATATCCTTAAAGTGTGATTACCGGCTGAACCGGTGCTTCGTCCTGCCTCGATCGTTTTCGATTGTTATTCAGTGTACATAATTAGTGGATGTAAATAGTAGATATATATATTTATATTGGGAATAGTGGAGCAGGTGCAAGGAAATATGAACGCTTTATAGGTGAGTGTGTGTCAGTACAGTCCGAGCATGCCAAGTTTTCGAGTCCTGATAATATAATATGTTGAATGTTTCCTCCATTTCTCACTTGAATATTTCAGTATATAGCTATTAATTAGAACCAGTAACACACACAATGTCTTTAGTCGCAAATATTAAGTAATTATCAAAATACAATCTTTTGTGTAAAAAATATTTCCGCAAGAGAATTATTTTTTACATGAAGAGAGAAACAACGAATTGGCTATTTTAATCGATTTCCTATTTTTTATTTTTTTTATAAATATTACTCGGAAAAAATTCTCAGTTCGTGTAACTGAATAGGCCAGATAAAAAAAATATGATCTCTTTGTTATTGCAACTGAAAATGTTGGTCTGTATTAAAACTCGGCGAAGATAACTGAGGAATTAAAACTCGGTTAAGATAATTTCACTCGAGCCGTAAATTTGCGTGGATTCACGAGAATGTTAAATTTCGCGGTAGCAGATATCGCGGATATAAAAATACCGAAAGTTCCCGGAGTTCTTTCGGGCATATTCTCATATATTGTGATATATTTAGAATACAAAATTAGAACCGAACACTGTAAAACGACCGACAAAACTAATAATAACGTGTAATTTCGCATAAAATAAAAATACCGACGCGATATCGTGTATCGATGGAAGCTCAATTATATTTTTCAACTATGAAATTTTACAGCAAGTTATTTATGAAATCGGTGTAATTTGCATTTTTCAAATATACCTTTATTATCACCAATCCGTGACACTTAGCCGTTTTAAGCGCCGTACCAAAATAGATATATTCCTCTACTGCGTCTCGATCACTAGGCTGTATATTGTACACGAACACGGTTCGGGTAACTGAACAGGCAGCAGACACAAAACGATATCTCTGACACCACGATGGAATATGATGACAGACTGATTACAGACCGAGCTGTATCTGTCGTAATCACTTAAATATTTTTCCCAGACAATAGAAAAATGTAAAATTGAAAGATGTTCTGAAGGCTTAAAGAGTCTTAACCCGTCAGTTCCCAATGCACCCTTCAGGTGGCACAATATTTTTGACTTATAAACCATCGAAATAACACTGCTAACCTATAACATAGCTCTAAGTGTTCAGTTTAGATACCAGTGACTCTAAAACAAGTTATCAACACCGAATAAAAGCGATACATAAGCGAAAAATAACCTTCCAAACTTTATCACTTACCACTTTTCTGAAACACTCAAAACCTATAAATTTGGTTTCCTTAGGTTTCAAAACGTGAGATTTCCTAAGAGGAAACAGAAATTTGTGGTTTCAATTCATTTGGTAACTGACGGGTTAAAGGTGTGTCTTGTGTCTCGATTTTAGACATTCTGTTGTCTAAGGGTTCAAATGGGACATACTGCAGGTCCTGCTCGGATTCTCGCTTTTTTCAATCTGCTGTCAAGTTGTGTCAGCAGATTTTGCCGGCAGAATATGAACTTATTGAGGATGCAGATGGCTACGGATCTGCCACGGTATTCTGATCGAGTTTGCTGTCAATCCGCCGGTTGCATACCGCCAAAAATTTTGCTTTTTGCGGCACTTCATCATGCTGTCGTGAACGAGATGTCACGTCAACTTGAGTTATAATTCGGCTATGTATATCAATCCTGTTAATAACAGTAAAAAAAAAAAAAGTTGCCTTTCAAGCCGCGCTTCTCGAGTATTATAATTCTCGAGTAATATAATTCAGGAATACAAAGAAAACAGAAAATTTGAAGGTGGAAATTAACTTGACTACTTCTTGGACGTGTCCGAAATTGGGCAACTTTCCATTAAATATCATAAGTGTATAACAATAACGTTACATTAATATTATAATTTCCCGCATAATTTCTTCAATAATCGCAAGGCAACAAGTGAAGAGATAAATAAAGATTGAAGATGAAAGAATGAACATTGTCGTAACAATCGTCGCGATGCCGTGATCGCAGGTGGAGCGAAGAGAGCCTGGCATCCCCTAAACCGCTTCCTGAGGCGGTTGTACGCGCCCGTGGACCGCGCGGAGAATCTCTTCCTGAAGATGCGCAATCTCTCCATTATGGCGAACCAGATAGTGTTCCTGATACTGGCGGACAAAGTGCTGCTGCCGCAACAGAGAATGACCTGCCTCTACACGCTCATGTTCTACAACGTGATAGCCTACTGCGTGAGTTACATCAAGGAGCTGATCCAGAAGGAGGACTGGTCGCCGTACGTCACCTTGACCGAGAGATCCAAGATCAAGCATCTCGCCATGTCGGCGACCAAGATCGTGCTCGAGTGGACTAAAGCGGTGACGTTTGTCGTCACGTTGACCTTCATGCTCCTCGTGTTCGGGCTGGAGCAGGGCCTCGACCATTACAAGTGAGTAATCGAATCGTCCGAAAATCCCCTTATTCTTGTCAAATAACGTCCGGTCACCTTACTGTCTTATTTCTTCGAAAAAAAAAAAAATGGGGCATTCGAAGTGACGCCCGAGTTGGAGTTAACACGTGTTCCAACGTGTCGCAGGCCTTCGATGATCTACACGGTGATCACGTGGATCTACTACTCGGCAACGGAGAAGGTCTTCGTGGAGATGTTCCCCACCATCCTCAGTTTCCTGCAGCTGGAGGCGCTGGAGAACATCGAGAATCTGTACGCCCCGGTGATACTTCATTGCTTCACGATCGTCGTGTCGGCGATCTTCAGCGTGCTGCTGCTGGCATCGGCCTCCTGGAGGTTCCTGCTGGCCGCCACGTACCTGAACGTCTACCTGCGATGGAAGGAGCTGATGCAGAACTCGGGCGCGGTGCTACGGCGGGAACGCAAGGTGTTGAACCGGTACCGGAAGGCGACCCTCGAGGAGATCGAGAGGTTCGACGACGTTTGCGCGGTCTGTCTGTGCGGCATGACCAAGGCCAGGGTGACGCCTTGCCATCACCTCTTTCACGCGGACTGTCTGCGACAGTGCCTCAAGTCCAGCGACAATTGCCCGATGTGCAAACGCGAGCTGAAGTTCGACTGAGCGAGGATGAGGAGGATCTCCTTCCGCATCGCTTCTCGTGGGACTCGCTTCGCGAGATCCTCGATACGCACCGTCGAGAATGAATGAAAGAAAAAAAAAAGAAAGGAACGTCTCGGGCACACGTTTAAATTCCTAAACGTCGGAAAGATTCCGAAAGAAAACGCGTAATGCTCTTTAGACCTACGTCACCCGTGACCCGGGAAAGGAAAAAATCATTTACGAAATTCGCCCATGTATGGCTGTGCAATCATGTATGTCCACATCGGAAAAATACTGTTGTTTACAAATTATATAATCGAAGTAAATGCAGTCTGGCTACTCGTGCTTCAGACAGTACGTGATGTCGACACTTAATTAAATGACATAACATAATGTTTTTTTTCGTATACATATATGATCATATATGTAATCACACATATGGGCAAAATTCATATATGATTTTATATAATTATATATAATCATATGTAATCATTCTTTTCCCGGGGAATGAGGAATCGGGGAGAGAGGGAGAGAGAGAGGCTTGCGATATTACGCGATGTTGATAATAATCGCGATGCTCGGAATGCATGTTCCTTTAGATACACTTTTCTGTGATATAGATCAGCAGCGTCGTAGCTTAGTTAAAGCAGTGGTCTACACGGAGGGAATATTGTAGCTTTCTTAAATCGCAGAGATCGTTTCGATCTTGCCACCTTATTTTCTATTAACGTAAGAGCGACATAGACTGTCAGTAATAGTTTATCTTGCTAAGGAACATACATTTTTTAATAGTGCACACGGGAAAATCTACACTGCATTCAAGTGAATATTACACTTGTATCGAGTATTTCATAAGTTTATACATCCGCAAGTATATCGTATAAGTTCATCGTAAGCATCAAATTGATTCAAAATATATATTCTGAACCCCAATAAGTTTAGTACTTCAGTCAAAATTTCATCACGATGGTTCCTACAACCTTTGTCTATCTATAGGCGCAAAATAACATTAATATTTTGTTGCGGCAACCATATATAGCTAAATGATATTCGTAGTAATTTTCTCCGCGCACACGTGGAAAGGAAGGATAATAAATCAAGACAGCAGAATATAGAGTGTATTCCTCGGTTAAAAAATTCTACGACATTCTCTCCGTGCATACTTCATCACATCAGCCACACTTCGTGGTCGAGTTGACACAAGTTGATTCGTAACTTTAACCATAAAACCGGCAAATGTAAAATACGCTTACTTTATATTACTATATTTCGTTAGAATGTAGCATCAGCGTAGTGTCAACCGAAAAAGAACTGCAAATCGCATAGTTCATACATATTCATGATAAGATAATTGCTTTTATTGTGAGATGTACCGTAAAATTTCTATGTCCAGCTCCGCAATTCTTTCTTCCTGCGAGAATTTAAAAACTTTAATAACAACGTCTTACAGAAAATCTGCAAGATTGTTTATAGAATTAGTTCGATCTGAACGTAGTGGCGCATATGGTTTTTGTACGATGATGAACGTGCGTTCTTTCTGAAACTTCAAATTGTGCCAAAATAAACTCATAAGTCATACAATTACGTAATTAAGATCAACTAGTAGCGGAATTTCTCTCCTTAGATTTAGTTTCTAATTTTTTTTCTCATACTTGAGATGAAATAGTCTGACAGAACTCAACTATTCTCGAAAGATAGAACGATAACTCTTATTCCACCAATAGGTTTTGATTTTATAATATGCGCTTTTCTATGGTTGATCATTTTCTTTATATATATATATATATATATATATATATATATATATAACGGACAAATTTAAATAATAGATTTTCATCCGTTTTATTAAAAAGAGAGGAAAAGGTAAGGATATTCTTTTGCTTATATTTAAGATTTACTCCCTATCGTTTCTTACATTCTATTATATTTATATAATGTTAAATATATACAAATCTATGCTTCTCGATGAATTATCTGGAAATACACGCTTCCCTTGTACAAATTCTTGGACACAGAGTAAAATTCCTCTTTTTACTGTACCATCGATTGATCCTTCATTCCTCTCCGACATACCTTCGAGTAGTGTTCACGTATTCTCCATCAGGATTGTCGTAATTTTCAATTGGAGGTGTTTTTGATGGACCTTTGGTCACATAGGGTAAAAGCGCCAGATCCACCTGTAAGTACAAACTCATGAATTATAATTATATGGAATAACTCTTACAACACGGATTTAATTTTTCCAATTATCGGTATCAGGAATTGGAGTAACTATACATATTTGTAACTACGGATCTCAACTAAATAATAGATTTTTCTTACCTGTATCGCTTCTTGATATAATTCTTCTGACTCTGCTCTAAGTTCGTCAAGTGCTTTTTGTTGCGAATAAAGCATAGAATCTATTATCTGAATATCAGCTAAATATTGACTATTTTTGTATCTACTCCATTCCTTTTGTAATAATATTCTAGATTCCATTTCTTCTGCCGATATTGGTGGGAGATTTCGTAACCTCTGTCTGAAGAAATCCACTTTGTTAGTATTTCAATATAAAACCAACATTAATATCTACCAATTACATCTACGTCGCCTATAACTTAATATTTTATTCATGAAAACTTACTCTTTTTCATCTATCAAGTTAAGTGGTACTTCCATTTCACTGATTGGTTTCAACTGTTTGGCAACCTTCTCCAACCTACGAATTTGCTTTTCTAACTTTTTCTTTTTCTTTTCCAATCTCATCTTAATAATCATAGGATCCATCTTTTTCTTCTTTTTCAACGGTTCTCCCCTGCAAAATAAATTGATAGTTGTGACACTCGCACATATACAATTGACTGTGTATAAGAACAACATAATAAATTTATATGTAACATCAATTTACAGAAGCGCGCTGCTGACTCTGAAATATAACGGACTGGTACATGTTGATATATTTCGAACGACGGGTAGAGTGTGCACAGATAACCTGAAAAGAAGAGTAAAGAAAGAAATAAAATTAACAAACTTTCATGTTATATTTACAAATGCAAACATTATGTACTCTTGATTAATTTATGCCAACAATGTAGAGATTACTCGCCATTTATTTAAGTAGTAATGAACAATTGGAATATTGCTATATAATTACCGTGAAAATGTTGACAATAAATTAACAACGTTCATTGTTGTAAAATAATCTCTTCGCACTATGCTCACGTTGTGTTTCTGCGCTAGAAATAACCAGAGATCCGTTCTTTTTGACTGCACCAGTTTGGTAGTGCAACTAAAACGAACAGAACAATGTATATCCTAGACCCAGCCAATGTGTACGTTGTGACTCGGTGCCATCATTGGCATCATTAAGTCTAGGGTATACATTGGTCTGTTCCATTTAGTTATACTGCTGAACTGATGCAGCCAAAAAGAACAGATCACATGTGTTGGTATGTGGTGGTTGCCCTGGGAACTCTTATTGAAAAATGGCGCACATTTTCGATTTACTCGGAATATAATCATGAGAAGGGAATCTCGCGAAGCAAGGGATGATTTCACGAGAATGGACGAGAAAATTGCGAAAAACGAATTACTCGATAAAACGGCGCGTAAACTTACCGATGAGATGCAGAATATGTCAAATTATAAGGCTCTTTACAACGAAATACAAGTACGTATTTATGATTCACTCATCGGTCGAAACTACACTCGTAAAACGAAAATAATTCTTTTATATGATTATTTTCTTTTTTTTGCAGAAACTTGTCGCGTCGCCCGCTGTAAATAAGGAAGATTTTAAAAATTCATTGGTCACGGCGCTAAAAAGTAACGGCGTGGAGACCGAAATCAGGAATACCGTTTTCCATTGGATACGATCGCAGGTACGTGACCGATATTTCCTGAAATCTCAAAATACCACTGCCTGAATAAACTTTTACAGAGTTCATTGCACTCGCAATCAGCTTCGCATATAGAAGCGGCTGATCTGAGTTATTTAAAAAAAGCTCAAATTCAGTGGGAACGACGTATACAGAAATCATTGAACTCAACATGCAACGAATTGAACATTCCATTAGCTCGTATAAGACCTACGTCTGATAGAGATGAGCTGGCTGAAAAGTGGAATGAATTGAGCACATATGACATTGGTAAATTTTATTTCAAATTTGGCAGTGTAGAATTATATTCTAAAAAGATCTTTTGCGGAATATAATTTACAGATTTGTCGCAATACCGGCCATTGTATGCACCAAAGGACTTCTTGGATGTATTGTTTTCCATACGTGATCCATCTTTTAAGAAGCAACCGTGTGAGACGATGTATTTACATAAAAGAAAATTAATTTTTCTGTTTTTTTTTTATAAAAGTGTGGTTTTTTTTAAATATCTTTCAGAGATGAATTAAATTGGGATTTTAGTCACATACAAATTAGTGTAAAAACACTTACTCAATTGGTACGAATTTTACAGTTGTTACTATGTGTGTGTGTAATTCGTAATTAATTATACAAAATCATTCTTTCTGTAGAGACACATGTACTCAGAATTGGCACAGGGAATACCATTGCTCGGAGTGAATCCTAATATGCCGGCTATGGAAAATTTTCCAAATTTGGAAGCCGAAAGAACTCATATTGGCGAAAAAGTACTGAATTCAAATCATGCTCCAGTTGCTCAAGAATTTCTAAAACGAGGCTCCCCTCGATCGTTGCGTGGTCGCATTTGGTCACTCGTACTCGGATCTGTCATCAAAGACAATGTATATGATCAACACCAGCGTTTAAAACCTGTGATTGTAAATACAGAGATGATCTTTTCCTTTTAGGATGTTGAATATTATAACGAATTGAAGAATATGGTACTGCAATATGATATTGTGGTGGACAAACTGATAATAATGGTAATTGATTTATATTATGAAAATATCTTGTTAAAACTTTTCATCAACAGACAGCAATCACTTATTTCATTTACAAATATCACAATATATTATGCATTATACGTTGGAAAAGATAAATTAAGAATATAATGTGATCAAATTTAGTATGACCTTTGGTTATAGAAGAACAAAAAATTTTAACCTGGTATGCAAAAATATTGTTAATCGGTCATTAATCATTAGTCTATATTTGCCATTTAAGAATTAAAATATATGGAATATCTTAGCATATATGTGTGTGTGTGTGTGTGTATAATTATAGGATGTACAGTTAACAGCCAGAAACGATGATCAATACTTCGTGTTTGAAGATGTATTGTATAAGACAATGTTGTGCTTCTCGAGAGATTCTGAAATACTTGCGCCGGTTACAACTGACAGAAGTGCTGGTGGTCAGGTGATTCATGCAGTTTTACAGGGCAAACCGGCGACACTAGAAAATACGTTGGTCTTCCCACCCAGCGGCGTTGTCCCATTTCACGGATTCACAATGTACGGTAAGGGAGTTGCGGAAAGTATGATGTTGCTTTTGAATCCAATCGACCATTGTTGTTACTTGTACAGCGACACCATTTTGCTATTTATATGACGACCCCTGTGCTATGTATTATACCTTCCGTGCATTCTACCTGAGATATTGGTTTCGCTTGCACACTGTGTCAAGCCATGAACAAGGCATAGTTGCTCTATGTTTACTCTTTGAAAGACTATTGCAGTGCCACGAACCACAGTTGTGGACCCATTTCAAAAACACACATATTCAACCGTGAGTTTGACTTCTTCCCTTTTCTGCCTTTTTCACAATTTTCCGCCATTAATTTACTTCACGTCTGTATTTTCAGTATAAAAATAGTCTTCAAATGGCTTATGAGGGGTTTCAGCGGCCATTTACCGCCTGAGCAGTTATTGTATCTCTGGGATTTGATTTTGGGTTACGACTCTTTGGAAATTATCCCTCTCTTTGCGGTAACAATATTGAGTTTCCGAAAGGATAATTTGTTGCAAGTTAACACACAACAAAATGTGGAGGTGCAGACATTATTTTATTAATATGTAATGTATATACGTGAAATATTAATTATAAATATGTATATAAATGTGATGGATATAAATAGTAATATATATAAGCAATAAATATTTTTACTTTCAGGCTGTATTGGCAGATTTATCCTCGCTAAAAGTGATACCTCTATTGCAATTAGCGCTTTTAAAGGAATAAAAGAAATTTCGTCACGCATGTAATATTATTGTTGTGAAGTTTGTAAATTTTTGTTGATATAGCAACGCTTATGAATTTTATTCCAAAAAATATTTTAATGTTAAGTACGTTAATACTAAGTACTAAGTTAATACTATTTTATTATATTATATATTTGCAGTATTATCTAGTAATTTATATATATATATATATATTTTTTTTTTTTTTTTTTTTAGAGAGATTTAATTCTTATACATTTTACAAAAAAGGAATTAATATTACAACTTTGTTTTTAATAACACCCCTTAATGTTACGAATGTATCAAGCGATAATAAATATGCCTAATAAACATGATAATGTATAATTTAATAGTAATGTAAATACAAAGAAAAAGTAATCGCTAATGTTCGATAAGAAACTTCAAACGATGTCATCGCACGGGTCGCATCGCAAGCATCGCGGTGGAGGGAGAAGAAGGAGGGGGAATGGAAGGGGACTTTCCTGTTTCCGGCTGTCAACCTTACAGCTTGGTAGAGCTGCGTAGAGCACGGGGACGCCTATTTCGCCGTCGTTGCGCTGTCGTCGTCATCGTTGTCATCGTTGTTGCTGTGTTTATCGTCGTTACACGTCCCCCCCGAGATCGCGTCTAAAAGCGCGTTAGTGGACAGTCCGGTGGGCGTGGATGCGTCTCGATTCGCGACCAGTGAGTATCCTCGATTCGCAGACTTGCCGCGATTTCGCGTCGCCGGGAGCGTCATTGCAGCAACGCTGAGCGGCTACCCCACATCGAACGAAAGGTAGGGTGGTTCTCACCCCCCAAATTATTAGTCATGCACGGCTTCGTTATGTGGACGAATGACCGCGTCAGCGTTGCTCGCTTTTCAGCGACGTCGCTGATACGATCGTGAAATTCTCAATCGTCAATTTCTCTCTGCCATTTATCTGGGCCGAACAACGCCCAACGGAATTATTCGCATCTGTTTGAGTGTGTCGCGTATTTGCGCGGAATTTCGGTTGAAGAATACAATCGCAAAAGTTCTCTCTTTCTCTCTCTGTGAAAGTTTAAAAAAATAAACGCTCGCTTTACTTTATCAAACTGTGCGTATGTGTAATTTTGTGCCCCAAAATTCTAATATTCTTTGTACACACTAAGCAAATGTTTCGTCTTAGGCTTTTTAATAGTTTTGTATCTTCAATGGTGTCGAGAAGACAGAGCAATAATGATATTCGATTAATTATATTTAAAACGTGCTTCAGAGTGCATTTCGTGCGAAATTTTGTTAACACGTCACTCTTGTAACTTGGCGTTTTTTTTTTCTTCTCAGATTACATGATTTAAGCAGAGCGCAGATATTTGAACCCACGTTAACGATATCAAGATGGCTTGGCGTTTTAAAGCATCTAAGTATAAAAATGCCGCGCCGATCGTCCCCAAGCCAGAATCCTGCATTCGGGATATTTCCGTGGGATCTTATCAAACTTACGGGAATAATATAACAGCGTCTGCGGCATTCATGGCATTTAATGTGGATCACAATGGTATACTTGAATTTGTCTACGACAGGCTCGTTGTGCTAACTTTAACTTGTTTGCTTGTTTAACTTCTCTTCGAGTAAAACCTTTTCTCCCTTCGAAGGATCCAGTTTAGCAGTATTACCATTAGAGGACTGCGGTAGGAAGAGTAAGACTATGCCGTTGCTTCATGCGCACGCAGACACCGTGACCGACATGGATTTCTCTCCGTTTCACGATGGCTTACTCGCAACTGGCTCTCAAGATTGCCTCGTAAGAAATCAAAAATCTCACTTTCACCAAACATACAGAATATGTAGTTACAACTATTGACAGGTAACTCATAAGATTAGCGTTTCTTTATAAATCACATTGATCTTGAAAATTAGGTAAAGCTGTGGCATATCCCGGAAAGTGGCTTGGAAGAGTCATTGTGCAATCCCGAGTGTACATTTTCACACCGCCAACGAAGAGTGGAAACGGTATGCTGGCATCCTTCCGCAGAACACCTTCTGACCACTTCGTCGTTCACTAACTTATCGCTCTGGGATGTTCTCTCTCAGCAGGAACTCTTTTGTAAATATAAATTCACTATATCTCAGCACTGTTATTTATCACTTTATCGTATCACGAACTCGATTTCATTAAACTTTGCGACGCAGCTAACAGTGATCACACAGAAGTGATTCAGTCCGTGAGTTGGAAGCAGGACGGCACCGTTCTAGCGACATCGTGTAAAGACAAACAAATGAGGATAATAGATCCTCGTGCGTCTTTGTGTATCGTCAACTCGTGCTCGAGCCATCAAAGTATCAAGGATTCCAGGGTAGTTTGGTTGAACAATAGCGACAGAGTGCTGACCACAGGATTCGATGCGGCGAGACTCCGTCAAGTTTACATCAGGGACTTGAGACACTTGAACGAGCCGGTGAAAACGTTGGAATTGGACTGCAGCACCGGGTAAATATAAGTTCTGTGAATTTAATTTGTCTCCATGGGCGGAGAGCATCGAGATTATTTACCTCGAATTGACATCACCTGAACTGCGTCGTTCATATACGTGCGTGTTATACATCCCTCAGCATTCTGATGCCACTCTTCGATCCCGATACAAATATGCTCTTCCTTGCTGGCAAAGGAGACACCACCATCATGTACATGGAGGTCATGGATAAAGATCCTTACTTGGTAGAGGGTATCCGTCACAGCGGTGAGCAAACCAAGGGAGTTTGCTTAGTTCCTAAACGAGCGTTAAATGTAATGCAGGCTGAAGTCAACAGACTACTGCAACTCACTTCCAACATGGTGATCCCGATCATGTATCAGGTTCCACGGAAAGTGAGTCACGTTAAATGCGGACTATATATAAATATTATATAGTGATACGATTACGACTGTAATTCTGCAATGAGCATCCAATTTTAGACGTACAGAGACTTTCACGCGGATATTTATCCGGATACAAGTGGTTGTATTGCACAGAACAACGCAACGTCATGGATTAAAGGTCATAATGCTTCCGTGCCAAAGATATCGCTAGACCCCGTTAAAAGGAACAAAGGCGAGGAACCGATTACTGTGAGTAAACGCACCTGATAACTGTTGTTGTTCGCACGTTGATTAATTTGGCATAAATTCATAATAGTTTGATTGAACAAAGTATATGTTTGATCAATCGAACAAAATACACGTTTGATCATATTTGTAAATATCAGATATATATAATTCGAATGACATCATTGCACGCTTTTCACCGTCATCGTTTTTTTTTCTCACATCATTATCATATTTTCTTCGTAACAAAAACCAAACTTCAAAATAAATAATAAAACAAAATAAAAAAGTCATGTGTATCAATTATTTTATACATTTAAATATTTATTTAATTTTATATATAATTATTTATTTTATATATATATATGTATATATATATATATATATATATATAGCGTTTAATATATTTTATTACGAATGAAAGGAGGGAGGGAGTAAGAGAGAGAAATTAAGAGAATAAGGAAGACTGTAAAGTAACAAAACATTAGGTGTCAGAAAACGTTTTCATATGATAGTGTCATATTTATTTCAGACAGAAAGTTTATCATAATTACAAACACCTTCAAATGTAAATTTGTATTTATACTTGCATAAGTTTGCCAATACGATTTTATGTGACAAATGTTTGCAATGTACTTTCTTCACTACATTGAATATGCCATATGCTTTAATGGCTGTTTGTTCTTCAATATTTTGCTCAGTCTTACGAATATAATGGTAGAATTTAAGTATTTGAAACATTTTGTATATTATAACTTCCATGTACGTACTTAGTCTCTTCTTGTAAGAATTTACATTGAATTTATATCGAGCCATTTAATCATTACCGATTGCGCGAGCGTGGGTGCATATATACGTATGCGTGTGTGTGTATTTGTGTGCATATATATATACATACTTTATTTTGCGCCATTTAATTTTTCCATGTTCTGTGTATATTTTTTTTCACATTTCAGATCTCCAATATATGTTTTGTAGTTTATACATTAGCACCATTCAAACTATTATTCCTGGCACGTGTAATATAAGTGGCAATTGATGTTGTAGCTTATTCTACAGCGTAAGTAATAGTAAGAAGTGTAAAAAACACATGTATACCGTTTACGTGAATATTTTTTCATCTATATAAATTCGCCTCCGACAGGCTTAGAGAGAGATTACGCTTAAGCTTTTAGTTACTCGGAGCTTACTTATATGCTTCTTTTTCCGTATATTTCTATTTTGTACGAAAAAAAAAAAAAAAAAAAAAAGAGCGAGCAATGTGCGGTGCGTAAAACGTGTACAAAAATTGTGTGAATGGTCGCTGCTAAATTTCTCGTGCGGCACACGCAAAAATATGTACATATACGTATTTCGAAAGTGCAGAATCGGACAGTGTAATTTAGCCTGCCTGCGCTTCGGATCTACTAAGGGATTTACCTCGCACCTCGCAGGTACACAGAGGGAGCTTAGCGGTGCTCAAAGATAATCAACGTGACATTAAAGTGGAACAGACGAACAGCAGCCGGCAGCCGAAGTCTCTGGTCATTACCACGCCGAAGGGATTCTCGAAGGCGCCGCCGCCGCCGCCGCCGGCCGTCGGTCACGCGAACGAAAACGCGGACAACAGCGTCGAGAACGACACCGAGAAGATCGAAGACGCGAAAAAGGCGTCCGAAGCGGAGGACGACAAGATTAAGTTGCAGAACGGAGGGCAGACCGTCCCGCCGAAACCGCTGCCCAGAGCGTCAAGAACCAACAGCATCTCCGAGGACGAGCCGAAGCCGGTGGCGCGTCCTCGTACGTCACCGAATCCCGGATCGGTCGTTACGTCGGTGAATCCTAACGCGATCGGCGGATACAAGGTTGTAGTTAGTAGCTTAGAAAAGAATCTCAATGCCACACGTTATACACGAGAGTGATCTGATCCTGCGTGCGTTTCGGTTCTCATGTAACATCACGCCATTATCGCCATACCATTGCTAACAGTCATCTATCACCGCGAGACACGGTTCTTAAAGACAATAGGGAAAAGGCGCGCGACTAACTGCTCCCGGGATGATTGAATTCTCTTCTTATCTCCGCAGCCCCGGCTCGGTCCCAAGCCGTTCCAAGCGAAGTCGAGCAGCCAGGAGTTCTCGTTCGACAAGATCTTCTCCGTGCCGATCGCACCGAACAACAGCGACGGCACCAACGGCTACCAGAACGAGACGATCGGCAGCGCAGCGGCGGAGAACAGCAACGCGGAAGCGGACAAATCGCCGACTTTCGGCAACAACGAGCGGGCGAAGGACGCGGAGAACGGCAAGAGCGATTCCAGTTCCATCGAGGAGGACGCGAACTCGAGCGATTCCGGGTACAAGCCGAAGACACCGAGCACCGCGGAGAGGCGCAAGGTGTTCGAGACGAAGGTAAAGGACGAGTCGCCCGAGAACGAGGACGCCGGCAATTTCGAGCGCGGCGCGAACAGGAACTCCATCGCCGAGAGGCGCCGCCTCTACGAGAGCCGCTCCGTCTCGGTCACCGACAGCAATCTCGCGGAGAAGGCGATGGGCTCGCCCACCATGCTGAGGCGCAGGGATTCCTTCAAGACGAAGAGCGAGGTAATCAAGGAGGACGAGACGAAGAAGACCATTCCTATACTGCGACAGCAAAGCATGGATCCCAGATTGGAGAAGGTGGAGCCTGTTGCGACACCGGCTTCCAAGAGGACCTCCACGGTTTTCGGTAAGATTCTTCAGGATGTGTCATTAGTGGACGCGTCGAGTGGATCGTTCAGAAATTCACACGGAAAAGAAGTCAGTCTCGAGTCAAGAATAGGTGTTCTCGCGTGTAAGCAAGAATATTGTAATCTTCTTAGAAGACTTTTTTTTTTTTTTTATTTGGTTGAATTTCATTGTTGTTGATGTTATTGTTGTTATTACATCTACGCCGTACTATAGACATTTTCTGATCCCGCAGGAAGAGTATCCAAGTTCCGGCACTTGAAGGGTACTCCGGGACACAAATCCACGCACATCGAGAACATACGCAACATCAGTCGTCAAATATCGGGCGAATGCGATGGTTTTCACGGTATTGTTTTTTTTTCTCTTTCTCTTCGAAAAGAAAGTTGCGCATCTCCACGTGAGACTTTGAAGCGCGAGAAGTGGCATTTATTTTCATGAATCCGCAGCTAACCCCGATCGAGTGGCTGTGCCGTTGAGCGGCCCGGGTGGGAAGATAGCGGTGCTCGAGTTGAAGAAAACCGGAAGACTGCCGGACGGAGTTATGCCGGCGTTAGTGCACGGCACTACCATAATGGACTTTCAGTGGGATCCGTTTGACAATCAGCGACTGGCAGTTGGTAAAGTGGATGTTTGAAGATAACGATAGAATAAAGATACCCTTCCTCCGAGATTTCCTTCAAATTTTCCACCAAGAGACCGAGAAAAGAAGCATTGATTTATTTTCACCAGCGTGCGACGACGGGATGATCCGGTTGTGGGAAATACCGGAGTCCGGCCTGGCGGAACCGACGAACGAGCCGAAGCACGTCATAGAAGCTCATACCGACAAGATATACTTGATCAAATTTCACCCGCTGGCGTCCAACGTCCTCGCGTCCGCCTCGTACGACATGGCCGTCAAGATCTGGGATTTGTTGCTCCTTTCGTCCGCCGATACGATAATAGCCAAATTTACGCTGACCGGTCATACGGATCAGATATTCAGTTTGGCGTGGTCACCGTGCGGCCAGTATCTTGCCAGCACGTGCAAAGACGGCAAGCTGCGAATCTACAAGCCTCGATCCAGCGACGTGCCGGTGAAAGAGGGGAAAGGTCCCGTAGGCACGAGAGGTGCGAGGGTCATATGGGCGCTCGAAGGCAAATACCTCGTTGTGATAGGCTTCGACAAGTAAGCGCGACAGAACGGCTGCACTACGTCCGTTTAATTAGTAAGTTAATTAGGAAGAAATCATCGCGAATCACTTCTGTAACGGTATTTCAGAGTATCCGAAAGGCAGATCTACGTGTTCAAGATGGATGACTTGAACAACCCTTTGAACACCGTCGGATTGGACGTTTCACCCGCTATATTGATGCCGTATTACGACGAGGATAGCTCGACGCTTTTCCTAACCGGACGCGTAAGACCTCGTTTCTCAGTCGTACGTCTCAGCTGCGGCTCGCAACTTGTTCAATTAAATCGATCGGTTCCAGGGCGATTCTACGATATATGCGTTCGAAGTGACCGAGGAACCACCGTATTGCTGCCCGCTGAGCCATCACAGATGCAGCAGTCTGCACCAGGGCTTGTCATTTCTGCCGAAAAATAGATGTGACGTTGCCAGTGTGGAATTCGCCTCTGCTTTGAGGCTAACTAATAATACGATAGAACCTTTGAGCTTCACTGTGCCGCGTATAAAGGTGCGCACTACGCACGACTAATAATTACGCTATAATTGGCGAATACGGCACGAGGTCTCGGATGCGAAAACACTGACATATTTGCCTCTTTCAATTAGAGCGAGTTATTCCAAGACGATCTCTTCCCTCCGACTAAAGTCACATGGAAGCCGACCTTATCTTCTGCTGAATGGTTCAACGGTAGCAATAAACAACCATCTAGAATAAGTCTCAAACCGCCTGGCATGGACAATTGTAAGTAAACGATATCGTGGTATTTAATTAAAATAGTAAATATTTCATTTCGAATCTCATTTAATTAGATATTATGATTTTGCTTAACATATGCGATTTTGTACTCGTAGTGACCGAGAATCAATCACAGAATGTGGTTACTACTCCTCAAATTGCGACAAAACCGTCGTCGACCCCGTTTGGTATTTCCGCGCAACCTTTCAATAGACTAGGGTGGAATCCGGACGTTAAAGCGAAACAGGAAGAGGTGGGATGTCGTTTGAGCTTATACTTGAGTTTACACATTCATATCAACGCTGGATATTGGCATAAGGATTATTTATTGCGAATTATATGTGCATGTCGGTAAAGTAAATTTTGCTCGGTAAAATCACAATTGGAAAGAACGCATGCAAAGCTTTGACTTTATGATGTGTGGCTTCGTGATATCTTACAGCATTGTAAGATCGTAATGTATGACAAGTTTGAGCTGTAAATTATTTCTTGATTGATTATTATTTAATGACACAATATATATAATACCTATATATATATATAAATGTTACGATTCACGGGACAGCTTTGAAATCATCCTGAATTGTTGACGTATGCAAAAATTCGCATATTGTAAAAAGCGTAAGATATTTTTGCTTGATATCGTGATACTATGTTTGAGCATATCGTATGATGTGTGTGTATTAGATTCAGAAAACCATGAGCAACTTTGTGGGAGATGTCATCCAATGTTCGCTAGAGCAAGATCACATGGAAGGTGTCGAGGAACACGAATGGGTAAGTGTTTCATTTGCTATATTACAGCCTTTCAGTTTCCATTTAATAATTATATTTATTTATTATTATTTATTATTAGTAATTTTAGTAATTCTCTATAGCAGCTTATACATTCTCTATATCAACGTATGTATATGTGTGTGTATACACATGTATATCAATGTATGTACATGTGTGTGTATACACAATAAATAAATTGCATTATTTCCGCATGAAATTTTTTATATTCTTCAAAATGAAGTTATATCGGTTTGTCCGGAAAATCCGTGCGGATTTTCAAGTAAGATTCTGATGAAAGATTCTTTTAGTTGAAAATAACTTTAATCGTCGAAACGTCGCTTGTCAAGATATACACGCGTTTGACTGACCTAACATTCTAAAATTTGAGCCGCCATTTATTGAAAGATCTGCACGGATTCTCCGGGCAACCCAATATTTGTGCTTCAATACGAACGAAATAAGAATAACGACTTTTGAAAAATCGAAAAAAAATCTACTCGTTCGAAAGGTAAATCGCTTGAAACAACAATTGACTATGATATGTTGTTATTTCAGGACGAATAAAAGTGCAAGACCTGTGGATAGAATATTTATGTGCGAGCTAGTAAGGCAAAAAGTCTATAAGTATGGTTGTTTGAACCGTAAATTATTTATAAGTTAGAATTATATATCGAATGGCAAAAAGAAAAGAAAGAAAGAAACATCGCAGTGTTACTGTGTACAGAACGAGGAGTAATTGTAGCTGAGAAATATACTTCCAAGGATTTTTTTTTTGGAAGAGGAGAAGAAGGCTAACGATAAGCACAGTGTTTTATATCAATTTACAAAAAGTGTAATACTCATTTTTTTATAAATCTAGCTCAAGGTTTTTGTAAGCCACTTGTCCATGCATAGATATAAGAATTCAGGCCTTGTTGAGTCGCATTGATTTAAAGTGAACATAGAAACGAAATGGTCAAGAGAATTTTTTACCATGGTGATGTAACGAATGCAATATTTGATAGAACACTGTTCTTACGAAGCATATGCGTGATTATAGCTCTAGTCTTGAGTCGTTTCTTTCTTATTCTGCTTTTTCATATGTTTCTAGCTACACGAATAATTTTCTAATAATTATATACATATATATAACACATTTGTAGAAATTAAATTAGAGGATAATTATATTCTAGGATATTGCTTGAATTATTGTCAAAAGAATAGAGAAGCTTATATACAATTTGACAATAGTTTCATATCTGTCATACTTAATGAGAATATCAGTTTGGAATTTCAGTGGTTTTACACATCTATCATATTTAACGGATATCAGTTTGGATAAGTAACTCTTCTATATATATTCATTACGCTTTCCAAGTACCGAGTGTGAACGATATCAAATGTTTCCGAGACAATTATTGACGAGTCTTTCGTTTAATTATTTCGCCGAATTCGCTACTTTGCCTCGGAACGAACAACACTTTCCATGTTCGCGAGCGAGGAAACACAATTCAGAAGATGTGCCATTTATAAAGCGACAGAAGTGACATCCAATTCTGTTGTTGTAACAAAAGTTTGTTAGCCAGTGTTCAGCTCAGTATTATATCAGTGATGTTAGGTCTTTAACGTAATTATTCCTCGATAAAGGTCGACCATTCCATACTGTGTTTTGAAGTGTACCCATTGCACCAGTGCCAGATTTATTCCCCTTTCGGTAATGCCAGGTGTCAATAATGGTCTCAATGTATATGTCGTAAATATAATCTATTATCGTATGTGTGATACTAGAGCGAGAAGTGATGATGGTCTTGTCCGCAGAATTGCGGAGCCGAAGTTTTTTACGACATTTCGTATCCTCATACGCACATATGAAAGATTATACAGGATAAATGCTACGCGTATAATAAGTATTAAGTCCGTAAGAGTCGATAGTTTAATTGTATGGCAAGATATATTACGTCTGATCGATGTACGCTGAATACTCTGCAAGATTCAAACCGACATTAACACGGAGGAAATGACTGATCTTTTGTACTTTTTTCATCAGAATATCGAACACCGTAATTAATATCTCTGGTCTTTCCTTTTTTTCTTTTTTTGGATGAATAAATGAATATTTTATCTCTTTCATATATGCTATGTATATGCATTAGTCATATAAAAGAACAATTATGATAGTACTGTAACCTTCGAAACGATCAATCACATCATTCCCTTTTTTTGTGAAAGACTTGATATCGATGATTGACTTTGTTATCATAATTCATATCGGCACATCGCTATATTTGAAGACCAATATAGAGTGCCAAAAGAAAGATCCAATGCAAATATAATGGGAAAAATGTCTCAAGTTTTTTTTTCTTATAATCTTTTTTGTAATCTCTTTCTTCTATATACAAATGTGTTATTTTGTAATGTGCATATTTTCAGCTCGTATTATAATATCTCCTCACACTGAAAAGTATTGGAAAATCTTTTATACGTGTCGCAACAATAGGGAATAAGGTAAAATTTGATTAAAACTTGTCTCCGCCATTCATGTCGCCAATACTATTGGTTTTTGCTTTACAGAATAAAGCAGATATATAATATATATATCTGCTATGTATTTTAAAATAATTATTTTCATCGAATTATTTTAAATCTAGCGCGTTATACATGCACACAATTACAGATTTTACTGTGGATTATGAGTAAATAATTATGCAATCTCTTGCGGCAAAAAGATTTGAGATTGAGGTTTATATTAAAACGTATGAGACTGTTACATTTCTCGCGACTCAATCCCGAATCTTTCCTCGAAAAGTATAAATGATTGTTGTTTGAATAATTTTATCATGTAACAATGTACCTTTGTATCAATCGTAACTTTCATGTATTTCAGCTATAAAACCTTTTTATTAAACACTTTAATTGTCTATTTTGATATCCACTCCATATAGCAGCCTCAATAAAATGTTAGACGTACAAAAGAGAGAAAGAAAGAGAGGAGTTTTGATAGATTTTCAATAGATATCTTGGTCAATATCTTATTGTAACTATCATTTTATTTATGAAATATGCCACTTTTTATGATCGAAATATTCGAATTTTACCAGAAAGATGGGAAAGACAAAATATATAAAATAATAACGACTCTATTTTATTGATTAAATAAATCATTTTCAATAAAATAACATTTGTTTTTCATAGCAAAATTCATTATAACACTCATCCTATATAATTGAACTAATAAATTGTAAATTTCATTAAGGATATTCAGACATCAACCGATTGGAGAAACATACGGAATGTTTGCGAAAGAATCATGAAAATAGATTCCATTACAAAATTTTAAAATTTTTAATAATTGATCTATGCACACACACACTTTGATAATATTCCAACAGAAATAATTTTTATCGAAATATTTTTGCGTTGCGCAAGAATATAATGAAATTAAATATAAAATACGAATTATCTGGCATTTCCAACGCGATCTCTGGGAATTAACCTGAGTTCTGCGCCGTGCTTGAGAAATACATTTCCTGAAATCAAAGTGCACGATCGATCATTATACAATCATGGTGCAAAAATTGCAGTGAATTGGATGATATTATAATACTTCTACCTGCAGTTTGTTGCGGATTTATTCCTATGCCATCATCTGTAATTATAGCTGATGTAGATGGTGGCACTCTAAATTCCTCAGCAGCAAACTTCAGTACAGCAGTAAATGGAGTATTTTCTGGTACGCTAAGTCTGTAATTGATAAAAGAATACATGCAGTTTTTTTGCTTTTCATATTTATGTAAATACACATATTTGTGCATATATATTGAGATATTTCTCATGTTTAAAATATACTTTGAAATAGGACTGGTATTTATTCTGTTAACAAAACGAACTTATTTGTAGTGCAAACAATTTATTTTCCCTCTTTTACAAAATTATATAACAGTATAAAATACAATATATATGTCGTAGTTCATACAAAATCTGAAAAGTTATAATAAAACAAGTTTTTCAATATCATTCCATATCGTACTATCTGGTTGAGTTTTAGCAATAGACAGTCTATTGTACACTAATTCACAAATTTTGGGAGGACCATTTAACAAAGTTTTGATTATTTTGCACAGATGTTCATATTTAAAATCATAATCCGACAACCAATCCCCATCTATCTGTTGCATATTTCGGCCGAAGTAAAATATCGCATCGATGAAATTTATGCAGAAATTGTGATCGTTTTTGAGCAATTTTAAAAGCAATTTACCTTTAATATCCGCAAACGCTATGCATATCGCAGGATGATTTTCAACTAACTTGGAGGTGAGAATTTCCTTAATTAATTTCCCGATCGCATTGTCATTGTGTAATAAAGTTATTGAACAAATCAATTTTGAAACTTGATCGTCATTTATCATTTCGTGTATGCGATTTATCACCCCAGTTTTATCCCCATTAGTTATTGCCATTTCCCATGACATGATTAAAGCTTCATTTTCCATATAGGACAACGGCACTCCTAATTCTTCCAGAGACTCTATAATCGTGTTTATAGAAATAGAATTGCTCATTAACTGATTCAAGAAGACCTTTAGCCTGTTGTATCCCAAATGTTGTGTGTATAGTTTCAAGTACTCGTCAACTATTTCAGTGGAAAGGTGACTGTCCTTCAAGTAACATTCTAATAACTTGTCGCATGCTTTCGCCAAGTCGGTACACGTGTGTGAAAGTGATCTCCCTTCCGATCTTCGGTAGTCTTGCAAATACTTCTCCAAATCGCATTCTTTCCCTTCGGCTTGAACTTTTGCAATCGCTATCTCGACGAAGCGAGCACAATTAAAAGCGTGCGTCACATTTTCTACAGTTATCTCTTTATTCACGCTCGGACCTTGGAGTAACGTGTGAAACGCATCGAAAGTTTCGAAGAATTCGGAGGCATTAGCTTGCATTATTAACAAGCAACCGAGATACAAATTATCTTAAACGATCACACTTACACTTTATATGGCAGATTGGGATCAGAAGTGAGAGTTATTCTGAAGGTAACTTTCGATCTGCAACATATTACATCTTAAGTCAGTATACGTATTTAATATGAGACATAAAACGTTAGAATGACAGAAAACGTATAGATGGATCAAACATATGTATACTTTCGCAATGACACATTTAGAGTAACAATTAGAACGCTATCGTGAAAAAATACATACGCCATAGTAGTTTAACGAATATTATACAAAATATGACAAATATGCTGCTCCCCAAATTGCATCCGATTTGGTTGTAACTGTTATAACTGACGGTGATTTTCAACAGAAAGAAGCTCGAGAATGGCCACGCCGTAGTGTTGTAGGATTTTGCTTACGAGTTCAGCGAAGAAAGTAGCTCAGTGTGAGCACTTTATAATTACTGCTCCTGATTGGTGCATTCTCCTGGACTTATCAGAGATGTAAAAGAACGCTCCAATCACAGACGACAATCACCAAACACTCACTCCGAGCTTTCTCTACTGAACGCATGTAGGCTGGTATTCATAAGTTTATCTTCAGATGCTGAACGACTCATTTCATTGGCTGCGAAGCATTTGTAGGTGAATTCAGGACGGTCTTAAATATAAAATCTGACTATGAATACCGGCCTTAGTGCGTGATTGTCGTATACTCGTCAGTGGTGAACAAGAACAGACCACGATTGTCCGTCTTCATCTATTTCTCTCATTTTAACTCATCCATTTCACTCCTGACGTAGCACGGAACAGAACCAATAATTCGTGGTTCCCCACTGAGAAAATCCGTGGACCGTTGGCTGCGTAATATGTATGCATGTTTCATGAACGTAGAAGAGTTCCAAAGGTAACAGGTAAATCGTGATACTGGCCGCTCTCGAGCTTTTGTCCGCACGAGTGACAGGTATCGGCGGATCTGCACGAATTTACTTCAGGTCGTGAACGCATATATGCGGAAAATTATCTTTCAGAGGGAGAGATAAGACCTTATCTGGACATGGCGGCAACGTCCGAGAGCGACGGTGATTTCGAGAGTGCTGACGAAGAGTTGGGACGTGGTGCGTCCATCAGAAGAGACACGCGAATGACCTACTGGACGTCACCGACAACGGTGGACTCCGAGTCGGACGACGACACCGAGTACGTTCAACGTATGCCTTGCAGGAGTTCGAGTTCGCAGAAAAAAAACGAAGTCTGGATAACGAATTTGCCAGATGTGCCGATGAGTTCTATGACAGTTAGCGATAAGGATAGTAAGGCTGATAGCGGTGTCAAAGTTGAAAGTAACGTACACGAGGGAAGGTCAGCTGATTGTGCGGAAAAGACTACCGATGATAAGCAAGAAGACGCGTCTGTCTCGGTCGAAGCTAGCGGATCATCTGTATCAACCTCTGCGATGGAAAAAAAAGACTTGAATCCTGTACTAGGGAGTAGCAAGATTGCGAAGTCGAAAGATACTGTATCTAAAGCAGAAGCCGCAAGATCTGAGGAAGTCTCTCGAACGCCGCGACAGAATCCAACCCGTCAATCGAATGTGAAGAAATTAGGAACTAAAATTGCTAAACAACATAATGAATTTCTTGTTACAGATGATGTAACTGCAAAACGAGATGAGCATTCAATCGAGAATTTAAATAAGGAATCTTTACAGTCTGAAATCAAGGATGCGGAATGTAGATTGCAAGAGAAATCTGAAAACCGACCGACGGACAATCGACCTGAATCACAAAGTACAGATAATGTAGAGAATTTGCAGGAAGTAGACATGCCCGAGGAACTAAAGTCGAATAAGAAATTTAAAGAAGTTTTCCAGCCCGAGGGTTGGGAAGGCCTTGGAAGTGACATTGAATTACCCGATGAGTTGACGGAAGAGAAATTACAACCCATATTGGAGAGACTCAGCTTAGTGAACAAAGAGCCGGAAAGTTCTTTGGAAAGCTGGAGCAACTGGGGAAACTGGGGTGTAACCTCATTGATCAATACCGCCACCGCGGGTGTATCAACTTTAACCAGCCACGTGTCCCAAGGACTAACACTTTTCGATAATACATCGGAAGCGGCAGAGCCTACGGAAATGACAAGTGCGAAACAAGATGCTACACCTGGTGGTATGATAATTCGGATATTTTCAAATATACATAAGAAATGTTTCGTTTAATCTTTCTTGCGTTAATAATATCGTGGACATTTTTCATTATTCATAATCTCCAGCAGTTTTGAAATTGAATATATGGGGTTTAACATTATCTGTAGAATCCAATACAATCTTGTATTGAAATGCAAGGTGGTGCATATTTTGGCATATTTGGGCGTGTGTTCATCTTTTTTTTTTTTTTTTTTCCTTAAGTGTTGAATCCAGCTTTGAAGTGGATTCAATATATGTTATGTTATACTCTGTATATTGTCAACAGATTCGGAGATGTCGGAAAGTCAGGAACAAGAAAGCTCGTTATACAGTTCATTCGGATTTGGGAATATCATGTCGGGAATGTCGTCGATTACAAAATTGGTTGAGTTGACCAGTAGTAAAGTTATGACGGGTGGTTTGGATACGTTAGAAGCTATCGGCAAGAAGACAATGGAGGTGCTGCAGGATGGTGATCCAGGATTGAAGAAGAAAAGAGCCTTCTTCATGAACGAGACGGACAAGCCGATTTTATCGCAGATTCTCCGAGAGGCGAAGGAAAAGGCTGAGATTCAGGAAAGAACGATCGAGGAACGCACGTTATCCAGGAAGGTGCACTTCGAGACCCTTTTCGACGACTATCAGGGACTTGTTCATCTGGAAGCTTTGGAAATATTGTCGAAACAAAGCAATATGAAGATTCAGCAACACTTGATCGAACTTGACGCGAACGAGTTACTTTCCGTGCAGGAGACGTTGGAGGAAATCAAAGAATTGTGCGATCTGGGCGACGAGTGCGAAGAGGAGAGGAGCGAGAAAGAATTCAAGAACAGATTAGAGACATCCTGTCACGATCTCGGCGTTGACATCACTTACGAGAAGCTACACGGTGTAAGGGAATATTATTTCCGATATTAGCAGGCGAATATTTCTCCTATATTATCACCGGAGAGATAACGATCGGTATTTCCACAGGTTTGGACGGAAACGGAGAATTATCTCGCGTCATCTTCGACATACACGAGTCAGGAGATTTTTCAGACCGCCGTGTCGACGTTAGCGCAGTTCACGGCATTTTCCGTAGAGAGGTTTCACAAGACGGCGGAACTGCTGTTGATCAAAGAACGGCGTAGTACGGTGAACGAGGCCGACGCCTTGGTGGGGCTCGCTAATATTTTGTGCGAGCAGATCAGTTCGTTGGCGAATTCATTCTGCGACACGTTGAACCGATTCACCTCTGAAGCCATCCCGGAGAGGTCGGATGACGTCAACGCAAATATAACGACGATTTTCTTAGAAGTAAGTACATATATTAATGTTGAACGATATGGATAATACGCGACTGTCTGAAAACTTTTTCTTTCCTTCTTACAGGCTGCTAATGCAAATTCGTATATTCAGGACGCCTATAGACTCCTTATTCCCATCCTGCAAATCGGTGCTATTTGATAAGGTATTATAAAATGTAAACATACTTTTTTATCGCTTATATTTAACGATATATTCTCTAGATTAAATATAATTGCCGATCGTACGGACATAGAAATTGTATATTGTTACTGTATTATCCCGTTTTGCAAGTGTTTCTGCTTTCTGTTCACTCAAGATTGCATTTATATCCGAAAAAGGGACCAACTTTAGCTTGATATATTTATCTATTTTAGTTTATATATATACGATATTCACGATATTCTATTTAATTACAAACTCGAGAGAGAGAGAGGGGAAGGGGAGGGTGGGAGATAGAGAGAGAGAGAGAGAGAGGAAATGTATAAAAATATATAACGTTTGACAGACTGATCGAATTTCAGTAAAAAATTATTTTAATATACACTTAAAAGTACTAATAATACTATTACTTTGAAATAATTAAACTTTAGATATTTAATATAGAACATAAAAGGTATAAGGATTTTAATTACAGAACATTTGTAACGTAAAATACAAATTTCAATAAAGCTCACCATATATAAATGTATGTATATATATACATGTATGTATATATATACATGTATGTATATATGTACATATCAACAATGCGCACATAAAAATGATAAGAATGTTATACATGATTTCGTGTGTGATCAAAGTACAGGACATATAAAAATACCTCTCGAGTCTTGTTATATCGTTAGTACTAACAATCCGGCAAAGGAGACTTTACAATATATATACTGGATATGAATAATAAGATGAGATTTGTGAGGATAATAAAGTAATGTGAAGATCTCGAGACAAGGGTTTAATGTTTTCCTCGTTTATTACCAACGGGGGGTTTCTGTAGCTGGAAGTTTGAGCTGGATTCATTTGTCGGTGCGATCAAATTAATTGTCGAATTAAAGTTTAAACTCGCTGTCGGTGGTTTCATGGACGAGCCAATGGCACTATTAGTAGCAGACGGTATCGGTGTCGTATTTTCCCAAACTGTAACAATATATTGAAGTATCATTACTTTTAATTCGTTTGTTGAATGTAAAAAAATTAAACGTAATAAAGCCATGAGCCATGAGGTATTCTTTTTCGCTATCAAAAGTGCTATTTCGTTCCGTTTGTTCTGCTTCTAATATTAATAATACTTCGGAACACGAATTAATTTAATCATTAATAATACTTTCTGTCGGTGTTAGTTAACTGAGATAGTCGATATTTTGGAATTAATGACGTTTTTTTAATCTATTAGAGCACATTTAATATTCTTATGTATCTTATTATAAATACATTATATAGACGTTTTCTGCATACTTGTAGGGTGCGTTTGAATTCACAACGAGCTCGATGATATTCCATTTCCATTAGTATTCATATTCCATTAGTATTCATATTTACAAGCGTTATTGCATAACATTGGCAAAGCCGAAAGCAATGGGAACACACACATACACAGATATATGTATATATATATATATATATATATATATATCATTTTTTTTGTTTTCAAGTTTTGTTAACTATTTAAGTCTTTACCAATAGCTTTGAAACACTTTAAAAATGCTTTATAAATAACGCAGCACTAAATTGCAAAAATTGCAAAATTATAAAGGACTTCACTGTTCAATTTTGCGGATTTTTTGTATTCTATATAAATACACACATACAGGTTGTTTCAAAGGTAAGCTATAGGAAAGACTTGATTAACAGAACTTACAAAAACAAAAGTCTTAATAAAACATACGTTTACAAACTAATCGTTTTCGAGATATTCAATTTCGTCATTATAATAAGCAAGTAATTTTCTTTCTTGCAATTACACATAATTGATATCTCGAAAGTTCGAAGTGCCAGCAACTTTCGAGACACGATAAGTTTCGAAAGCAGATGTTAAGAAAGAAAAGAGAGCACAAAAAATGCAAAGAAATACTAATAAAAAACGTAGAAAAATATAAACAGAAACGGATCATAGGCCATCTATCGATTATCGTTGATACTTTGAATTTTCGAGATATTGATCACTCAACAATATGTATAATTATATACGGATGTGCGCACGCGTATATGTGTATGTGTGTGTATAGAAGGCGCTATCATCCATCGAAAAAGCATGACCTCGTGATTGAGTCTTCAATAGCACATCCCGAAAAACAGGAAGTATACAGAAGATTAATATAATATCGAGATATGATCATTTATATGAGAAATTAACTTGAACTCGTAGGCTTGGATAAAGAAGCATATTATATTCCCCCTTTTTCCCGTAACACCCACAACTGACAACACAAAGAGAAATTTGAAATAAAAATTTAATACCTTAATAACTAAAAATACAGCCCCTACTTTTTTCCTGGAAAGGCAAAGTCAACGTTCAAAAATCATACGATATGGTTAAGAAAAAAAGAAAAAAAAAACGAAATAACCATGAACACACGTTAATTCTACAGTATTTAATAGTAAACGACGTTATATGTTAATAAGTTCTACCTCATAACTAGATCCACGCAAGACCTGAAGGTAGGAGATCTTTAGGGGGGACGATTAAAGTCATTTTTTAAAGGAGTCTTTCACTCTTAACGTAAGAATATGTGTGCATAAAAATATATAGATATAAATAAATATATACAGATATACTTATATATATTTATATATGTATATATTTATGTCATACAATTGCAAGACGGCCGATAACAAGGCCTCTATTTACCTAAAGAATTTCGTGTTTCATAACTTGCCGGTCGGTTTGAGTTCAATGCCGTCGACGATAAAAAGCTTTTATTTCCTGCAAGCATTAACTTTCTTTGAAAACCCACAATGTCCGGATAATGTGACTACGAGAAAGTAGGAAGAATGATTACCTGGCCCGAAGGGTGTGGGACCGCTCGTGATCTTCTCGACGCTGTTCCGACTAGATTTACTGTTTACCTTGATACCATCGAAAACATTGGTGTTATCCTTCAACACGTATTTTCGGAAATTAAGGTACTGTTCCCTTTGCTGTTGCACCTTGGCGTGCACGCTTTGCAACTTGCCAGCAACCGCCACCAGAGACTCGTGAAGTTTACTCATGGCCATTGTCAGTTCTAATAAACCAAAACGGTCACAATCAGCATCACGACGAACAATCTCGAATTAATACTCGACGGAAAGAATAACATACCCTGCGGCGTTAACGTTCTCGGCGCCATCATGGCTTGTATGTGTTTCTCCGTCGTCTCGATCTGCGATCTGAACAACATCAGGTCGTGCTCGAAGCTCTCGGCTAATTCGACGAAGAACTGGAGGGGCGCGTTGTTTTCGTACTGCAGACCCGGCGGAGTATCGTGAGTCCTTTGAGCCACTTCCGCGTTCTGCAATGCCCTCGCCGTGTCCTGCTTCAGCTTATCGGCGAAAGAACGGTCCCGTTGAACAGAGCCGGACAGGGTGGACAGGATTTCCATTAGAGACGCGGTGTCTTCGGCGCATCGATTTAACGGCCTCGCCGAGCCTCTCGCAATGTCCGAAGACAGGACTTTCTGTGTTTTAACAAAGTCCCTGAGGTAAAACGCAGATATTATTAGTACCGTGCAGACACTCCATGTGTGTCGTTCGAGAGACAATTACTTGAACTTATCAATGGTCTGCATAAACTCATTCGGCAGTAAATTCTCCTTGGCAGCTGTCGAACTGCTATTCCCTTGAGACAAGCCTCTGTTGTTGATGGAAATGTCTAGGCCACCGAGCCCTCGATTTGTGCCGGTTGTAGTAGTAGCGGTAGCACTAATTGTCGGTTTAGTACCTAACAAAATATTTCCAGTTTCAGATACAAATAAAGCTGATTTATATATATATAAATCAGTCATAGTATAAACAATTTTTTCTTACAATAAAGGTAATCATTTTGCGAATTAGAGGATAGAAGACGATGTACATACTATTGGTGGTAGATGCACCGAAAGTCAAGCTTCCCGTTGCAGGTGTATTGGATGTAACTCCAAATGTCGGAGCACTTGTTGTGGACGATGTCCCGAAGGTAAGGCCTGTGAATAAAGGTGCGGACGTGCTAGGAGTAGGAAATAAACTAGGTGCGGTAGTCATTGTGATAGCTGTATTGGATCCTAGGAGCAAACTACCAGATTGCGCTTGTGTAGAGGTTGTCGGAGTATTGCCGAATCCAAAATTGAGACTTATGGACGTCGTCGGGACGGAGAGAGCGCCGAACGTTAACGAGCCGAAGGACGTCGTCGGGGTAGTGCTGAATGACGTCGTGGTCGGGGTACCAAATGATGTGTTGCTCAAATTAAAGCCTGTTGCTAACCTTAAAAAGATGATTAAATAGATATACCTTATTGGAAAAAAAAAAAATATATATATATATATTATTATTTATTATTGTAGCTACAATAGTTTGATTGGCGTTTGAAGGTTAACGCAATTATACGTACTTCTGCGCTCCAAATCCGAAACCCGTGTTACCAGATGTAATCGCTGGCGTGCCAAACGTAAATGCCATTTTTTTTTCTCCCGCCGCAGATAAATGTGTTGTACACACACAGTGAATAATTTCGAAGGTACAAACGCGTCACAACACGAACAATTCTAACTTCCCCTCTCTCACGTTCCTGCAACTTCACACTTGTAAACTCAACCAGTGTCGGTTGGTTTAGCGCAATAATAAAATACTTTTATCACATCACATCCGATGATTGTTCTTGTTTTAAGCACTTCAAGCTTTAAAGTGCTTCTTGAACGATCTCGATAGCATTATTATTGCGAGCCTGTTAAATTTCGTCTACGTTTTATTACAATGGAAAGTTTAATCAGCCCTTGAGTCATACTACTTGAGAAATAGAAAGTACCTCCGGCTCCATCATCTAGTCATATCACGACTTCAGTTTCTAGTTAAGTATAGTGGCGACTCGTAGCGAAATTCTGGAACTAAATTACAGAAATAACGGGTCTAATAATTCCGTAAACCTGTTATTTCTTTCAAAATACTGAAGAATCCAAACATTTTTCTGCATTCTGCATATAGTTGATATATTACTTTTATTATATAATATATATGTCATATATACTTTACAATTTGATTAAGGTCTGAAGGTATAAGCCAATCAGATTCAAGAGCTCGTTGAACGGTAATAATACCGAATGCACGCATTGCCTAGCAACCACTTGTCATTACATTGACGTGCAATTCTAAGTATCGCCGCGAAAATATACGCATTGACAGTTGGAGATGACTTAAAAGAAGTTGTCACGATGACGGACGAGGTACGACTGGAAGTGATAAAGAAGACGCAGGATGTACTCGGAAAATATTTTAAGAAACCACCGTTAACCGAGAAATTACTCCGCAAACCGCCGTTTCGCTTTCTTCACGACATTATATCGACTGTAATGTATCGATGATATATATTTAACATATGTGTTTAATTTGTTACATAAATAAATTAATGAATAAATAATATAATTAATTAAATTACACATATGTAAATAATTAAATATATAATTGTTTGGTTTTTTTTTGTTAATTAATTTTAGACACCTTTCACATGGATTCATATGGAAAAACTGATTTTAGATTATAGGACAGACTGGTTTCTTGGAGGGTCTATTTACCGAGGAAGAATTGAATTCTGATAATATAAAAGACAAGGAAGCAAAGCTTGCTTTCTTGACAAAACTCATTGATGTTGTGAGTAAGTACTTTTTAAGATATTTTTCTGTTAATTATTAGGTGTACAACTTTGCTCTCGCCGTTTTTTTTTTTAATTTGAGGCTTTATTGTAAAAAAATGGAGATAAAGTTATGACTCAAAGTATTGTCCATCACTGGCCACTACTTTCTCCCATCTTTTGGGCAATGCACAAATCCCGCGTCGAAAAAACTGGTCATCTTTTGAGGTAATCCACGAATCTATCCATTTTCCGACTTCTTCGTAAGACTGGAAGTGTTGGTCAGCCAGGTCGTGTGCCATTGATCGGAACAAGTGATAATCCGAAGGTGCAACGTCTGGAGAGTACGGCGGGTGGGGTAGGACTTCCCATTTCAACGTTTCCAAGTATGTCTTGACCACTTTTGCAACATGGGGTCGAGCATCGTCATGCTGCAAAATCACTTTCTCGTGTCTCTCGGCGTAGTGCGGCCGCTTGTCTTTCAATGCTCGGCTCAAACGCATCAATTGAGTTCGATACCGATCGCCTGTGATTGTTTCAGTTGGTTTTAATAGCTCGTAATACACTACGCCGAGCTGATCCCACCAAATACAGAGCATTACCTTGGAGCCATGAATGTTCGGTTTGGCCGTCGATGTGGAAGCATGGCCGGGAACTCCCCATGATTTTCTGCGCTTGGGGTTATTGTAATGAACCCATTTTTCATCTCCAGTCACAATGCGATGCAGAAATCCTTTTCGTCTTTGCCTCTCAAGCAGCTGTTCACAAGCAAACAAACGCCGTTCAACATCTCTTGGCTTCAACTCGTACGGCACCCAATACCCTTGCTTTTGAATCATTCCCATGACTTTGAGGCGCTTCGAAATGGCTTGTTGAGTCACTTCCAATGATTGTGCCAGTTCTTTCTGAGTTTGACACGAGTCTTCATCAAGTAATGCCTCCAATTCAGCATCTTCAAAAATCTTTACTCTTCCACCGCTATGCCGGTTTTCGACGTGAAAATCACCGTTCGTGAAGCGTTGAAACCATTCACGACACGTTCTATCACTAATAGCGATCTCACCATAGGTATTTGAGAGCATTTGATAAGCCTCAGCCGCAGATTTCTTCATATTGAAGTAGAAAAGTAAAACCTCCCGCAAATGACGAGAATTCGGCTCGTAAACTGACATCTTCAATTGACGATAACTTTATGATACAGTTACAAATCGACTAATGTAACTATTAGGTTATGTTGACAGATGCCCAAGTTGATTGTACGACGTATATGATCTATTTACTTTGACCACTAAGTTCCACTAAAGCCATCTATAGAGAAACGGCGGGAGCAAAGTTGTTCACCTAATAAATATATAAAATAAAATTTTTAATCAATATTGCGAAATTTACAGAATGGTAGATCACTTGTCAGACATCCTGTATATATATGAATATATATGTATATATATATAATATTAAATATTTTAGAGTTAATTTCGGGCGCAAATTTAACAGTCAGGGCTAGTAAGATTATCTCCGGTCAAGAGCCGACGAAGACAAATGAATTACTACAAGCAATCGGGAAAGCTCTCGACAAAAAGGTAATATATTTTATTATGTGTATACGTGAATATTCTATACACGTAATATATTTTATTACGTATATAGAAATATCTTTTAAAACAAACGAAAAATATTTATCATAAGTCATCATTAATATTAGGTCAGCAGTACAGAGGCAGTTGAACACTACAAGAAGAAGACTTTGGAGAAGAAAGGGAAAGCAGGGAAGTCCACGACCAAGGAAGAAACTCGGAAGAAACCTGCAGCGAGACAGCCTTTGCAAACAAGACAGTTGTCGGAAAAGAACAAGATTTCGGCGGAGCAAAAGAAGAGGTCTTCCAGCACAGGGAGAACATCGGGCGAAGCAAAACGCATCAACGACAAGACCGACGAAAAAGTGACGAGGGAAAGAAAGGAGAAAAGTTCCAAGGATGTTGAACCGGCAGATATCCCGATAGCTGAGGTAGGAAGTAAAAAAAGGACCGTAGTAAAATTGTTTGTACGCAATTGCAAAGTTTCAGAGGAAAAAATGGAGAATAAATGCTGCATGCTTTCCAAGCACATCGTGTCTCAAGCATTATATATACGAAGTTGACTAAAAAGACTTACTTATGTTGGGTTTAGCCAGTTGAAGAAAAAATTTCCGCTTCAGCGCAAAGGGGAAGGTCCTCCTCGTCCGCCAAAAGGAAACAGAATGTCACATCAGCATCAGCGGATGCGATCGAGCCGACGCAACACAGAAGCTCCTCAAGCCGAGTAAGACACTCCGCGCAAGCAAGCGGTTCGCGAGAGAAGGTGGGAAATTTGCCCGCAGAGCTTCTCGGTGAAGAACAAGACAAGTCATTGACGAGCAACCACATCAAGGAAAATAAGGAGAATGGGACACTGGAAGAAGAAGGTGACAAAGTGTTGCAGCAAAACATTGAGAAAAACGATCGCTCGGTGTCGGAGTTTGCGGGAGCTCAAGTTGAAGCTATTGAAACGACGTAACGTTCGATTCTTAATAAGTTCGCTCAATAAGACAGTAACATCTGGGAGTAAGACGGTAGCCGACATATCTAGCTTAACTTGTCGTTTATTCTAGCGTTCTGCAGCAATTGAACACGAGGCCCAAGACTTCCCTGAGACCGCCCAGTGCGAGACCTATCAGTGCCAGGCCGGCGGCACCCAGGATGAGGACGAAAGCGGAATTGATCGTCACCGAGGAAATACAGTAAGACTGTGGGATAATTGCGAGAGACGTTGCTTCGTTGAAGGTATTAAAAAAATGACATTGTGCGACAGAACACCACTGGGCAACATCAGCGTCATCGTGGAAAGTTCCGACTTAAAAGACGACGACGACGCCGAAGACATGGTGGTGATGGAAACCAAGGGAGGTAACGGCGATTTCCTGGAGAACGGAGATTACAAGATAGACAATCAATTGATGCAAGAGCACGGGCATCTCGTGGCGCAAATCTTAGAGACTCAAAGAGAATTAGTCAATACCGACAACGTGGATGTGATGCCGAAGAAAGTGGACATCGTAAGAGAGAGATCATCGGAGACGTTCTTTCGTCCCGAAGAAATATCTTTTATTTTTTTATTACTTCAATAACGATTTATGCTGCAATGTTTTCGAGAAATATTATAAAGCTTATTAAGTGAAACATATTTGAATACAGGCTTGGGAGTCAGGCTCGAAACGTGATCGTGAGGCCGCTGTCAGGGAGATTGATAAATTAAGAGGAACTATACAGACTCTGACGCGTACAACAAATCCTCTGGGGAAACTGTTGGATTACGTACAAGTAACTTATACAATTGTTCTGAAAATGTTACAGTAAGATGTTACGCATTAATCAACATCTCATACGAAATTATGTTTGATTTCAGGAAGATGTAGAAATGATGGAAAAGGAATTGTTGGATTGGAAAAGCCAATACCGTCAACTGAGTGAACAACTAGAGAGAGAACAGAAGTACGTGAGCGCAACATTTATAGTAAACCTGAAGTAATACAACAGTTTTTATAGTTTGTTATAAAAGAAATTTGTTTCAGAGAAACGCAAGAGATAATAGAGCCTATGAAAGAAACGTTGAAAGAAATTGACGGTAACATGAAAACTCAGTTAGATAAAATATGTCAGGTGAAGTCGCAAATTATGAAAAATGATCAGAAAATTCAGCGATTACTTAATGGTCATTTGTAATACGTAGGCCAGTAGCTAGATTTTAGGTTGTATTTTTATAGGCCCCTGAAAATATATATAATTAGACGTTTTATTACAAATTACATATCTCGAGAGATTTAAAGAATATTTACCTATGCGAGACGTTTTTATTTATGTTATATAACCATAGTAGATGTACGTTTAACACTTAGACACTTTATGTTGTACATGTTATTTATATTAATAAAACATTGAAATTTTGAACAAAAATTTGTATCGTGCTTAATTATTTCATATTGTTTGAATCGATATATTGTTTAAATTCTAACAGTAATTATAAATCATAATCGATAGCTATTTGCACACCTCACTAAAAAATAAATATTTACCTCAGAAAAAATATTTCCATTTAACTTTCTCTCTTTGTAGTTTGATATAATCAATAAGTGTTCTATAACAAGAAACAATCATCACGTTCCCTTGGAACGTTTTATTTTTCTTTCATCGTTTAGATTATTATTTCTCATTATTCTTTCATCGTTTAGATTATAATAATCTATAATTCTAATCTATTCTTGGCATACCTTTCTAAATCTCATATTTATTTTGCATCTCCGCAAGTTCTTCCTCGGATATCTTTTCGTGTGTTTTACAATACGAGAACATGAATTTCAAGTCTGTAAATATAAAATTTGTACAGTCAGATTTTCTAAAAATAACAAGTTATAAATAAATATATATTTTATTTTACCTTGTTTCTCTGAGTTACTTATAAACATGACAAGTGCTTTGAATCTTTTAACATTACTAAGATCCTTTAAATACGAAAATACAGGTTCCTGTCTGTTTACAAACTCTGTCTTAAGTATTGTTAATATATCACTAAAAATACTGCTTTCCAGTGAATCTTTAAATATCTTTGGTAAGCTGCCTGGTTGCAATTGCTGAAAGAAAAATTTTCTTTTGTTTTCTGAACTCACTTTTATCGATAAAAGTACCTTGAAAGTAGCTTTGCAGCCAATTAGGTACTTCCTAAGCCACTTTTAGAGACATTTATCGGTAAAAGAGAGAATATGGACTTCTATGTGCAATAAAGCTGTTACTTACTCTTAAATAACTATACCGAATATCGGACGAAGTGTATTTTCTCCAATTTATAACAAATTGTACTGCAGTTTTGGGAACAGGAGGTACTTCTGTATAATTCTCAGTGAAATTTTTTTTCGATTCAGGTTCAATTTTAGTAACACTTTCAAGACACTTTGTGGTATCATTAGAAGACACATCTGATAATTCTACGTCTTTAGTTTTTAACACATCTTTAGCGATGCACGTTTCGATTTCCTCTTTAAAAGGTTTACTCAAATCAGCCTCCTGTACAGGAACTTTTTTAAATGGTTCCTAAAAAATCAGAAAAAAATTTATAATCGCACAAATATTGTAAAATATAAATGTCTTAAATTACCTTTGAACGTAAATGGGGTGGTTTTCCAACAAGTTCTACAATTTTAACATTATCTTTTTCCGGCAGCCAATCTGGAATACGCGAATTTCCTTTTTGTCTTGTCACACTTCCGGTTGTTGGTTCTACAGTAGATTTCATGTCGTTCTCTTTATTACTGTCTACTTTGTTTCCAATTATTTTCTTATTTGATTTTACATCACCCAATATTTTCTTAGCAATTTTTTTCTCCACTAATATGTCATCAGTTATATCTTCTCCAGATTTAATGACTGGCTAAAAATAAATATTAAATATAAATATCTCTATTTTTTTTAACTCAATAATAATGTACAGGCTAGAAAAAGAAATAAAGTTTTACGAACTGATATTTTAACAAATACACAAGATATTTAAAAAATGTTACAAACCAAGGTTGTTCAATCTCGATATATGATGATATTATAATTATGAGCTTGAAACGTTGAATCTGATGGGAATGAAGTTGATCTTAAAGAACATTTTAAGGTCATAATAATTGACCTGTTCTTTTTCGCTGCACCGTTGAACTAGTGCAATAAGTAGAAGTGAGAAAACATATACTTGTCTCGCTTCAACTTATTGCACTAGTTCAGCGGTGCAGCGAAAACGAACAGACCTAATATTACCATCATCCATTGAAACTAAACAATTTTGATCTAAAAGATTTTTTGATATCTCAAGTGCTTTTCGTGACATAAATTTATAACATTTTATCTAGCTCATCCTATATATTACATACTTTTGAATGCTCAAGTTGCTTATTAACTTGATTAAGCAATGCTTTTGCTTCCTTGTTAGAAGGTTCTAATAGCAAAATCTTCTGTATATCTTGTTTCGCCTCTTCGTATTGCTTTAATCCCATCCTAGCTGTTCCTCGTCTGTGATAAGCTTTCACATAAGTATCATTCATTTCTATTGCAGATGAACAATCTTCATGTGCCAAATGCAAGCTGTAAATCCATATTGCAAAGTTATAATTTTATACAGATTAAACAAGACTACCATATATTATTTACTATATTTTTAGATACAAAATTTACTTGTCTTGCTTTAAGTAACAGAGTGCACGATTCGCATAAAAGACAGCATCATAAGGAAAGACTTCAATCGCTTTACTATATGAAACAATCGCTTTGTCCCATTCTTTTTGCTGCACAAAACGATTGCCCTCCTCCTTATATTCTGTTGCTTTCTCATGATCTTTCTGTATTTGAAGGTATTGATTTACTTTAAATAAGGATTCTGAAGAATCATTGCATTGATCTTTCTTTCCCAAGTTGTTATAAGCTTCCTCCTTTGTTACAACAAATAATATTGACTTATTATAAGCAATTTTTAATAATCTTGAGCTATGTATTTGCACAGTATGTGACATATAATTCTTACGGGAAATTTATCCCATGATGTATAATTATATGACTATTCAATTTTCAATACTTACACTTTCCTTTGTTGTATGCTTCTTCTTATTTCTGATTGGAGGTAATGTTTGCTGCAAAATATATATATATTTTTTTAAATTTATTTCTCAACGTACTAATATTTATTGGTTAATTTCTTATTTTTAAACATACCGGCTCGTCGCGTTCGTTCAACAGCTTTCGTTCTTTCAATTTCATCGCCTCTTCCCAATATTTCATATCGAGAAACTCGCTCTGTAGATTTTCCGCATTGTCTTTCACTTGTTTTTGCAATAATATAGACTGATTCAACTCCATGATTAGGATAAGATCGCAGTTAATCTGCGCTATATACTAAGCTCCTTTACTGAAAATATTTAATTAAGTTAGGTTATGTCTCTTTTTTCGCAATAACTCTTTCCTTTGGCGATCGCGATGACGCAGTCAGACATATGCAGTCTGTTCTTTTTAACTGCACTACTGAACTGGTGCATTAAGTTAGAATGAGACATATATATATTTGTCTCGCTCCAACTTAGGGAGAATTCACACCTTGACTGAAAAGCAGAAAGCAGGAAAGCAGCAGCCAATCAGAACTCGCGCTGGTAGTAAGCAGCAGATAAAGCAGAAATTATCGAATATTATTTGATATTGTTGCATTTCCATAGCAATATGACAGAAACAGTTCGTAATATATATACTATAATATTATGATATTATAATTTTACAATGAAATATCTGGGCGATATTCTCGCAATCTATTTATATTGTACGACGAATGTGCTTTTCTGCTCTGGTTTATCCGGATATGGCAAATAAAGCTAAATAACGCGTGAACGCATATGATCTTAACGTATGTCAAATTAGCACAGTATATCTTTCCAGTATTAACGTAACTAGATGTTTATTACGAAAATTGTCGGAAAAGTTTCCGATCCGAATCGTTCGATTGTACTTAGATTTATTTTGTTCTTCCAGCAAAAAACGGATTATTTCAGTCGGAATCTATTTCGAACAGTTTTACAATAGCTGTCCTTATTATGCATGCGATCAGATTACTCTCTCCGCCTGCATTTTCTTACACTTGCTGCATTTAAAACAGGTATATAGGGAACATCGAGGAAAGAAGAGGAAAAGGTAAGACGCATAAAATTTAATTGAACGAATACATCACGCTAGAATATGTTACTTTTTTTATCATGAGCATAGAGAGAGAGAGAGAGAGAGAATAAAAAATCTCGACCATCAGACTATAAAACACAGACGTCTATGAGACACTTAATTCTTCCAAGGTGTTTCCTCGATATTTACTAAATTTTCGCGTCGTCCGGCTAACGTTATTCCTTCACGCACCTGAAATTTAAGCCAGGTTAGCCGACACAGGATCTAACGATCTTAACGAACGCTTAATGACAACGACATTGACTCCTATTCATATTCGTTACCTTGCATGTGAAGCAGCATTTAGCAAGTGTCATTTAAATAAGGAATACGAGGCCGTTAAATAACAAGAGCGACGACCGAACCGGTTTCGCGGATCACGTTGTGGCCGGATTAAGAAAATGCGACTTGCCGATCTCCGATTTTCCGAGTACATCCCGCATAACATATACTCTCGATACTCTTGTTTACCGTGTTTCTACTCAAAATGATCCCGACGTTGTGCACCTGCCTTGCTGCCTGCGTGAGTTGTACAGTGGCGCTGCTCGAGCGGTGTAGCGGCAAATATGTGAAACGGCCGAAAGGGCAATGTGTTCGTCTATTCCTCTGCTGTCGTGCGCAGCGGTCAGAGAATGTGGAGTTTAGTGGTAGTGGCGGGAGGAAGAAGGCGCGATAGGCGAGTGCGACGAAGACAGCCGAGCGAGTCAACAGGAGTGACAAGGACGTATAGCGCGCTGAGATGGAGACAGATGACGTAAGTCAAACAAAGATGTCGTATCGCAGGTCACAGTAGAGGGAGGTAGAGACGGTTTGATGGTACGCGCGTTGAGGTGGGAAGGCAAAAGAGGAGAGAGAAACTAGAGGGAGAGATCGAGCGAAAGAAAAAGAGAGAGAGAGAGAAAGAGCGGGAGGGAGAAAGAGAAAGAGAGAAAGAGACAGGGAGAAAGGAAGAGAGAACGAGAGGGAGGTATTGTCTGACGTGCACACTGCATGAACCGTCCAGTAGCATGTCTCAAACACTCGGCATGCTTGTAGTGAGGTAGTAGTATCGTCGGGAACGAGAAAATCGTCCGCGTGTTTCACCCCGTCAGGGCTGTTTCGTGTATACAGTTACCCTGTGAAGTCGCGCGCGAGACAGCACAGGTAGTTTTCGGACAGAGCCGTCCGAGAGTTCTCGGTTGAGTCAGAAATTCGTTGACCGACCGTTCGGGGCGACAACCGCGCGCGGGACAGTTGTCGTCCTCCGCTGATACATCGAAAGTAGTGGCCGTTAACGTGGTAGTGCGGCAGTCGATCGCGCGAAGTTGGTCGAGTGCGCGAGAGCGAACGAGCGAGAAAGAGGGAAAAAGAGAGAGAGAGAAACGGCAGGCTCCCCGTTGCACTTGTCGTTGGATTCAAACCCCAGGCGGAGAGGAGCCCCCGCCGGAGGTGGGAGAGTTCTCGGGTTCCCACATTCCTGCCTGCCTGCGTGCGAAAAACGTCAAGATCCGCTGCTCGGCATTAGCATTAAAGCCGCGGCTAATGCAACGAGGAAAAGGGAACACGGTGAAACGTGCTCGGCCGCCGCCGCGCGGAGCCGGCGATAGCGCACGTCGCACGAAACGGGTCGCGGGCCATCGCCGCCGTTCTGCCTCCATCGCCGCCGCGGCCGCCTCCGCCGCCGCTACCACCACCGCGGCTGCCACGAGAGACACGACGTCGCTGTAGCGTTCGCCGAGCGAGCGAGCGTACGGGAGATCGCGACTGAGCGACGTTCACGCAGGTCGCGCGCGCGCGAGAGAGAGTAACGAGAAGTCGCAGGCAGAGTTTTGCGCGACCGCGCGAGAGACAGCCGTCTTTTTAAATTTACCGAGGATATATATCTCTCTTTCTCTCTCCTCTCGGCCGAGCGATTATCGAGCGACAGGATTGGCAGATGCGGCGTGAGCCAGTTACCGAGCTCGTGAGCGCGCGCAGTGCGTACGGAAGGCCCCGAGAACGGCATTTCGAGGAGGAGCTACTTGTCCCGGAAGGTGAGCCACGACGACGAGCTGTGCCGACGAGTTTATCCTCGAGGACCGGGAGAGGAGTAAGATAAGAGAAAGAAAAAAGAAAAGTGCACGGTGGGCGAGGTATTTCTCGAGGAGGGCTGTGTGTTGTTTCGTTCTTTCCTTTTTCTTTATTTTTTTCCCGTTGTGCGCGAGGGAGGAGGGAATCACTGGAACGGAGCGAGAGAGAGATCGTGCGCGCGCGCGCGAGATCGTGCCGTACGTAGGAATCCGGGTTTCGTTCGGAGGAAGAGAGAGAAGGAGAGAGAGAGAGAGAGAAAGAAAGAAGGGAAGAGAGAGAGAGAGAGAGAGAGAAAAATTCGTGTGCGCGAGTGTCAAACGAAAGAAGGGCGAGAAAAGAGAAGAGAGAAAAAGAGAGAGAGAGAGGAAGGAAGGAAGGGTGCGTAAGGTGCTGGTGGTGATGATACGCGGAGTGCACCCGATCGATGCACCCGTGCGAGCGCAACACTACGACACTACCGCTGTCGCCACCGCCGTCACTGCCGCTGCTCGCCGCCTCTGGCTGGCTGCTCCTCAACGCCCGGTTACGTTAACGGTGGAATTCCGCTCGAGAGGAATCTAAAGGCGGGGACTCTGACGTCACTCTGCTCATGATAATGAGGTATTCATGATGGCGGAATAACGTGCGCGCTAGTGAGTGAGCGAGAGAGAGAAAAAGCGCGAGGGAGAGAGAGGGAAAAAGAGAGAAAGAGGGAGAAAGAAGTGCGCGCACACACCGCATACCGCATATCACATGTGTATATATATATATATATATACACACACACAATATATGCAATATATACAATATATATATATATATATATATATTGTATATATTTATATATTGCATATATATATTGCATATATATATTGTGTATATACATATATGCCTTTGGTGGCTGCGCCGCGTCCGTGTGTGCAATACGTTTTATCGTTGTCTTCGTCGTTCCACCGCGAATCGCTGCTACTCTCGCCGTCTCGCTCACCTCCGCTCACCCCTTCTCATCCGTCAACCTCTCTCCCTCTGCGGTTGCCTGTCCTCTTTATCTTGTCTCTCATTCCCTCTTATCCTTCCCTCCTCCCCCCCCTCTAATTTTTCTCTCTCACTCACTCACTGCTCGTACTACTCACTATCACTACTCATTATTCACTCATTCGCATACAAATACAACACTCGCTCACTCACCTATTCACTTTTTACTTACCATCTCCTTCTCTCCAGTTCTCACGTTGGCCGAGACGAGACGCGCGTGTGTATGCGGCCCGAGGAGCGTGCGCTCGCGCGCACAGAAGATATGCACCCGTCGACCGCACGGAGATAGAGAGAGAGGTTTTGGATGGATCTAGAGCGCATTGAAATATGCCAAGAAGACGGAATGGGGAGATACCGCTTCCGGAAGGGTGGGACGTCGCCCAGGACTTCGACGGGAAGGTGTACTTCATCGATCACAACACTCGGAAAACTACGTGGATCGACCCCCGGGACAGGTAAGGGCAAAAGAGAAAAATAAATAAAAGCGGGGAGTAAGAAAGAAAGAGAAGCTGCTGCCACCGCATCGCCACGGCTGGCTTCTTTTTCTCCTTTCCTCTCGCAACGCCTCGCGCGGAGTATGCGCGCGGACTACTCATGTATACATCGCATCGATGCGCGCGTGTGTGTGTGTGAGCGTAACTATATGAGCCCTTCCCCTCCGCGCTGCCTCGTGGACGCCCCTCTCGCGCGAGAACCGCGATCTCGCGAGGATACGCGATTCAGCGCGCGATTCGGCGGGAATGTGTATATGGGGTGTATCGTGAGTCGCGCGTGCGCTTTCTCTACGGATTCCACAGCGGATCTGCGAATCGACTTCTTCGGCGAAATTGATCGCTCGTTGCTCAACGTAGCCGCGACTGCGATTAAATCTGTCCCGATGATGAAACCAGCTTGAATGAAAAATTTTCCCCGGAGAAGGGCACGTGTAAAGTTCACGTCGTTATTGGTTCGGATCTCTTCTTCCCTCGATTCGTCGAAAAGCGTCGTTTAATTGCCGGTCGATGCGCGATTCGGAACGAAGAAGAGAATGTTGACGACGATGTTGCCTCGATATTTCACCGCTCGCTGAAACGTGTACGTCGGTATTTACAATTTGATCTCTAATACATACGGTTTAGAGAAAGTACACGACTTTCGAGATATCCGCCGTGTATGCGCGTTTGTGTGTGGGTGTGGGTCGCGTGCGAAGTCGCGACAGCGCGCTCCGGCGTTTCAACGCGGATTTCCGCAGAGAGCGGCTCCGCCGATAAGCCGATTTTTTCGACGATATCGCCAATATATTACTTCACGCTCGCGTTTATGACACCTTAACAATGATTAGAGGCAACGAGAACACAGCTGACCAACAAACAAACATCACGGCACGTATGTATACATACAACCTCGTCATCCGACGTCGATGCGGCGCTTGTGTGAACGTTGCCTAAGTTGATAAAGTATGCATCCGCGCGCATACGCGTGCATACACGTACGTACGTACGAGCGACTCCGCGCACACACTTCTCGCAATCTCGAAGTCTCCTCGAGGCTGCATAGTTGCATACAGGCACGTACATCGATCGCGACAGAAATTGATAGCCGAGTTAACGGGGGGTGGGGGGGTGGGGGGATTTGCTGATTTGGAATTCTAACGTTTATTATTATTCTCACTGAATATGTCGGTGAAATTTTGCTTCTCCATTGGTTTGCTCCGACGAGTCGGCGATTGTAATTTTCAATATCGTTCCCAGGTGCTAAAAATCCACTACTATGTTAGTAACTTTTCTTTTTTTCTTTTACAAAATGTGCGCTGATGATTGAAGACGCACGAAATGCAGATATTGAAACTTGGAAGGAGGATCACCCGAAGATCGATTCGTTGCGAAAATTGGAAACTTCACATCAGAGATCTAACTGACCACAGAGATTCTCCGTTACGTCCGCTATATCCTTCCGAGTTGGCTCCATTCGGCGAGCTGAACGATAAATTTCTTATCAAGAGATCGGGCGCCGTTATCTAACGTCGTTTCAACGATAATACCTTAGAAAAATCTCGGCACTAAATTAACGCTAGATTAACGGGGTGTCGGTATCACTGCTAGAAAAGCCTACCTCCCCCGAGATAGCACTGTTATCAAGCTCTCACCGATAGAGCCGCATGCCAACGACATTCTTCGTTGAATTAGAGAGATAGATTTTACTCGTTCGCGCGTATCTCAGATCACGCATTGCATTTACAGTCGCGATCCACGTAATCTATGTCACTCCAGCCGCCTACACGTCGGAATTCCACGTTCGTCGTGCTCTCTCTCTCTCTCTCTCTCTCTCTCAGCAGACAAGCGTTCTCTCTCTCTCTCTCTCTCTTTCTCTCTCTCAATCTTTCTCTCGTTGCGTAGAAGATGATTTTTTAAATTCATCATTCGATTTAGAGCTCGCCGAGAAAAATAGTACGGTGGTCACGACGGCGCCATGTGTGTGCGCCGCTTAACTTCATGGAATATGTATTCGCGCGCGCGCGCGCGGGTATGTACGCGTATATCCATGCCGTACACCGTGCACCGCCGGGTCTCGCGCCGTGACTCGCCGCGCCCGCATTCCATCCGCCAGGGCCGCGCTCCTTGAGAAAAACGCGAGAAATCTGGCGATCAGGCTCGGCTTCGCTTCTCGTCGGTAAGCGCGGTAACCGCGCGAAAATCGAAACNTAAATGCACTTTACCCCCCCCCCCTCTCTCTCTCTCTCTCTCTCTCTCTCTCTCTCTCTCTCTCATTCGCTCGCTCGTGCACGCACGCATGCACGAGATCGTGACATATGTTCCAATGAACGTTAGAAAAATAAACAAAAAATAAGAGAATGTTTCTCACGAATATATTTGTAGGAATTTCATTTTAAACCTTTTTTTTCTTTGGCAAGATTGCTCGTTATATATACGTGATTATGCGTGTAAAATTCGAAAATTACTCGCGAAACAATAAATTAAATTAATTGTTTGCTGAGTGAGATATTTGTAAAAAGAAAATCGCGTAGCGTGCTTTCAGCTGTTTACCGTTACCGCCGTTAATGCAACCTTCTTCATCGGCTAAAAGCCTAAGCAATTTCAAAATGAACTTGTTTTATTGGCCAATTTGTAAGCTGTCGTTTGGCAGTGCGAAAAAAAATATGATTTACGATTGCCACCTCGTAAAAGTGCGCGTGCCGGTGGGATGACGCGAGACTTGCGGTTCCGTGACTTTTATAGCGCGAATAGGAGCTCGCAGGCTGTGTGTGACAATACAAAGACCTGAATTTGTTGACGACATGAGAATGTTGGTTTCCAGTTTTTGTTTCATACAAACGTCTGATTTGCGCGACGGTGATCACGGCGAGGACGTCGAGCTGCGCCGAAACGCGATGCATTTATAAACAGGGACCTTTTTACGTGATTGCAAACGACCGCCCCCGGTTAACCCCTTCGCTGCGAAAGCCATATATAAGCGCCCTCGAAAAGTAGCCTCTCATTTACGAATGGCATGTATATACGGCCTGAAAAAAACCGCTCGTCATTTGCGAATGCCGCATGTATGCGGATGAGCAAAATCTACATATACACAGGGTGAAACATTTGAACTTGCCACGTCGAATTGCTTGTAAACTATCCATGGTACGAAAAATGTTTTAATTAAAATAATAATTACATGGTTTTAGAGAGGATATAATCTGGTTTCAATAGTTTTATTTTTTTTTTTCTTAAATAGAGATTTATGAAGGTCAACTTCGTGTTTTTTTTTTTATCAATTTTTTATTTAATAATTTATTGATCTATATATTTTTTAATAAGTGACTCGAGTCGTCCTTCGGTGTATAAGAATGCTGAAGTAAAATAATATTTTCTGTTATGGTATATAATTTAGGTGTAATTAGTTTGAACTTAATTTAACATAACGTAAAGTTTGAATTATTTCTTGCGGACATTCTTAAACTAGTCCAGGTATCAAGTTCCAGTGACTGGCACGCGAATATCGTCCCGCATAGTGATCGGTTTTTCGGTTGAAACGCGCCACAGTGAAAAGGTTAACCAAAGGAATGTCTGACAAGGAGCACAGTATGGAAAGGATCCAGTAGCGAGACTTTCCATTTGTGCACTGTATATTCGAGAAAGGGAAATAAAATTGTCTCTTGTCTCTATATCAAAGTCATTTACATGATGATAAAACAGATATTAATTAGTACAGAATAAAGGAGAAGAAATGAGGCAAAAATATAATCAAGAGCATATGAAATATAGCAGTTGTGATTATATATGAATGATAGTGAGATTATATATAATTAGTGACTCGACACATGCACGCAAACTCATTCATATAGATTATATCTAAGAATTCCGGTAAAAAATAATCGATATATTTGCATATTTGCGCTGGAACGTAAAGTGCAACAACAAATTTTTACACAATACAGTGATTGTTGCAAGGAATAAATTATTTGAAATAAATAATACTATGTGAAAAAGTATTAAAGAATTTTTCTCTTTTTCAATGGAACAATCATATATAATAAAATAGTTTTCTTTTATTGAAAACGAAATGTTATTTTCTCTAAATACTATTTTCACTATCAAACAATATGGGTTATTCTTATAAAACATTTCTCATTTCTCTTCATATGAACGAAATATTTGATATTAAATTATATTGTTTACATTAATTAGATCCAAGTCAAACACGTATACTAAACCTAAAGAAATCTTTTTCTCTCTGTGTACGGAAAGTGTTGCTGGAGCTATCAGTGTCCCTCCCCCCTGCCCCCTAAATTATTAGAACGTCGCGCCAGTTCTTCGGACGCACGATGAGTTTCGTAATCGTCGAATTTCGTCAGGCGAGTAATATTCGTTGGTAGCGAAGCAAAGGAGCGCGATCTCGTGCGCGTGCAGTATAGACATGGACCAAGAGTCCGCGTGCCGGCTCCTATACGCATGTACGTAGCCCACGGCTACGTTGTGTAAGTGCACCATCCTACGGGGCCAACCGGTATATAACGTACCTGCAACCGGCCTGTGCCTAAAAATAGACCTCCGCCCGCTTTTAGTGCATTCTTTGACGGCACGGCGACGGGGGTATTACTCTTTCGACTTTTCGTATCAACTTATCACGTTACTCGAGAGAGAGAGAGAGAGAGTGTGTGTGTGTGTGTGTGTGTCTGTCTCGTGTTCCTCCACCGCGTTTATTTTTATCGTGTAAGCGGATAAACCTATTTCTATAAAACGATAACGTTACATTCTCGAGAGTTTATTAGAGCTGTCGATATTAGATGAGAGAGGGAGATAGACGATCGCGTTCGCAATCGAGATATCAAACAGTGCTAATAATTCACGTGAGCAACATTTCATAAAATGTCCGATAACGCCGTTTATCTCGTTCCTCCGTTGATCCATTATATATTCAATGCAACATTTCAATCCGCTTCGCTTCTCGTTCTTTGCTAATGATCGTTTACGAGTAACAAGTGGTAGATTGCCGGGGATTTTGCAATTTTATCTACCACGTTGTTCTTTTTTATATTCAAACTTAGCCACGCGAGGAACATTTTCCGCGTTTTCGTACACCGTAATAATAACAGTTGGATTAATTCGGCTGTCTTCCGCGAAAGGTGCGATTTATGTTCCTGTTTTACATTCACATTGTTGAAACCGCGAACGCGGACAGAGTCGTTTCGTGTACCGCTTCTCGTTCTTCGAAATCTCGAAATTTCGTTCCTTGAAATGCATCGTGCTTTCCTCTTCGGCCTTCTGCTTCTCTTCTTCTGCATTACCGTCGTATCGGTCACCTCAATTGCGACTAAAAAGTAATATCTACGTCCGCGTACATAACATTGTTATTATAATATATCATTAATTTTGACTCCTTGCCGCCTACCCCCTCCTTTCATCGAGTCTACTTCGATATTGCATTTTGTTCTAGTCGATTCTATGAATAAACTTTATGTTCAATAATCAATTAATTAAAATATATTATTTTTACATAGTAAACAATTTTGTGTTAAAAAAAGTCCATTGGAATTTTTGTGTTACTTTAATATGGAGAATGTGTTAAAAAGTACACAAATATAATATTAAATTAACATATTCACCTTGTTAACATATTGAGTTAAAGTCACACAAAATATCAGTGGATTTTAACACAAAATTGTTTACCGTATATTATTTCAATATAAATATATTGCTGTAAATGTGTTATTGTATTAGTTAAATATTGAAACATTGATATAAACGCAAACCGCGGGATACTGTCGCGAAATAAATGCGAATTTCTACGGTTGAGATGAAAAGTCAAGAACAATTCGAATCGCAAAGGACTGATATTTTCTTTCTCTTTGTGTACAGCTATTTAATCGCTGCTAATAGTAATACCGCTCTTACTATTGCTTAGTTATTACAGCATTAACGTACAAATTCGCCTTCTCACTTGCTGCCTCTTTAATACGACGGTAGTTACGGTGGCCAAATATTTATCATGCTGGATTACGTCACGAACAACGGCTATACAGTACGCGGTAACGTTTACAGCTGACGTGCGTCTCGTTTTTGGTTCTTTCTCTTTCTGTTTGCGCGCGCCAAACGCCGATACGCACGCGTAAATCTAGCCGTTCGAGCTCGGGAGGATTTCGTTGCCAAATATTTTCACATTATGTACGTCTGGATAGGCCCGATCCTCTCTTCGTACGTCAGCGGAGCGTCTGTGTATATGTGTGTATGATACGTCGTACAACTATCGGTTATCGCTCTCGCGTAAGAGAGAAATCATTTATTATTAGTAAAATATGCAGTGTTTTATATATATAGAAGTCGAGAGGATGCATGTTTTGCAGAGACTCCTCACAGCTCAATTCGGACGGGTTCGATATTACGCACGTATACACGCACACACGTGTACATACGTGTGTGTGTGTGATCAGAGCCATGGCACGAATTGCGGGGCAGGAGTGTTCCCAAACTTGGAAATTCGATACATTCTTGCACCGTGACACGGCCGCATACCGAGGACGAAGGCAAACGGAGATTCTTGTGGAGGCCCCCGCGAGAGAGTACCATTATTTTCTTCTCGGAATCTTTACGTCCCGGCATAAACGCCGCGGCAAAACCAGTCGTGTCCTCGACAAAATGCCCATTATGTCGTTAAAAATATTTTAAACTGTCATTAACCGCAATTACAATTTACGTTTTATGCAGCTACGCGCTTTACCGTAAACCACCGCCACCACAATTAGTCGTTCATGGTATCGAGAAATGACCGAGGAATGCGAGTTCGTTCTTATACAGTATATTTTGACGTAACGATACCGTCGTACAAACGTAGATAAAATTTAGCGGGTTAAGACAGTTGAGATTTTTTTTTTCGACAGACATTGTCGAATCTACTTCGATCCTTCGAGACGTACAATAATTCCTCGCGATGTGTTATAAATATGTCTAAAAAATGCAGTAGCTAGAAATCAATCAATAATTCCATAGAGAAATTTGAAATGAGCAGTCTGTAAACGCGCGTTGGAGCGTATAAAATGGTATGTCACGATTAGTCGATTACAAATTTAAAAGCGAGTCTACAGTCTAGATTTCATTCCGCCCGCCACCACTATGGACTCGCCAGTAATGTAGGAAGCGTCGTCGCTCGCTAGAAACGCGGCTACGCCCGCGATTTCATCCGGCGTTCCCGTTCTTCCCATACTGATATTTGACACGACAGAATCGTGTGTTGTCTCCGACTGGTATAGCTAAAAAACGCAAAGAATGTGTACACACAGATGTGTTATTTGGTCTTAAATAACGTAAGAGATACGGGGCGATGTGGATACGAATGTAGGAAAGAGTACCGCTTTGGAAAAGTCGGTCTTTATGAACCCAGGCGCAACACAGTTTACGCGAATCCTATCGCACGCAAGATCTTCCGCAGTGGCTTTGCACAATGCCGTCAAAGTAGTTTTACTGATTGAATATACACCTACGATCTAGTGGAGATGGTTATTGCTTTTTATTTTTATCGTGTGCGAGAAAGAGAGAAAGGAAGAGAGAGAGAGAGAGAGAGAACGAGTATAAGTGCGGTTATATTAATAAGATGTCCCGTTATAAATGGGATTTTTCGAACAGACGAAAGAAATATCGAGTCGGAATTAAAATATCTCGAATTGGACTCACGTCGATGGGATGATACGCCGCGACCGAGGTCACGATAATAATAGAAGGTGATTTACTGCACTTGAGGAATGGCAACGATTCCTTCATGAACAGGAAAGTCGACTTAACATTGGTGTCGAAGATTTTGTCCCACAACTTTTCCGTAGTTTCCATTGTTGTACTAAGCGCTGGACTGACAGCCGCGTTACACACCAGGATATCCAGACCGCCAAAACATGTTTTGGTCTATAAAACACCGACAGGAGGATGATAGAATGTGACGTGTCTGTTGTATCGTGCGAAAAAAAATGAGACGTCTCGAAGGAGTAGCGAATCACGCAATTAGTTTATTTGTCATAGTTTACTTTCTCAAGCAGGTTTTTCCTATCCGCTGACTTGCCTACGTGGCAGACGGCGCCGGCAACTTGTAATTTTGCGCATTTCAGCTCGTCCACGGCTTTCTTCACGTTCGATTCTTTGCGGCTGTTAATCATTACCTTAGCACCTTCCTGTGCTAAACGTTTCGCTATGGAAAGGCCTATACTGCGGAGATACAAAGCGAGTAACTTAAACGTTGCATTGTCATATTACTAAATATCGTTAAATTCCGCAGTAGCAAAGAAACAATGCGAGATACACGGTCGAGTAAACAACGATGTGTGGCTTGGAGGAAGCAAGAGACGGAACAAAAATAGAAGGAACGTTTGCGTTGGTTCACATAATTCAGCTTACCCATTTGTCGAGCCTGTCACGATCGCGACTTTTCCTTCCAGTCGCTTGCATTTCACCGAGCAGGCGTTACTGCATTTTCGAGTAGCTTGACTAATTGCGGCACGCAACATCGTAAAAGTTGTAAACAGCTGTAAAGCAAATATGTCTTTCTCGATGGGGCAGAACAAATGCATGTCACGGCTGCTTTGAACTTCGATATCTCATACGTACGCTCGTTTGCTGCACGGTCGGAACGTTTTCTTCAACGCACTTCGGAACACATTCAACGTCCAGTGGAAGAACTTTGATTTTCGAGTAATCTTCCGTAGATAGTTTTTCTTATTGGATGCGTTTGAAAAGATATTGAAAAAGAAAGGTATTTAAATCATCCCGCAAACGAGCGTATACTGAGTTCCAAAACAGTTCGAGCGCTTTTTCTCGATGTAGTTTTTAATGCAGTTTTGAATGCAACTGATGGTCTAATTAGAGAACTTGTTTTCCGAAAACAATCGTTGGATTATCGTTTGCGTTCCGAATTGCATCGAGAAAAGAAAAACGTTAAAACTATCTTTACATACAGTGTACGTGGTCAGTCACGAAAAAGTTGCGACACTTTTTTTTTTTTCAAGTTTTGATACGCATACCGTGTCCAGTGAGGGAATTTGTTTTTCACTAATTCCCAGGAGATACATTTTCCTATTGAATAACGAGTTGCGTTGCGAAACTCTTCGAAGAAAAAGTATCGTAACCTTTTTGTGACTGGCTACATACATCAAACTCCAGTGAATCCTTTATTCGGTGAATTCTTTCCACTTATTAGGCCAACATTTCCAGTTGTTCGCATAGTGTCTGGATATAATATGACATGATATATTAATAGCGTTTTAACGATCACGTGAATGCGATGCATGTATTACTTCAACGTCGTTCCAGATACATGACCGGTATTTCTAAACGACAATCTCTCGTCTCCATGTTTTCTTCATTACCATTATTGGTAATAACTCTGCATCTCGCTTCCCTAGCTCGATCGACTCCGCCGCCCCTTAGTTTTCCTTTAAGGAGCTATCGTTCGTTCGTTCGTTCGTCCATCTGTCCGTCCGTCCGTCTGTCTCTTCGTTCGTTCCTTCCGTTTCTCTCAGGTGGCCTCGTCGTCTGTCCACCAGGCAAATGTGTATGCGTGAACGATATATTCCGGTACGTGTACGCGCGCGCGCGTTCGCCAATATATATATATATATATGCGCGCTCGGACGGTGGCGACGGCGATCAGTGCCCTTGGGACAGAGCCAGGTAGCCGAAGAGACACCCACGCAACGCGAGTGGCATGCCCACGCATAGGTAGGTGCGCGCGCCCGGCATTAATCAGGTCCGTGTTTCACCTCCTGGCCGACGGTGGACAACAGCGCCACACCTGTCGAGTCCGCTCTCGCGCGCCCGCGACACAGCCGAGTTCTCTCTCTCCGCTCTCTCGGAAAATCTCGTAGGAGAAACTAATCCAGGGCATGTTAATCCGCACGTATCAACCGGCGCGACCGTCGTAATACGATTCCAGGCGATCTTTTTCTCCCCCGAGATCGCGGGGAGATTAAGAGAGGAACTCGCGTGAATTCGGCGTGTCGTCGGCGGTCAAGCACCAAAACCAGAGGGAGAACGTCGCGCAACGTCGCTCGCGGCTGCCAGGGCGCCTACGCTTTTTAGCGTGAGCGTAAATCTTCATTTCGCTGGTATTATTGTGATGGGCGTCGTTTATTTTGAAACGCATAAATAATTACATCGTTGTCCTCTCAGACTTAACGGGTCCCATTTTTCATTCGACGACTCTCTTCGATCGATTCGACTTTTCCTCGGCGTGAAGAGCGTCGAGCAGAGGAGCCAAACGTCGACGTATGGGTATCCGTAGTGATCGCTCTCACCGCGTCTCGTCGATCAGAAGATTCGACGTCGAATCGTTCGAAGAATTTGTAGACGAGAGAGAGAGAGAGACGACTCTTTATGGGATATGTGTGTAGCGCGCGACACGCTCGCAATGACGTCGCGACTTTTATTTATCCCGGAGAAGTGCGGGGCTATTACGCCGTATGGAGTCATCATCGTCGTTCATGGAGCTACAAAAATGTATACTTTAGTGATACCAGCAGCGAGCACGACCGATGCTCGAAGCGCGACATTAAGTGCCATCTCGTATATTCGTGTCGAGAGATTACACCTCGCGGGATGTATGGAATGCGTATACGCGCGAAACGCGTCGCCCGGCAAATTTACGGCTCTTTCACAGCGCGACTCAGCCACACGAGTAATATTCATTTTGATACGGGCGTATCTTTAATTAAAAAAAACGCAAGCTCGCGCGTTTTAAGACCTTCGTTCGTATTAAGTGACACATACGGTTCTTTTTTCCCTACATTCTTTTTATGGTTCCCGCCGACGCGCTCTCGTCGTAAATAAACGGGTGTGCGCGCGCACAAGCGCGGTAAATATTCCGCATACTTTATACTTCGAAATTTACCACGGTGTAAAAATTCACTGCGTCCCTTCCGATCGACAGACGAACGAGGCTTCTCTCCGCTGTAATTTCTGAAAAATAATCTCCTATATTTTGTGATAATTTTTGTCTCAATCGGTGTAATTAATACGTTGGCTGCCAGATACGGGTTATCTCATAGTTGGCGTGCGAGAGAAATTTCTCCGTCCCATACGATAATTACGAGTTAACTCGCACTTGTTTTTTTCGTGAGTTTTGCGTGTTCCGATTAATAAATATAATTAATTAACATTTTAAGTAACACGTTGATTTTGAGATGGCGTCGGGAACAAAGTTCCCCGATGTCACTGTGGCGGTCAACGTGTTAATAAGAACGGCTCGAGCGTTCGGAAAATACCCCTGCTGTCGTGTTGAAAACTCTTGTTCCACGAGAAACGGTAATTTCGATTTCTATTCCTTTAACACAACGCGGGTTTCTACTTTCCATTGCTATTAGATTGGGGTTTGCGACATTCACGAAAAGGCTCTGTGTGTGTGTGTGTGTAGGCGTTCTTTCGTAAACGGTCGAGAGCGACAGGAATATTACTGTAATTTGTCTCGCGAGCCTATTGTTCCCTTCGTACGCAATGCACAGGTATGTACGTGACGGATTACGACCTAGGAATCTTGTACGCGCGGCCGGTAGCGCGTCTCATGACGCAAGTATTCGCGCGTTACAAGCGCCGTGCCTGCATAAAAACAATTATAAAAAAAATTGCCTATCCGTCGATCCTGGGATTGTTTTCGTTTATCGGAAGGAAGTAGTTGAGACTACGCGAGGAGAATATCATAGCTTTTTTTCTCTCCATGCAAATTTTTTGCAATTTTACCATGTTTTCTATTAATACCGGGATAGGGTGTCGGTAAATTTTTTATCTTATTGGGGAACGCTCTTTTAATAGACTTCAGTTCTCGTAAAATATAAATAGCACATATGAAACGACAGGAAAATAAATTACGAGCGTCGATTCTTCGGTATAAGAAATTATATTGTAATTTTTACTATAAAATTCCCTCCGTAAAGTGACGGGAGGGAGGAGAAAATAAGCGGTAATAGCAATTAATTCGGGCACGCTAATGGGCAATTAACAGTCCCCTCGGGAAGTAATCTCGATCGTTATTGTTTATCTGGCGATTTTACATAAACGAACGATTCCGAATGGAAATTAAAATGTTCCGTCGCTTGTTCACCTCAATGAAAAACCCGAACACGTACGCTTCTCGGTCGTGTTTACGTGACTATAATTGTACGCCGGCATGTTAATGAAATGCAATATATGTTGCGCGAATTCGTAACTTCGTTTCCTTCGTAAATATGCATTTTGTGAATGAATCAATGTGGTTCTTTATCGCTCGCTGACGCCAGAGTGAATGATCGCGCGCATTCTTAGCCTTATCGGCGCGAAGGTATGAGGAACCTGTTATTATTGCTCGTTAGCGCTTCTTAAGGTCGTGAACAAACGTTAGAACATCGTTAATACACTCGTGTCAGCGTTAAATTCCTCCCATCTTTTCTAAGGGGATTAGAGGAAGAGGCGAAAGGAGCAGCGGCTCGTTAATTAGCATCGACATTTAAACGACGATACCCGATGCGTTTTCTGTATCACATATTTTTGAAAATCGCGAATTTTACGCGGACGAGAGGGGAGGGGACAAGTAGCGGACGGTCCTCGATCAATTCGCGGCAATGTGGAACGGCACGCGGCTCGTCCTTGATCTACGACTGGTGTTTCAGTTTAATTACGCCGGCAACGAACGCTCGCGAGCCGGTTTTCCTGCTCTACTGCGTGTAGAGAGAGAAAGAGGGAAGAGGGAGGGAGGGAGAGGGAGAGAAGTCGCGCGTCACATTCGTTGAACATTAAAAAAAAAAACAGGAAAGACAAATATTTCATCCGCTCAAGGACAAATTAAACAAGTTATTCATCCGAAGGAGCTTCGCGTTGGTTTATTCTTACGTGTCCTTATATTTAAATTGATTCCGATTTAATTTTAATTCTCGAAATTGTATATTATATTTTCGCCTCGTTGATTTTTACATACGAACGAAAGAAAAAACAAGAATACCCGGCCTTGAGCAATCGTTCCCGGCAAATCGTCGGTTATCAATCACCGCGTACTTCGTGGTAAAATTCGCGATAAAACAAATACGTCGTCGCCGACTTGCACAATGTCTGTCGCAAATTGGAACGTCCGTCATGGATCACCTAATAATGACGGAGGGAGCCCTCGTCATCGTGCAAATATCCGAGAGGAATCGACGGGGTGGGAGTGGTCGTGCGGATGGGACGGGGCAGGAGTGTACGGTCGGGCCCTGATGATGTTTCTGGGAATTTCTTTTTATTGCATGCGAGGGATAGACAGACAGACAGAGAGAGAGAGAGCGAGGCAGGGGGAGGAAGAGCGGAGGGAGAAGGGTGCGGGAGGGGGGGAGGGCGACGCGCGTGGAGACTCTCGGATGACGGCTGGTCTTTGGAATTCCAGCGTGCAGGAAATAAACGTCTGTTTACCGGCCGTCGTTCGTTGCGCAATTTTTGTTTGCAGGTTGGAGAAAGACGCGCGTGTGCTGCCACACAATGAATTTCGGCCGATCGCCGTCGAAATTTCGGTCAAATTAATCGGATAACGCGCCACGGTGATCCTGCTCTCTCATCGGTTGTTCCCGCGAATTGCATTATTCACGGGGATAAAATGTCGCCAGGCATACGTTACCCCGTATTCAATATCGAGGACGTTGCGAGCTGAAATAATAAATCGTAATCGCAAGAGAGAGGAGAACGACGGTAACGTAATCGGGCATCGCTCACGCAACTGACAAAGCGGTTTGCGAATTCCTCTCCGAGGCTGAATGCTAAACAATGTGTCTCGAGGTATCTAGTTTCGATTTCTGCGGATGCAGCTCGAAAGAGAGCGTAGAAGCATTCGCAACGTGTTAATCTCCCTCTCCTCCGCCTCCCTCTCCTCCGCCCCCCCTCCCCTCTCTCTTTTTCTCTCCATCTCTCGACTCGAACTAACTTGTCTGATACAGCTCGCTATTAATAACCCGTAATCAGTGTTGACGAAGATACACAGTTAATGTTACAGAAGTGTATCTAGTTTCTTTGGTCTTAAAGTTCAAAATGTACGTTACTCAAGCGTCAACCTCTATGATGTATCAGGGACAATGTCTGAGGGGCAAGGTCATTCTGTATACGTGATGTATAAGCTTTCGAAAGCAACCACTTGCGTTGGCTTGATGTTATATCAGTTAACTTTCACTTGCGCTAGCAAACTTTTTAATTATGCTCCTTCGGGAATAATCGAGATCATTTCGCCAAATTTCATGGGAATTGTAGAAAGTGGGCTTGTTCAAGACTACATCCAGGATTAATGTATGAAATTTAGTAATTTATTTTAAAATGTATTTAATTTTAACTAATATTTTTTTCTTGTTTATAATATCTTTGTGTTATCAGAGGCAAAAAATTAGCAGGCCTTGCAGAGGAATCCACAGTAGATTCTAAAATTCGACTAGAGTATGATATTTCTTTGAATCTGGCCTTGACAACGAAGACGTGCAAAATGAAGAACCTGCCCGCCGCGATATTAAATTTTCGTTAATGATAAGAAAGAATCAAGGTCAAGTTTCAACAAGAACTGCTGTTGTCGATGGATTTCGTCGGAAGCGCCTTACGCGCACGCATATCGGCGTATCAAATGACAATGAGTCGCGTGCAAGGAAAGAATCCTGCGGAGTCGCGTTCGCCGGCAGAAAGAGAGAAAGGAATGCGAGATTCGCAGGATGTAGAACTCGCTTTCCGGAAATCTCTCCAGGCTCGTGTAGGCATGAAACATATGTAAGTGCGTGTAGTCGGCGTCAAAGGACACTTTTTTTTTTCTCGAACAAGAAAACCGTAGGATGTGTCCTTCGCCGATTTTTGATGGGCTTTGGATATGGCAGGAAAAAAGAGCCATACATATTTTTCATGTATTCATTTGTACTTTTTATATCTCTTTTTTCCTGGCCTTACAATGTACCTAAAGCCTGAGGAAATCAGTGAGGGACATTTCTGACGGCTTCCTCGTAAGAATTTTTATAGACTGATTCCAACATAAATTGCACTAATGTACCTTATTAAAATATTAATACACACGTATTCTAACGTAGCGTTAATACACGCGAGAAACGATCGAAATTGCCGTCTCTCGTGAAGCATCGCAAAACACTTACGTTTTCTTATAGACAAAATATACATTATACTTTTACCCATGTGAGATACGCGCGTATGGACTACACGAAGGGATTCACACGAACGAAAGCGCGGCTTTCGACACGCGAATGCGACACGAACGAGCGATGAATGATAAAGGACGCGAACCCTCGTTCTTTGTGCGATACACCCGTTCGTTTTTTCGGCAATTTCCGATTTGCGCTTACTGTACACGCGTAATATCCATCCACGCGTCGCGTCGTCGTCGCCTATGTCGGAGCGAAACGTTCAGCAGTCGCTTTCGCAATTCGTTATTTGCATAACGTACGAAACGCTTAACGCGTTCACGTCGAGCACGCTCGGCGTAGTTTTATGGAGTAACCGGCGAGGGGACACATGCATAACAGAACGACGGTGAGCGCGCGAAAGTGCGCACTTTCGCTCTCGTTCGTTCTCGGCAAGATACGTGAAATTTCACGCGTTCGTGCGAGTGAGTGCGTGCGCGCGTGTTCACGCACGCACGCGCTTTCATCCGATCGATGATCGGCAGGCCGATTCGTTAAACTTCGCCGTACGTCGCTTTAACCTTGGCATACCGTAGCCAAGTGTCGACGTGTGTATAGTGCGCGCGTTCGGTGTTCTATTTGTTTCCCCTCCTTCTGCCCCCCTCTTCTTCCCCTCCCCCCTTCTCTCTCTCTCTCTCTCTCTCTATCATCCTTACATTGTGGGTCCTTCTCTGGGCTCTTCGATGTACATTCCTGACTCTCACCCTCCTTCTTCCTCACCGTTTCTCTCTCTCTCTCTCTCTCTCTCTCTCTCTTTCTTTCTTTCTTCCTTCCCCTCCTTCCTTTTCGCTTCCTCCTTCTCTCCCCTTTATCTATCTTTTTCTGTTTCTGTGTCTTGTCATATAATGGGACAAAATCACGATAAGGCCAAGGGCACGTCGGAACTGTGAATCACGCGTCGGAAAGAGAACCGATCTCTCTGTATCGGCATTACACCGTTCCGATAAAGGAAAACGCGCGAAAGGTGTGAATTGTAAGCCGATAAAGAAAGACCCGATAATCCCCAAATTAATAGGATAAGATAAGAGAACAATATACGGCCGCTTTTGATTCATAAAGTATGCCAGTTGAAGTTATTTCGGCAAGTCTTAAGTATGGGACAATGTTGGTATGAACCGCGCCTCACTGATTGCTTCGAAAAATTTATATTTTATCTATTTCGAACGTTTGGATTGTTAATCTCGTCGCTGTTGTGTTTATTTTGTTTTTAAGTTAATGCGTTATGAATTCTAAAGCATAATTGGCATAATTCGACTTTACAAACAGCAAGGCAACAAGTGTTTATAAAACCGAATTTTAACACGGTTCCTTGTTGCTTGAAACCTCAGTAATCGGACAACCAGTCGTCGGTTACAACGATTCTATAGTATTTTTTATTATAAAATTCTCCCCGTGTACGATTGTCCTGTAACAACATTGGTACAAGTTGCCTGATCATCCTATTTATTATTGTTTTTTTTATGTCGTTTCAGGTTTACTAAGCCCCAGACGTTTGCGGATTGTATCGGGAACGAGCTACCACTTGGTTGGGAGGAAGCCTACGATAAACACGTGGGCGCCTACTACATCAATCATGTCAATCGTAAGCACTCACTCTGCTTCTGCTATCTAGTTGGAAAAGTGCAATTGCGATTTGAGAACGCGGTGGACTTGACTTCTGATATGAGAAATCATCCTATTCGAGATTTCATGTCGCGTATCTGTGTCATAACACGCGCGTATGTGGCTCTTCGCGTGATTTCTCACTCGGTCGTCGAACGAAACGGCTTCAATTAACATCAGCAATAATAGCGGTCGATTGAAGAGTACTTGCGAGAAATTAACCGATAACGCGAAAAAATGAAGTAGTCACTTATATATGGGTGTCCCAGATCAACATGGATATGTTTGTCAAAGGGTAAAGGATTTTTTTCCAGATAGTATACATACAAGTATATAACAGCTGTTGTACCTAGCGACAGGTTCAAGGTTTAACATATCGATGCCCGTACTTAATCTTCGTACTCCCTGTTGGTCTGGGACACTCTGTATATGCATACATGACTTAGTTTCGCACGAAACGAAATTTAACAATGAATCTAATTTTTACAGTATTTGTAAACATAAAATGTTACAAATAATAAATTGCGCTTGACATGCTGTTTAAAAGTTTGTTAAATTTCGTTTCGCGCGGCATGTCAAGATTCGTACGGAAGGGGTTAATAACATCGCGCCGTTGGTTTATTGTTCACAGAGACGACACAGCTGGAAGATCCAAGGCAAGAATGGCGAGCCATTCAGGAGGCCATGCTTCGAGAATATCTGCAGACCGCACAGGACGTATTGGAGGTAAGTCTAACAGCTATATAAACCGACGAAATTTCATCTCGAGGAACCGTTTTATTTCGAGTGTCGCCCGTCGAGCGTAAGAGCGAAATTGCTCGTTAATCGCGCCGTGTCGATGAACTTCGCTTTACCGAGATTAAAACAGACGGATGGGGGGGAACCAGTGGAATTTCAACGAGGGTCGACGAGGGCGGCAGGAAGTCGGCCCGTGAGAAATCATGTTACTTCCGGTCATTCCGTGTACTCTCGTGTACGAGCACGACGGCGTAGATTAACACGCGATTAACCGCGTTCCCCCTGCATTTATCCTGGAAGGATGCGCGTTATATGTACACATGGCATACGTGCACACATACACACGCACACATACACACGCACGCACAGGTTGTGCCATTTGGGAGGTGTGGAATTTTTGCGCACACTACATCGCTAAATTGGTTGTTCTGCCATCGTCTCAAAAATAATTGTGGGAATAACAGCGATGTAACACGCGAGAACTGATAATGCGCTTAGCATTCTTCGCACTCGTAAAATATCACCTCGTCGGAGGGAGGAAGAAACGTTCATCACATTATTATCTTTCGTTGTCTCGAAAGATATTTCCTGATTATTTATCGCGGATCTATACACGCATAATATGAATCCGTGATATTTACAGTGTAAGTTAGCTTGCTTACTAGAAGGTAACGTCTGCAGTTAAAGAATCACGGCTGTGCGGTAGCTAATTTGAACGTTCCTGACGGAAAGAAAGAGAGAGAGAGAGAAGGGGGGAGATGAAGAAGAGCAGGTGAGAGAGGTATACTTTGGTATTTCGTCGTGACGCCGGTCTGGACCCCGCACAGGAATGCTCTTACGTCACGCGCGGCTGCGTTACGAATTTTCGATGGAATGTGCGCCAGGTGAGAGAGAGAGAGAGGGGGGNGGGGGGGGGGGGGCGAAAAAGAGAGAGGCGCCAGGAGGGAGGAGGTGTACGCCAGCTTTAATTCGAGAGCAAACGAAAGATACGATAATAATATTTATCGGCGGTAACGGCGTCGCGAATCTCGGGTGGGCAGACGGGGAGGAATGTCGATGTACGGTATATTTATTTCGGGCAAAATACTGCGGCCATGATGTCATCGTCGATTTTCGAGAGAGAGAGAGAGAGAGAGAGAGATATTGCCTATGCGCGACCGAGGCTATGCGATTCTAGTTTCGGAATCCCGAAGCGTCCGGAGACCCCGTCGTCTCTCTCTCTCTCGTCGATGTCGGCAGCCAGCTGCTCTCGTCGTTTCGATACGTAGACACACACAAATAATTTATCATTGGTGCGTGTCGTCGCCGGGCGATTAATTAGTTATTTAGACTCGAATTCACCGTGCCTCTCGAGCACGCTCGGAGTAAACATATTTTTTACCGGAGAGATACGCGCGCATATCCTCCCCCTCCCACCCCTCTCTCTGCGCGTGCAGATACATCCTTTTGCATATATAGCAAATAATTAAGAAGCATCGTGATAGGCATCGCGTACGCGTTTGTGTACGTGGGAAATGAAATGTTTTAGACGACGGAGGTCGCTGCCAAGAGATCGCGCACTATGTATGTGTGTACGCGCGCCTGTGTATGTGCTCTCTCTCTCTCTCTCTCTGTGCGTGCGAGAGTGTGCATGAGTTAGTTTCTCACGTTCTTAGAATTCTTGGAATATTCCGAACACACAACGCGCGCGCACACACATTCCCATCCGAGATGCGCGATTTCGACCGCTGACCGCGCCTGTCCTTCTTCGGGCTTTTTCGAAACTCGTGAATAAAGATCACACGGTTGCTTTGTCGTACTATAAGGGAAGTAGTCCGTTCCGCGCCTTTTCTCTCGTAAGAGCATTGCAAATCCCGAGGAATTCCCGCGAAAAGAGAATCGAAAGTTTCGCGACGAAACATGGACTTTCTTGACACTTTATCTGAGATACGATCGATTTTACATTACTCCAAAAATTCATCGGCGAAGGGTGCAAGTCGTACATATATATATATATGTATGTATATATATTAATTTCACATTTATTACCCATAATTTACTACAATTTTTACGCAACCATTATGTAACTGAGATTCTTTAAAAGGACGTAAGTACCCCCGACGACTAACTGCCGCCTAACATTCGATTCGATTTGTGGAATGACCGCCGCGGTATCCTTGCGAGCGGATTATGACGTAATATTCAGGAATTTCGAAAGTTCAGGGGAGAATACACCAAGACGCTACGATCTAATCTCGGCTGAGAGGAATTTACTCAAAAGTTACGCCATTGTGCGATCAACCTGTTCCCGGCCGTTTTGTTTTCGATAGTACCAATCTAAAGTATCGGGCTTTTGAGGTGAAAGTATACTCGGTCAGTATCGCTGCATCAGTGTTTGTATCTGTCATCAGAAAGAGAGAGGGAGAAGGGGGAGGGAGGGAGGACGGGAGAGAGAGAGAGAGAGAGAGACGACGACGACCTCGCGGTACAAGAATTCCACGGATTTCATGCGGCGCAACTGCGTCCTTAGCCTCGAATCTGACATTTTCGGATGGATCCAGCGACTGTGCTTTGCCGGTCTCCTAAAGAGGCGCGTGGGCTTCTTCACGCATCCCTTCTTCTTCTTCTTCTTCGTCTCCTCTCTCTCCCCTATTTCCTCTCTCTTTCTCTCTCTCCTTCCTCCTCTTCTCTCCTCCTACCTTTCTTCACTCCCTCTCACTCACTCGCACACTCTCTCACTCACTCCCACTCGTTCTCCCCTTCCTTTCCAATCCCTTCGCCTCTCTCTCTCTCTCTCTTCCCTTCCACTCTCCCGCTTCTCGTCGGCTCTCTCCCTCTATCTGCCCCTCTCTCCTTCTCCCACCTCGCTCTCTCACCCTCATTCTCTCGGTTCTTCTTGATGTTGCCCGAGTAGAGAGGCAGCAAGATGCGAGAGGAATGTTAATTGCCATTTATTTTTGCCCGCGCTTGCCGGCCTGTACCGCTCGTCGGCTCTCTCGCGCGCGCGGACAGATACAAAACCGATTATGACACCGCCGGAGGAAACTGCGAATACCCCCCGATGCCGTAAATCATACGGTTCGCGGATCTCGTTCGAAAGCGCAGGCAGGTGCCGGACTTTCTTCGCTCCCTCTCTCTGTTATTCGTTCTTGACGTTCGTTCGTTTGTTCGATCGATCGACCGACCGACCGACCGATCGATCGATCGATCGGCGAATTTCATTCTTTCGGGCCTGCCATGTATGTAAGTATACGTGGGGCACGTGTATTTTTTTCCCCGCTGAACAAAACTCGTTTTGCGCTTGATATTTCAACTTAAATATCCCGTTGCTTCCGGCTATCCTTCGACTATGCGACTGTTGCACACTGTGGATCGCCCGTGTCTCGACGTTTCCTGTGCCAATTTTTGATCGTTTATTCCACGATAAGAAACGCTACGAACAATCGACAGTGATGAACGTGATTAGCCAAGCGTATAACCCGTCTATAACTACATCAAGGGATATTTGAGCGAAAATAGTGTACACTGCACGTGGAAAAGGTTCTCATTTATTTTTCTCGCGATACGTCGCTTAACTTTTCGGAGTTGGAAAGAAAATTGCTCAAAGACCGGTGCAATAGCCTTAACACGACGTACGACGTTGGAAGGCTTCTTTAGTTCACTAGAATAACTGTTGCAGAGAACGATAAAAAAGAACGCGATGTAGAGAACACAAATATCTTGCGTTTTTCAAGTTGCATTGTCGCAGTCACTATTATTTTACTTGAGTCACTGCGTCTTTCAACTTGACACGCACGCGTAAACATGTTGTTCACGTAAACACTCGCTACGTATTAAGTTTCCGTCCAAGTCGCTTGAAAATTTCAGTCGTCAGTAGTATTCTCGTTTGTTTCGCTCGGATCCGTTCCATCGCTTCCATTATTTCACGAATCTGTCTCTGCGACACGGGAAGCCGCCGAACAGATGATCTCAGTTTTCATTAGCCCTCATCTCGCGTGTCCTCTCATTACTGACCAGACGCAACGATCCCCGCTTTTCGTGCGTCCTCGGGACCGGCGAAATAAGGAAACGCGATGACTGTCTCGCGAGAACAACGCCATTAATTTCAAACTCGCCGACGATCGTCAGCGAGATGTTCACTGTTAAGGTTTCCATTGTCGTCGACGGCAAGAATGGAATGCGTTCGGTCGTACCATTCACTCGAATATTTTTCGAGGTGTTACCAGCGGAGTGAACAACGTGGAATGTCGTAAAGTAGTTTCGGCCTCGCGAAAATTCCCGGGGACAAATTTGCGGTAACAGGTATGCAGAACGAGCGGGAACCGGCGTGGAATGGAATTCCATAAATGTGAAAGCGGATTCGTTCTTTGCAACTGGATCTGCAGCACACGGTGTGCTACTATTACGCTGCTATTGTGTCCCATCTCTTTTTCTCTCTGCGGCCTCGTGTGCATTAAAAAACGTGCGCGTTTCCAACTCGACGTTTTAACTCGATTCCTGCATTGTGACTCGTCATTGTATAATTGCCGAGGCCATTGCGGGAGAACACTTTGTCCCGTTGTCGTATGTGTGATAATTGAGATGTATTATTTATGTCCGCGCGCGATCGTACGGTGTTGCTGTTATTATTATGTTGCTATAATGAAGCTGATTCGCGAGTAGAGAAACGTAAAAACATAGGATGGTTCGTTTGTGTCAGTTGCGCTTCTTGCATTTCGCTTCTCTTTTCCGTCACTTTCCAAAATGTAAACACGTATTTCTCTCGGATTCGGGCGGAGAAAGTGTCGGAAAGCATGGAGAATTAAAACAAATGGTCATCTTCACACAGTCTCACATTATTACGAGCTGCCGCCTTTGATTGCGCGTCGAATCTTAAGTTTCACTTTAATTGCGGCAGATCCCTCGTAAGCCGCGCAAGATTTCGTCGTTCAACTCAAAATATACATTAATCCGGTTAATAATCCGACAGATTTTATATAGTTAAAATCGTGTGGAATTCAAGACGCGTA